TCTGTTGCAAGATCACAAGCCACAACATACCTAGTTTATAATGTTGGTGTGATCTTCCCCGTACGAGTGGAGTGTACGGCTTACGTGGACGTTACACGCGTTTTATTTGCGTTCGGAGTGCGCGAGGCGGACATTTCTTTTAATCGCCCCCCGGCAAACGTGTTCTTTACGAGTATACATTACGTTTGTTTACATCTCCGACTTACCACCACCAGGGACCACCTGGGGGCGTAATACAATTACACGGGTTCGATTCACAGTTTCGAACACCGTTCTTGTACATTAGGTTCTTGGTTCAGTGTCGAGCATAGTTTAGTGTCTCTTTGTTCTCTTTGATATCTAGAGAGAATGCTTGTAACGGTGTCAATTCGTTGATTGAAACTGGTTGGCAGTTTGTTACTTAACTCTCTGCCACGCCCAACTCAGTCGTGGGATCAGTTGCCGCCAGCGGTATTTCAGGATTGATGGTGGAATACGCCCTAATACCTCCTGTAAAGAGGAAGGGCTTTGTCCAGCAGTGGGACATGAATAGGCTTTGTTACTTGACTTTTACCATCAGGTGAGATAGTAGTAAACACTAGCCGGTTTTTGGGTGGAAAAAAATCTGACACACGCAATTGTCAACCGTAACGCTTAACGTTGTATTCTATAATTCCTCGGCGTCGTTAATCATCACTATTGCTCCCGTTTTACGTCATTGGATCACAATGGATCCATTCGCTTGGGTCAACGACGCTTCTAACGCTCACAAAGCCTTGTCCGATGTACAGAGCAATCGAGGGTAGAGAAACGATACTACCCTTTTGTCGGTAAACCGTCAACGAGTTCTCGTTTGTTTCTTTGATATAATAAGTGATAATACGAGGTTTAATTAGCTCCGTTAACATTATTATCGTTACCTACGTAACGGATACCAAACGGGTATTACTTGTATGAAAATTTTATTTTAAACTTACTGTACTTTAGGGTCTGAATGTCTGGCTGCTAAGCCGAATTCAAGCATGTTGTATACAGTAATTGTCGCAGCAGGAATTTAATCAAGATGTCTAACTAACTAACTAACATTAACTCTAAATTTACTTCGCTTTTTTGGTTTAACCGTTCATGTCCATCTCGTCTGCATACGTTTTGTATACAAAATTACTATTACAAAAGTAGGCCAAACGTAAAAACCCCCGATTGTATACGCCCGCAGTCAAGCAGTATACGAACGTTACCAGATACGAACTCGGTTGTAATTCCGGGCGGCAACATCAAAGCGTTCGCGGTGAAACGTAAACGGGTTTTTTTTTCACGTGAGAATGGCCATGGAAATGCACCATACCTGTGCTCGCTGCAGGCGATGCCAACCCTTTGGAAAAGCTGGCACCGGTTATCTCGCTGATCATACGAAATGTAAAAGTATAATGCTTCCACTACAGGCGGATCATCTGTGAGGCTCTGGTACTTACCCCAATAAGACTAACCGTGAATGACGTGGAATAAGTCTGTAATACGCATGATTATTATTGCTATAAATGCCGATGACACAGGTTTATTACGACAGACTTATTAGTCGACTATAAGATAACAGGGTTGAGGGCGCCACAGCAGCTATTTTGTAAGCTCCGTGATAAAACTGTAAACAAAAATAGTAAAAAGCGAAAATAAGATCAGAAATCATTCCTAAACATAAGAAGTCCGCTAGAAATTGTGTAAACACTTGTGAAATGTAACAAAATAATCGGAAAAACATCAAAAACAACGAAGACAAATACAGTTTAACAGTGCAATGAAGCGAGGTAGATGTAAAAATAAAAACGGGTATTAAAAATCTCAAGAAAAAGTGAAAATCAAACAAGTCTACGGTAAATACAAAACAGTAAGTAAAAGAGAAAAAAATGAAGAAGAAAATCAATTAATGCCGATAAATTCAAATTTGAAAAATTAATAAAATCATTGATCAAAGACATTTCAACGAACCGTTAAGCTAACGCCATCTAGAAACAAGTAGTATAAACACTTAAAATTAAAGTATGGAACATTAACAATAGCACCACAGTAGCAGAACGCAACATTAGCGACGTCTACCAGCAAATAGCAAGTAACATGGAAGAAATAACAAAAATTTTAAAATCAATACAAATCGAACTAGCAGAACAAAAAAGAGAAATAAAACAAATAGAAAGTAATATTACAAATAGCATAAACAAGAATATCAGTGAAAACTTCAAAATATTGGAACAAAAGTATCTTTATTTAAATGAAAGAGTTGAAAATCAATAAAAAATTTTGGATTGTATGTAGAGACATAACAGAAAGAAAAATTTGGTGTTTTTGGAATTGAGGAAGGTGAAAAATCATATGAGCAGCTAGAAAATAAAATCCTAAATTACATGAGCAAAATTAATATTTCTTGTCAGCGAAACGAAATTGAATCATTAAAAAGATTAGGAAGAAAAGGAGAAAAACTAAGACCGATCACAGTTACCTTCACTACCATGGCAAAGAAAATATTATTACTACAAAACAAGAAAAACATTAAAAATAGTAGTATATACTATAAAGAAGATTACCCATATAAGGTTTTGGAGAAACAACTACAAGCAGAAATATTAAAATATAAAGCATAAGGTAAAAAAGCGATAATGAAATATGACAAACTAATTGTTTTAAATGAAAACAAACCTAATAAAAACCAGAACAGTCCACAACAATCAAAGAAACGAAACTTATATATTTCTCCAAATAAAGAGGAAACAAGCCGCGAAAATCAAGCCTCAAAGAAGAACAAAATCACAGCTTTTATGAGACAAAGAAAAGATTCTGAACACTACACTAAAACATAACTCCTAGTTCCAGCATATAGCAATTAACGGATACCCCTCAACCACCTCAAGACCCAACACGGCTAGTCACCGCGGGGGAGAAAACTTTAATAGGTTTTTCTCTTGACTACAACCCTCACAAGAAAAATTAAAAACATAACAAATGAAAAGAGAAATAAAAACAACCTTTAATGTGCCAATAGCACATATAACAGGAGACAAATGGCTAACAAAACCGAGAGATAGAATAAAAAGGAAAAAAAAATGGAGAAGGCCTTTACCCTACAAAGGGATTCTCATTTAGATAATTAAGTTATTTATTTATATGTAATGTTAGTATTAATAATTTAAATTCATACAAATAGTAATTTGAAACATAGTTATATTAAACTTGTTATGAAATATATAAATAGAAATAACAATAATACTATAATCTTTGCATGTAAACATATAATGTAAAACCGCACGAAAATGAGAATTAATAAATAAGGCTTATTGTTATTATTATTATATTATTATAAGATGACCGGATATTTTTTACGTATACAGTTTTTTTTAAAGTTGAATCGTAACTGATTTTCATTCAATAAGGGAAATAAATAAAACGAGAGGCTTTTTTGATCTTTCTTGACTCACTTGCCATGAGTGTTCGCAGGTAAGTCTTGGAGTATGGGGATTTCATTGCATTATGGGGGCATACTTCCTCATTAGGAAACCGCCGTGGCATACTTCTTTTGCGGGCTGCGTTCGGGTCATTGACTTTTTACGGCCCCACATCAAGGGTACAATGCCTATCCTATTCTGGGCGTGTCGAGTATATTATCGCTGTAGTTGAATTGTGGAACTGTTTGAAATAGTAAAGCGAATGTTTGAATTTTCCCTATGACGATGATGGTTTTATTACTGAGTTTTGACAGCTGAATTTTCGAAATTTTAGAACACAATGCGCCGCAAGAGAAAATGTTATAATAGCTCGGTCGGTAATCGGGCGGCCCCAAAACAGACGGACGTGGTTCGTGTCACGATCATTTACACACTCTTTGGTTTTACTTTTTTTTTCGATTCCAGATCATTGCTAGCTTTTTTTATTTTTTTTTTTGATTTAGATGATTTTGTTATTTTTTTTCCCTTTTTTTAACGGGGTCCATTTAAATTAAGAAGTGGTACCCCATCTGCAACTCTACGGTGTTGCATATGTCCATAGGCGGCGGTTTTCACTTACCATCACGTCAATCGCCAGCTCCCTTATCTTTTTCTCACATAAAAAAGTTAAAATAATCGAGGATCTCGTTATATCACCTAATGATATCATACATTTATGAATTTATAAAATTTTTACGATAGATCCGTTGAGATGGAATTTTGCAGATCCAAATTGTGATGAACTCTTTAGATTTATTACGCTTTCTCTACTTTCTGATATGTCTCTATTTCCTTACTTATCAAACTATTGATTTCTTTGTATATTTAACATACATTTACAATTGCCGTAGCCTAAAGTTTCTTAACCGTCTACATTTAAAAAATCAGACCATCGTCAATAATTCGCTTTCCATTTGTAGACTGCACTACTGCATATTTGTGTACGAGGCCACTCTAATTGGAGGACTTATTCAGTACGTACGTAGGTTCTGAGTGTGTACTCAATGCTTTAGTATAGATCACTAGCGTTTCTACTCATACTGACCAGTACTCGTGGATATTAATCTGGTTGCTGATCAATACTAATGATAGTATTGAAGAGTCCGTCTGTGACGTCAAAGTGTATGTCGAAGTCTATGCAAAAGCTACTATTTATACCACAACTGGTTGTAAATGACCGTTTTATATTTTTATAGTTTGCTGTCTCGAGTAAGATCCACAATTTTCATTTTCACCTTCAAAACAAGAAATTAAAATGCATCAATTTTATATCTTCTAGTAATATGAAATGACAAACATTAAGATGAAGTCGCGGGAAAAGCAAGTTATTGAATACGAATTTTAATGCATCGGGTTTTTTTCTTTTTAAACGAAAGCAGTTTTTATTTGATTGCACAGTTTTTTTCCATTTCCTGGCGAAACTGCGATTTAATCTAAAATTTAGCATTTTCACTTACTTAAAGAACCACTAGTTTTGCTGATAAATATAAAGCACGATCGCAAAGCGCATCGCTCTCTAATCTTATTTTTATTTTACACGCACGAACGTTAGCCGAGGGCAAAGGTAACACTTCGCGCGGAGCCGACATCGAGCGACCGCGCTTCTAAGAAGGGGATCGGTGCACGTAACGTTACGTAATCCGACCGCCGTTTCGTCGAATAGCGCGTTAACGCCGTTTCACACGTCGTAGCAGACGCGGCGGCGATGCGTTTCGTCGAAACGCACGCGTAACGGGTTTCGTTATTGGGAACGAATACGTAGTTGGCGCTTTGAAAAGAGAACGCGCTGGTAAACATCGGGGGTTCCCTCGGGGGCATGCTTCGCACCTTCTATGTTCCTTTTTTTAGTGTTACCTGAAGTACGCAACCTTAAAAAAAGAACCGATTTCAAATAAAATGACGTACGTAACTATAATAACTTTACATGCAAACAATACATATTTATGCGATAGCAGCAATCGCGGTTGATTTCCTATCATATTTCGAAGAGCTCCGTTGCTATCGCCGAAAATCATTATCAGATCTATATGAAATTTATATGGGACCATTTCGGAATGAAATCCTTTCGAACAAAATTAATTGCAAAAGAATTTTGCAAATCCGTCTATATATGACAAAGTTATGCCCGAACATACTTAAAAAAAATATAAACATCCGAATTGATAACCTCCTTTTTTTTAAGTCGGCTAAAAAGATTCTGTAGGTTCTGTACCTCAATCTGTGGAAACTAGCCTCAATCTGTGGAGGTTTTACAGACACGGTATGCGCTAAATATTATTGCTTTTAGGTGGGTCCCCTGTGGTGGTCACATGCCTCCTACTATTCGGGGCAACAAGTAATAAGTTCTCTTCTTGAAGGTGCCAAGTGGTAATGATCCACAAAACTCAATGGTGGTAATGTAATACACTGTATTTACAGTGGTAGGGCTACGCAGCAGCTTCTCCTGTTGCACGAATGGGCATGCTCGTCTGGAACCGGCGTGAAGTAAAAGTATTTTGCGTCTGGTGAGTGAGGTAACAGGAGCCCATTTTTGTAAAGGTTGTCAACGCATCTACAACAGCGCAGATGTTGCAGGTGTCCATGGGCGGTGGTTAGAACTTATAATGAGATGCTTGCTCGCTTGCCAACTTGTCACAAAAAAGGAAACTACTTTAATATAAGATTATATTGTGTGGAGCAGGCGTTTTATAAACATGTTTTCTAAAAAGTTTTTAGTGTAGCTAACACATTACTAGACACTAAAATCTGTTCATACGTCGACTCGGCGCTCCAAAATTGAAACCATAATTGGACGGAAAATTGCTTCCTCGTACAGTCGCTATACATTAATTCAATTACTTAAATTTTTCAATAACGGACATTAGAAGAATTACAACGACAATTTCCTGTTAGAATTATAGGCGCGCCGCCGTTACTTAGCGACTCGCAGTCCATTAAGTTATTAAGTTGGAGGTTGGCGGCGAATTGACTTAAGTTCGGCGAATTGGCTTAAGTTCGGAGGCCCGTCGCGGTTAGGTACCGGTGGAATATCTTATTGCGAACAAAAATTACTTCGATGACTGCCAGGGTCAGCGGTTAGCGCACCAGGTCGTCGAGCATTGAGTCAAAGGTACAATCCCGATAGTCCTCCTTTCGGTTTTACGTTTCAAGCCAACGCCCTATTGCAACGGATGTGGATTTTTAATGGCAGCGTTGCTGGGAAAAAACCTTTTATAAAATCTTAACATTTTTTTTTCATTGTTACAGAGCAGCGCACCCATGTGGGACGATTTCATTTCGAAGGCGACCAAGCTTCATTCGGCTTTGAAGTAAGTAAAACAGCATGTTCATACGAAGCGTGTTTTTTCTATTTTTTAAGTAAGAAGATGGCGAGCGATCTGGCGGTACACCTGATGTCAATTGATAACCACCGCCCATAGACATTTGCCACAGCTGTATGGTTGCAGATGCGTTGTCAACTTTTTAATAAAGTTGCCCCCTGCTAACTCACCAAAGTAAACGCAGAAATATATCTCTTCCACTTCACGCCGGTATTCTGTTAGGTCGTGGTACTTCCCCGGACGGACTTGCCCATTCGTGCAACAGCGAACCGTATCTAATTGATTAAAACTTAAATATTTATTACGTTGTTCTATATATAGATTGTTTGCGTAATTCTTTTTTTTTAACATTGCCCTTAGTTTAGAATAACATTATCCTGTGTTGTAAGGACGTTTTACAAACATAAATTTCACGCGGACACACACCCATATGACGAAACAACAATCTGTGGGTCACACAAATGGTTGTCCCGTGTGGGAATCGAACCCACAATCCCCGACGCCGAAGCTAACACCTTGGCAACTACGCCATGGAGTCATCATAATTTAACGTGGCCTGTCCGTTGCATTGACGCCGAGATATCTGTCTAACTGTTAATGGTACATTGAAAGCGGCCGTTAGAAACTGAATATAGCCCCGAATACTTATTGCATTTTGCCATCGTCCGTTCTCGATTCTGCGAGGAATAATTGCTTCCATAACGTGGCATTGTAGTCGCCAGAGTCCTCATTGTTAACCAAACGGAGCCAGTTTCTTTGTTGTCTTGTTCTCCTGTTTCCCTCATTTCTCACTCTTTGATTTAGCGATGACCCGATTTTCCTTTGTTAGAGTTAAAATTAAAAATAAAGGACGGAAAAAAACGTTACACGTCACGTATCTTTCTCGTGGCGAAGTTTTTGGGTTATTTCGCAAATTATAAATGTCCTTTTATATAAACTCTTTGCGTATTATTTGCGGAGAGAACGCTTTAATTTTTTTATAATGTCATGCCAAAAGAGTCAACAAAATGGAGGAAAGCACATGCTGTTATATAATACCCAGGTAAATTAATAATTTTATAATACTAGAAGAATGCTGTTTCGAAGCGATGCATACATTGACAAAGATGTGTTAAATCTTTCTTAATTACGGGGTGTATTTAGAATTATACTTTATATTTATATATACTTATTGTAATGTGACGCGAAATCTTTGGATCCTCTTATAAGAATATTCCGCTCACGGCTAAAATTTGTGTAAAACATGTGTATCTGAATATTTTATTATTTATTATGTAGATAATAATCTGTTGACACACAGTTTCACGGAATAAAATTGTCGGCTAAGAATTTTAAAATGTTAATTTCTTTTAATGAGGTTATGAAAAGTAACCGTTTTCTAAATTTTAAATTTCGAATTTCCCCTCAAATTTCTGCAAATGGACGACTTTTGGTACTTATTTTAGGCGGTAATAGCTCAATGGCTGGCGTCACAATATGACGTAACTATCGCGGTTCGGAATTCAGTGGGCGTGCGTATTTTGCATGGCTTTTGTGGAATAGACAATTTCTGACGTTTCGAAAACCTTTAGAAAAGGCTACATCACTCAGGAGACGAAACGCGGAACTATAATACGTCAGCTAACTACTAATATAAGGCTCCGGTACATATACGGGTAAGCCTGCTCATTCCTGCAACATCAGAAGGTGCTGTGTAGCAGTTTGTAATTAACTGAGTGTGGTAAAGTATTAATTATAGACAAATAGCAACTGAGCTCGCTAACAAGAATAGAGATGTGAGCGTTTTGCGTGCGTTTACCATCAATCCTCGGACGTAAAGAACTAGTACAAATACTCTTACTTTACACGGGCTTTCTGTTTCTTAGGCTGTAATACTCTGTTGTGCTATGGTTGTTCTACATCAGTGACTGGTCCATCTCGCTGGGATAACGACGCGAGAGCCTGTGATAATAATTAGTCCTTACTACTATTATAAACGCGAAGGTTTGTATGTACGGATGGATGTTCTTTACACTTTCACGCAAATACCACTGAATGGATTTTAATGAAACTACAATAATATAACTTATTGCAAAATTGGGAATATTCTGCGAACACAACTCATTCCCAACTACTTCCCATTCCGATTCAAGCGCACACAATTTCTAGCAACACCGCAGTAAAGCATAGCTAAAGGCAGTAAGATCTTTTTTTCCCAGGCAACATATTTAAGGCAAACCCATGATTGTGGTATTAGTATATAAAGCTATATTTTTATGTGTATCTGTCTTTTTGTCTTTTTGTCTTAATGTTACACCTTCAGCCTATTCTACGCATACGTAGTCCGGGCAGCAGCTAGTATCACAGCTTATTGGTGATAAATAGTGAACTAGTTTGACGACTTTTCTCTGAACACAATAAAGGTATTCAACTGTTATCGCCACCCGGAATTATTGGCTTTCTCGATATCCACCGGTGCAGCGTTATCAATGGACAGACTGTCGGGCTGAACACGGGGCGTTATTAGATAATCGCCTCTCAAACGGTCCCTTTGTGGGAGGCCGATGCGGCGAACGCATTGTGAGACACACCCTCCCCCTCCCGCCGTCTCGTGAATACCTTCCCCTCTTAGGTGTTAACTTACAGTACGAATAACGAGACACAATCGCGTCCAAATCAAGCTTGCGTTGATAGCGATAGGCTGAAGTGGGTTAAGACGGAGTTTTTCGGGTTGGTCTCGTCCAAAAATCGTGATAGAGACAGATGGTGCACGCATGCGTGTCCACGCATCGACAGTCTCTGTAGCACCCGTTTCGGTTTGAAGACTAGGATGTTGGGAGTAGCACTTTCTCTTGTAACGTTAGCAAGGCATCAACGACAACAAAGATATTGTAGAAGTCCTTGGACTGCGGTAATCATTTTTTTGTATTAAAAAAGTGCACATTACATTACTGTCAGACGAACATTCAGCTCAGCACTTACATGTAAAAAAATATGAAGCGTTGTTTATTTTTAAGGGCAGCTGATAAAGATCGCTTAGATATATCTAAGGAAGAACGCTCAGATATATCTAGCGTTCTTATCACCGACACATGCACCGCCAAACAATGTCCTGTCATAATGTAATGTCGAACCTCTTACAAGCCCGGTTTCTATATTCAACGAACGGCCGTTAGTTACATTGTCATTATGTAGTCGTTACAACGAGTCGTTATGAAAGTTACGAAGTTATGTAAACACAATTACGACTAAACTTGACTGGATGACAAAAGAGATAAAGAAGATCCTAAAACAGAAGAACTTACTTCACTAGGATCAATTCACAGCCGCAGAACTCAATTTTAAGGTTCGTTCACGCTGTGTAACATGCCTGAATAACGATTTATCCGAGCCGTGAAAGCTCAGTGTCCGGGCGCTCTTTTTGAATCCAATATACACGAGCAACATGAGTTCAATCCCGGTGCCGGCACCAATGAAAGTGTGTTAACTTTAACTGTTGACTTATCACGTGCTCAGCGGTAAGGAGGAAACCTGCATATTTTCGAAATAAAAACAAAAGAACATGTTTCAAAGATATGTGAAATCCGCCCTTCCGCAGTAGGATCACGTGGTGGACTATGCCCGAACACCCTCTGACTAAATACCCTTTGACTTTGACTTTACGGAGGAGGCCTTTGCCCAGCAGTGGGACATATATAGACCGTTACTTTACTTATCATAAATCTGCTAGATTTACTCGTAGACGTATTACATAAATTATTTTGTTGACAGGTCAGCATTGGTGGCAATAGCGGCTTTCCTGGACGCCTTCCAGAAAATTGCCGACGCCGCGACAAATGCAAGAGGTATGTGCTTTTAAGATTAACAACATTCTGCTTATACTACAGTAGTGCTTGAATTTATCACGCTAAATACAACAATCACTTACCGCAACTTCAACAAGGAGTGGTCAAGTTGCGTAGCTTCTATGTTCAAACGGTCTCGTTGTAAATTTACAAATAGATGTTATGACGAACACGTTGCCTCAGCCGTTCAAGAGTTCAGAGCGCCTGCATTATTTGTGTCGGCAATTATTTTGTACGAGAAATGTAGTACTACGTAGTAACTAGCAATCAAATCAAACCAAAAATATATTAATTCAAATAGATGGGCGTGTTCTTATGAATCGTCAAATTTTACATAAAAATTATATAATATATGTATAGTTTCGTAAGGTACCAATAAGTATCTTTTAGAAATCTTTGTTATATTTTGAATATTATGCTTTTTACATTACTACCCATGGTAGGATAAATTAATCCCGTACTACGCTTTACGATGACAAAGTCAACACGGATAAAATTCAGTTCAGGAACAATTATTTGTATGCCATCACAGCGATGGATTTGAATCTAAACCAGGACTCTATTTAAACCCAACGGACTTAGCGCAATAGGCAGTTTATAGACAGAAAGTCTAGAACTTGCTTACTGCACTAAGTTCTCGTTGAATATACACTTGATTATAAATTAAACATGTTGCTTCTTACTTCGTACGAATTATAATTCCAAAAAAGATATGTCAAAAACAATAAATATTTGTTTTTGTCATGGCAGAAACATATTACTTCGTTAAGTATTCATAGGAGACATATTACGTAAAGTATTCCAAGGTTTTCGATAGTGTTATGGCGGTGAATAACTTAAAATAACAAAAAACTAGTAATTGTTTTTAACATATAACTAAATTTGACTAATACAACCAAATTATGCAAATTATTTTAATCCCTACTGGCTACTATTCCACCTAAAGTGAATACTGCTAGTCTGTATTATCAATACGGGAAGCAAAATTTTTATGACACATTTAATAAAATTAAAAGCAACCTTTTTAATCAATGGGCCAATTTAAATTTCAAATTTTTTGGCGGGCCGCACATTATTTAATAATTTACGAAATTTATTTATAATATATATTAGAATAAAAAAATATAAAGTTAAAAAAAAGTAAAGAGTTCATATACAAATTTTAATGCAAGGTAAAAACAAACAAGAAAAGAACTGAAAAACGAACAAAAAATATTTCGGTTCACTATGTACTACCATTTTATTATAATTAATTTTATAACAATATATTGATGGGATAAATTCGATAAAATAAATTCAATTTTAGAAATGCTTGGCGGGCCGCATAAACATGTTTAAGGGGCCGCAAGCGGCCCGCGGGCCACGCGTTGCTCATCTTGATCTATAGCACTGTATTGTCTTATTATTTCTATTTTATTAAATTCTAAGGTAAACGATAAGGCTCCGAAAACTGAACATGAATAGTGCGTTCTTTAGGCACTTCCTATTTAATTGACTGATGCTCACATCGTAAGTGTCGATTGAGGTATCTTCAGTATTATTGGAGTAGGCTTAGTTTAGAGCATCTTGGCCCGACATAAATAATTACACCGTGTAATGGTTGAACCAATTTTCAAGGGGCGGTTGAACATAATTATAGATGGACTGCAGGATCGTGGATTCCACTTGCCCTTTTATACGTTGTTGAATGAAATAATTTTGATAGAACCTACGTTATAATACAAAGATATCTTTGAAAAAGCTCTTGGATGTCTTTTAACATAATCTTAAAAATGTACTTGCGGTTAAAGCTAGTGTTTTTCTAGTATGAATTCTTATTGGTTGTCATTCTTTGTTTTTTACTCGAAAGACTTACGAGCCCACTTACGAACACATGCGTAAGACAAGATTTCATGAATGCTTTTAATTTGTTATTAATGTCGGGCTGAACTTTAAAATAAATACTAACAATATAACCTTTTATCTGGCACCTCATCTGCGATTATATTGAAAGAGAATTGATAATTTATCCTATTATATTATTTATATGTTTGCTGCATTCAAATTCATTGAAATCCAAATAGGTGTCAACAGACTTTTACATTAATTAATAGCGCGACCATCAAGAGTAGGGTTCCCTAAAACAACAGGTGTTCCGTACCATTGAAATTTAGTTAGAACCGTCCAGATCAACCACGTTGTCCCTTATCCAGTCCATGTATTCGTAGACGTTCGTATACACGTCGGGCACTGATCCGCCGCTGCATTGGTTCGGCCCGTAGCTGACCACGCCCACCGCTACGTAGTAGTCTTCGGTCTCCAGCATTAGTGGACCCCCGTAGTCGGCTACGCAGGGCTTCCGCGTAGGCCTCTCGCCCGCGCACATTTGTTTGCTCCCCAGCGCCCTCCTCACTAGCCGGTTGCATATCTCCATTGGCACGTAGGGAATCTGGTTGTCCATCTTCACCTCGCCCCCGTCGGCGGAGTCGGTGCCCCAGCCGGCGACCAGCAGGTTCGTGTCGACTTTGAATTCCTTGGCGTGGTCCGTTTGCGGCAAGCATATCGGCTTGATGAAGTCTGCGGACGTCGACGGTGGGATTTAGGTTAGACTATAATGCAGTTCAGAATCATCTATCGGTTCACGAGTTTTGTTCGGCGAAAAGCGGTAAGGGATTCTTATGGTACATTTTTTATTACGCGTCATAACGGACATGCGCACGCACGCACGCATGCATGCCAAGCATACCGATTGGAACTCTAATCGTTCAGTCAATGGCTAATGATCTGTGTATGGCGGCCATCATTGACTTTCGGAGGAAATACCAGAGCTCCTCCTTAACGAGAGAGGATGACTGGAAACTCAGCATAATCCAAACAAAAACTTAAGAAGATCACTTTGAACCCCGATGTCAAAATTGGCGAGAGAGGATGACTGAAAACTCAATATAATTCCAGCAAAATCTTCAGAAGATACTCTGAACCCCCGATGTCAAAAGTGGCGTAGATGGTACCTGAGTAGGTCACGTCCGCGGCCATCTTCACCAGACCGATATCGTGCTGGTAGTGCTTGTGACCGAACAGCGGGTGCATCCTGCTCCACTCCACCGGCACAACGACGACGCTGATCAGCTCGCGTTCGCCCTTGCTCGTCACCGCGACGTCCAGTGGGTACGTGGTCATGTTGTACTCGGAGAGACGGACCGCGATGCTGTCGTATCAAGGATTCAAAATCTCTTTAACAGGTACACAGATTTGGAGTCGCACTCAGACGGACGAGCGCGAAATTCTGCATCAAAAAACACTCGCGCGGTTTGGTTTTTATTACGGCAATTCTAGTTTAAAGTTCGCCTCATCAGGGAGCTGTTTTGTTGTGTGTATCATAAGCAGTTCTTAACTGTGTTCTTTCCTAGTTGTCAAATGTAAATTACTCGTATGTAGCAATCGTATATAATAACATAATAATAACAACTCGTAAGCATACAGAGGATGATTGCTTTAATGTTGAGAAAGAGTAATTTGTTTTATGATATAATGTGATAATGTATTTTTTTTATTTTATGCGAAATGTTGTAAAAGGAGCAGACGGTTCACCTGATGTTAAGTGAATACCGACGCCCATGGACATCTGCCACACCCGAGGGTTACAGATGCGTTGACAACCTTTTGAAAATTGTGCTCCGGCTACCTCACTCACCAAACGAAACGCGAAAGTATTTGTCATACTTCCACTTTACGCTGGTCTTCTGTGAGGTCGTGGGATCCGGACGGGCCTGCCCATTCGTGCAACAGCCGAGGCTGGTGCGTGGCCCTACCACAGTTGGTTCACTTAATGTTAATTGATTACATCCATCCACATTGCAAAACTCGTAAAATAAGACAATAACTAGTGTTAGATTAGACAGATTGTTGAACATTTTGGTCTTTTTCATTCGCTTTTCCAAATAATGCAGCTCTGTCTGGTGAATTTTTTTCCGTGTAAACCGTCACGATAGTAAGATGAGAAATTATACTAAAATAGGGCAACTTGCATGGCTGAAGCTTACTAAAGAGCTTTAAAGCACCAATGGCATAAAGCCAAAATATAGATTAATAATTTTTTTTTTCAAATTTAGGATTTTGCTTGAATGTTAATGCAAAAACTATACGCTGAATGTTTGCATAATCACGAGTATTTCTTACTGTTTTTACCGCCACTCAACATCAAGTTCATGTTTAATATTAAACTTGAAGGATACTTACGCTAATTCTACACGACACGCTGCATAAAATTACTCTTACGGCTGTTTCGTATCCCGTTTCATTTTACTTGTTAATTCTCGATGTTTTAAACGCTTCTGTCTTACTGCCTTGCCGTGCCTACATGAAAGTTGTTTTACCGTAGTGGATGGCGTGTAATTTTTCTTTTTGATTCACCAATTTCGTAAGCACAGATACTTCCAAGAATTTGAAAGTGTAATTGGACATCAAGAAGCTCGTGATTATAGCAATTTAAATTGCCGTAACATTTATGTATAATGTACAATGGTTTTGTCCTATCTAAACAATCTGGAATATCAGCATTTAAAGTATGCAACAACAATGTGACCCACGTGTCATGTTGAATCGTGTCAGTGAAGAATAAAGAAACGGTAAAATGATTCTGCGGTGCAGTTTTACGTCGTCATTGGTGTCGATTGACTAGTGTTTATACTCACGGTTTCCCTCTCATAGTCTCTAAGCAGTAAGCCGCTGTAAGCACGTGACGCCGCGATATGAGGCTACCACCGCAGTTGACCACTCCGCCTGTGTACTCCAGAAGCGCCAGCCAAGGATACTGTTCCGGCGCCGCCTCCCCACCGACTGTACAGTGATCGCCTCTTAATACCTCAAGTCCAATTTTAGTTAAACCTTAATACAGTGTCTTCCTGCTCAATTGCGGTCTAAGCCTGGAAATTGAATTTCTAGAACCCGCTTGAGAGCTTTGAATAAATTTAACTTGATTACCAATATTGTAATTTAATTTTGAATTGTGGTATAACGGATTGTTCTGGTGTAAACATTTCTTTGAACTTACCTAGGGCCGTGTTGAAAACAGACGATTGAACGCCGCACTCAGTCGTGAGTTGTGTTTTAGGAGGAGCCGTTGTAGTGGTCTGGTCTTCGGATGTAGACAGTTCCACTGTGTATAAAGGTTCGTTGTCAAATTCGTTATTATTAAGAGCTAAAGGAGTCTCGCTATCATTAGGCGACTGCTCGACGTTGTACGAATTGTCGCTATCCAATCCACTATTATTAACATTCGCTTCAGTCTGTTTATTGGTTTGAGTCGGTCCGGCATTGGACGAAGAATCGTTATCAAATACATTATCGTTAGTGTTTCCAGAGGCCTGGCCATTTGTTGCAGTCTGTACAACTTTGTACGAGTTGTCGCTATCAAATCTATTATTATTAGGAGCTGTGGAGAACTGGTCTGTGGTAGTGGTCTGTCCTACTGTGTATGAAGGATCGTAATTAAATCCGTTATTGTTAATGGCTACAGGGGTCTGGACATTTATTGGTGTCTGCTCAACTCTGAACGAGTTGTTGCTATCAAATCTGTTATTATTAGGAGCTTCAGAGACCTGATCTGTGGTAGTAGTCTGTCCTACTGCATATGACGATTGGTAATCAAATCCGTTATTGTAAGTGGCTATAGTGGTCTGCCTATTAATAGGCCTCTGCCCAACTCTGTTCAAATCAAATCTATTATCATTAACATTCGCAGTCTGTTTATGAGTTTGCATGAGTCCTACTCCGTACGGAGAGCCGTTATCAAATCCATTATTATTAGTGCCTATGGAAGAATGGTCTTTGGATGGAATCTGTCCGACACTGAGCAAGAAGCCGTTATAAAAGTCGTTATAAGATCCAATATTGTTAGCGTTTACAGAGACCTGGCCATTGGTTGGATTCTGTCCGACACTATGGAGGTAGTTGTTGTCAAATATCTTATTGTTAGAATTTGCAGGGGCAGGGCGTTTCGTCGGAATCTGTCCGACTCTGTTCGTGTTATCATTGTTGCCATTTGATGTGGTCTGCGTCGGAGTTGTGTACTTTCTTGTTGAACTCTGTCCATATTTCGCCACATCGTCCATCAATTCAGGGTACAGCACAGGGTTTACGTCCAGCGCTTTAGACCACTCCGTCTGTGGTGGACAGCACACCTGGAATTAGAAAAAGCGAAGTATGAGTGTACTAGTATTGTCGAGAGTGAAAGGTTTTTACTGAGTTATTGCGTTTACCGTATGTAGCTCCGTTAGCAAGTATTGTCGAGTAGTAAAACGTGGGTATAATTCTCATAGATGACCTGACAGAGATTCTGTTACAGTTAAAAGTATCGAAACGATTCTATGTCGCGAGGATTTCTTCAAACGATAACAAAAAGCTGTTTTTGTGGCAGAGCAACACCTTGAGGGGATCGTAAATTGCGACATAATGTTCAATGATAGATAGCATTTTGAACTTTTGAACCTCTTTGCCATCCATCTCAGTTAAACTGTATTTGTTTTTACTATATTATCAGTACAGTTAGTGTTCAATATGTTTATTCTGTGCCTGGATACACTATCTTAAGTTGTGCGTCACTGGGAATTTTGCACTGGCCACTTACAAGCGCAGTTATTTGTTGTTTTTCTTTTTCCTCAACTCAAGAACCTCTGGGTTTTACCGGACCATGTAATTTATATCATCGAGATTTTAATTTGGCTTAATGCGTGTATTAAAACAAAACTTAATATAAATGAATTTAGTGATTTGTCGCTGTTGAGTTCATAAATTATGTAAAAAAAGTATCCATAGTATTTATACCTTTGCGTTTCTTGCGTATTTACAGAGATGGCGGTCCTCACTTTCCAGTGCTTAGTTACTCGTACAAACAATTTGTATTAACGAAAAAAAAAAAGTTTTAAATTGTATTAAGGTTTAATATACTCTCAACCGAAAATCACATGAGTGTGGTATTTGTGTTTGCGGTTGGCGATCGTGGAAGTTTTTCGCAGGCGTATAAACAAGAGAAAATATCTCAAGTTTCTCAATTATAAAGTGATTATTGATATAATTAAGTTAGTGTTGTGACAGCGATTTTGGAATGTGTTATTCCACATGGAATAAGCGATGCAACCCTTGTCTACAATAATTTAATTGCTCAATACGTGATATCTAATATGTAGAATGCAGGGTCTAAATGATAGGCATTTGGTTATTTTTTGTTACTTATTTATGCACCAACCTCAATTTCTCTGGAAAATCTGTTAGGTTGACTGAGAGAAAATTAAGTAAATGGATGAATTTCGCATAGACGTCAGAGATGAAATTTATTTTGAGAAAAAACTTTTAAAATATTTATCATTAAAAGCGTTTATCATGTAAGGTAATACAAAAATAAAGTTAAATAAAATTAATACAACTAATAAGATGTTGTGGTGATAAATATTTACCATATTATCCAGGGGAGGGGAACCTTTCGTGGATGAGCTATTCAACCTATGTTATTGCTTTAATAAAATCTGTGGACTTTTCATATAAATTGTTCTAATTGTTTCAATAATAAAGAGGCTTATTAGGGTTACATTGGTTACTTCATTAAAATTTTATTGCACGTTTTTATACATTTATACATGAAATATGGTCAGTCTGAATCGTGGCTATCTTTACCGCAATAAACAATTTTTTTTATGAGAGAATGTGGCAAACGAGTTGACTGATGTTAAGTGACAAGTGCCGCCTATGGGCTGTTGCAGATGCATTGCCACATTTTAATAAAGCGGGACCCGGTTACCTCACTCGACAGACGAACTTCGCCACTTCACGCCGGTCTTCTGTGATGCCGTGGCAGGAGTACCGTAGTATAGTAGGAGGATGGTGATAAGTATTCGGAGTAGCTCTAACGGACCTTCCCATTCGTGCAACAGCGAAGGCTGTTGCGTAGCCCTAACACAATCAAACACACCTTGTATCTATAACTGCTGGTCGTTCCGCACGAAGACTGCCGAAGGTACAGGAGGTCCAGGTCGGTTTTCACTTGCTTCTCGTTGAGGTCGAAAAGCGGTTTGCACTTCTCCAGGTGTCTGCACTCCCCCGCATATCCATTCGGCATCCGACATTTTGGTACTGCAATCGGACAGACGGTTCTAGTATTATGAATTTTATCATGGATAAATATCAATGCGAGCTTGATTAAGTTGTATAACTAATGAAAACGATAAAATAATTTGATAGTTATCGCTATTTTTAATAACTAATATCAAGCACTCAATAGTTAGAGAAAGACGTATCTAAAATTTTATATGACATAATTTGCATTCAGCGTTAGCAAGCTTTTAATTAGTTTCATTTTCTTGTCGATTGTCAGGTTGACGGCTCTTGAAAATTCCGATCGCCTAAATCACTGTATCTTGCTTAGGACACATTGATATTGCTTTCAATTTATAAAATTTGGACAGATTCTGTATCGGGACGACGTCTTATTCATATTCATAAAGAACTTGCTGTTACTTGACGCCTCGGACGGCGGTTTGAGCCAGTATCGCGGGAAAAGCCCAAAAAATGTTATTCAACTCACGCGAATTCGTCGCCTTTGTCCCTATGAATAACAGTGCTATTAAAAAGATCTCTGAGTTCCGCTTCATCACCATAGCGTCGCTTATAACTAGTTTTAAAATGTGAACACTTTATTTTACAACGGGCGTACAGGTCCAGCCCGCAAGCCACGCGATGGTGCACTGGCTTATTCTCGTTTCGTCATACCGAGATATATCGGCGTCCGAGCGATAAACGTTGAGATGCGACCTTAGATGCCGATTCCGCACGCCCCAGTCGGAGTGAGGACAATGGGCATGTTTCAAATAATTCCTTATTGGCAGATTGTTGATCTTTATTTTTAATACCCTAGAGCCTTTAACTTTTTTAATATGCGTATCATTACTTTTATCGTCGAAGTTTACTTCAAATTTATTTCGACAAATAACAATAGAATGATCTGAACTGTATCCAATATCTCTTTAATTCTTGCCATTTACTTACTTTGTAATTCTTACAATCATTTGCTATATTTCATTACATAAGATGCCGGGACATTGAAGGAATATGTGTTTATAGAAATTCATGCCATGTATTTGGTAGTGTTTCGTTATTAAGCCGCAAATGATCGTATGAAATCTCCGTTCAAGATTTGACTGTGTCGTTATGAGATGAGAGGAATGATTACTGTTTGAAAAAGTTTTCCTGTTTCCGAAAAATCGCCTTATTGTTTGTTCAGAAAGAAATATATCTATTGTAGAATAAATTGCTATTGTTTTATCATTTATTTATTTATTTATAGCATCACAAAGCAGAATGACAGTGTATTTAAATAATAGTACAAAGATAATATTATAACATTCAGTTGACATTCCAAGTATGTGACGACAGCAAGTTATATAAGAAAAACAAGAAAATTGATGGTATATTCTGTAAAAGTGACAAAGCATAAATATTTGTAACAAAACATGGTAAAAAAACTTAAAACTAATAAATATATAGCTAAAATAGAATAACGGAGAACAATGTCATGAAGCATTTAAGGCAGATTTCATTGTTTGCTTTGTCCAGGCTTAGTTGAACTTGTAGTTTTCAGTCCCAGGGTTATATATACTATGTAGTTTCACCGTCCCAGTCTTGCCATGCTCGAATTCAACTATTACCCATGCCCCCACAGCACGTGCTTGCAATCTCAGCAAATTACGTCACGATACGTGAACAGCCTCAAATGTGTCTGTTTATATATACGTTGTTGCATCTTCAATTAAACGAGTCCATACACGGCGACTACTGGAAACGAGTTTAACACAACTGTATAATCAAACCGGTTACAATCGAATGTTCCTTGTAGCCTTTATCTTTGCACGCAGATATGTTTACGTTTTCTTGTCTGGGATTTCAAATAGTAACGAATATATTATTTGTAACTTTTCATTTCAATCATTCATCCAATCTAATACATTCCCTGCTATCATTGTAGATACATACTTATGGTGTAATATCACTATTTTATATGATATGACTCTTTCCGATTGCGATTGACGATCAGCTCTTTAATTATCTAACCTGTGGTAAGGCCGTGCAACGGCGTAGACTGTCGCATGGCCTTACCACAGGTTAAATAGTGGTAACAAGTTAAACAAGAGATATACGGTCGCCTACGAAAATCAAATCACGAGAACAATTAACATACGCACACAAATAATTGTCACTGGCCACGTGTTGTAATTGGCCACGCAGCAGCCTCGGCTGTTGCACGAATGGGCAGGCTCGTCCGGGTAAGTACCACGACCTCACAGAAGAGCGGCGTAAAGTGGAAGTATAATACTTTCGCGTTTCGTCTAGTGAGTGAGGTAGCCGGAGCCCAATTTTCAAAAGGTTGTCAACGCATCTGGAACCCTCTAGTGTAGCTGATGTCCATGGGTCGCGGTATTCAGTTGAGATCAGGTGCTCGCTTGGCAATTTTTCACAAAAAAAAAATTACGAGGAATAAATTATTAAAACAAACAAAAGATTTGATAATAATAATAATAATAAATATTCTTTATTGTTCACCATAATGAAATATATAAAAACAAAACCTTAAAGTTTAAATGATAGGTACAATGGGCGACCTTATAACTAAAAGTGATTTCTTCCAGGCAACCTTTGGATGGATTGGAATAAATTAAGGAATAAAAAGTGTGGGGTAATTTAATGAAGGAATTAAATAATATCGTAACTACAATAAAAGAGAGAAAAATAAAAATAATAATAATGAGACAAACGTGTTAGTTAATAAGTACACGTATCTGCAAAAAGCTAACAATATATACATATAAATATACATATACAGACATATAAATACATACATATAAACATATACATACATACGAATACATATATCATTTTTAAGAAATAAAGTTACAGCGATAAGTAGTGATTCTTTACACGGTTTTTGAAAATAGTTATTGTCTGAGCGCGTCTTACTTCTAGAGGTAGATCATTCCAGAGTCGCGCACCCTGCACCATAAATGACCTACTCATGAACTTGGTTTTGTGTGTAGGAATTTTTAGCTCCAAATTTTCTGATGATCTCAGGGAGTTAGAGTGGGAATCGCGAAGAAATTGGAAACGTTCCTTTAGATTTACGAATGAAATTAAGTAGTTATGAAAACTTTTTCTTCTAAGGTTGAGTTATATTTATAGTTATATATTTGTGCAATCGATAGTAGAACCTATCATAATGATAAAATATGTTCTTGGTTTCGAAATGCCAATATTTCAACATGTTGGGATATTTCTTTTGTTACAAATTCGTGTCTTTTAATTGGCCTTGTCAATATCTGAAATGATTTATTTATTCTAGTTTGAACGACTCTCTTCTCGTTTTTAATTTGTACCATCTGCCTCATCGTGCAATTAGTAGGATTCAGAATATTTTAATACACTAAAATGCTTGACTATCTTCTGCTAAAGTTTTCGTGTCTTACCATCTAGAAATAATTAGATAAATAAAGAAATGCAATTTGTTTTCTTATTTTAATGTAATTAAAAAAAAAAAAATCGATTTTTTAAGTTTATGACAAGAATCTTTTTTGTTTTTTATCTATATAAATAAATTGACTTTTGCATAAAAGAACATAAGGTTAATAAAAGCAGTAAAGGAAATAAATTACAGGTACACTTGTGGTCTCTCGTTTTAACTTCTCGTATCGATATAAATTATATAACTTCAAACTTATAATATTCATTCAGTTCACTTTCCCATCCAAATCACTTTGCGTGTTTCATCTATATCACATATACTGCGTCCAAATCCAACTTCTTGTCCCTTCCGTGTCCTCTGGAGTAACCGGAGGGTCTGATACATTCACAACGTACTACGAATACGCTTAGGCCCTTCCCGAATCAAACGAAGGCGGGCATTCCACAGATCTCAGTCCATGTTTTCCCTCAGCCAATCCAGGTACGAGTAGACGTACGTGTAGACCGCCGGCACGTGCTCCGTGCCGCACTGTATCGGCCCGTAGCTGACCACGCCCACCGCCACGAAAGTGGTGCCGCTCTCGTACATCAGCGGCCCGCCGGAGTCGCCAGAACACGAGTCCTCGTTTAGATTGCCGCCGGCGCAGATCTGGCCGTCCGTTATCCTCCTCAGCGCGTAGAACATTTGGCATTTCTGCGTCTCCACGTACGGCACCTTGACGTGCTTCTTCACCTCGCTGCTCTTGACGCCGTCGTTGCCCCAGCCGGCGACCGTGAAGTTCATCGGCTCCCGGAAACCCCTCATGAAGTCCTCCGTCGGCAGGCATATGAGTCTGATGAAGTCTTGAAAAGTTGGAGCGTACCTTGAGGCTTGAGCAAGCACGGATGGAATTTCTCAGGATTTTTTTAATGTGGAAGATTGGCAAGCGAGCAGGCGGTTCACCTGATGCTAAGCGATTACCGCCGCCCATGGGTAGATGACCCTCGAGGGTTTGCAGATGCAGTACCAACCTTTAAATAAGTGATGGTATAAAAGTTTCACTTCGGGGTGGTCTTCAGTGAGGACGTGGTTCTCACCAGCATTGCCCAAACCTACCAACACTGCTAAAGTTAAGAAGGCCTTATCATAGTATACTACGAGTAGCATAACGGCACTAAATTAAATAGGTAGGAGTACGCTTTACTTTTGCTTTTTTCTTTATTCCTTATAGAGCAAGAGCTCGTGACCGCTAGAACTTCGTTATTTTATAAAAGCTGAAAGGTTGTCAGCGCATGCTCCCAACACAGGTAAGAACGATGGACCATTATGGAGTTTGGGTTAAAAGGGGTTGACTATCAAAAATGACTGGCTAATGAGGAAACATAATGTACTTATTACCCAAGTATTATGTATAAAGATCAGCTTTTATACTATAACGTAAGCAAAATTATAATATCATGAACATTAAAGGTGTCTAGGAAGGGTTTGCCACTATGTAATGTGTCTAGCAATGAATAACGTGATTTTTAATAATATTCTGAAGGTAATATCAAAAAATAGCACTTTAGATTTGATGAAAAAAACACACCAACCGTTTACCTCCCAAAGCCCAGGTAACCCAAACTCCATAATGGTCCATCGTTCTTACCTGTGTTGGGAGCATGCGCTGACAAACTTTCAGCTTTTATAAAATGACGAAGGCGTTCACGGGCTCGTAGACCATTAGATTCAATTGTTATATTCTGTTTCATAAGATACAGGGAAAGTAAAGTAAAGTTCACTGATATCAACTTAGCATTACACTACGTATATTGATGTTAACCAAAAATTTTGTATTTTTTCCATACTCTTCCCGTAATTTAAAATTAACATTGCAAATGACAACCAAGTATTTTAAATATATTGTTTTTTTTTTTTTAATTTACTGTCCGTATCGTTGCATAAATAAATTCGTTGCATAAAATAATTGTAGCTTCAATTGTCTTTAATAAAGAAATAATCGGAATCTCATAAGAATTGATTCTGCACAATATGTTATCTTCTCTTTTAATATAAATGTTTCTCGATTTAGTGAACAAATAGCCTTTGTCGAGGATTCTTTATTTTGGCCTTTGAGTGTTTTATTGTCTTGAATTGTGGACGTGATGATCCAGGCGAGGATTTTCCTTACAAATACTATTTACTTTTTAAAATCACTAAATGTTAGGTTTTGATTCATATCTGACTAGTATTATATAATTCAGAAACATAAATGATCCGTTAATATTATCAACAATATTATCTACAACAGTACGATATAAGGACAACATGGATTTGCGTAGGACGAAAAAATCATTTGCATAAATAATGTTGCCTGGGAAGTCAACATACATAACTATCTGGATCTTGATATCTATTGTTTTGTATTGTGATTCTGTTTGCCTTATTATTCTAAGTTTTAAAGATCTTTTTGATTTTCAGTATATTTCTTTACAACAAGGCGAGTTGACTAACGATGGTATTTTGCAAAACTAGGCCAAATGAGATAGCAGTACCCACATCACATTGCAACCAATTGCATTTTGTAACAATTTTTACTCGGGTATTTGTTTGCGTCAATCTTGAAAAGGCATTTCAAATTTTATTTTGCCTTTTATACATTGTAATCAAAATTCCCTAAATATGTGTTTATATTATATTAATGTTAATTCCCATCCCAATTTCCACGCCCTATTTTACCTCTCTATTGAGGAATATTTCAAAATCCTCTCCTTTGCACCTTAATTAAAAAACTCAAACGTTTTCTAACTACTTTAACTAATGTGAGTTAACAGGTAATTCAGAAACCAGGCCAATTGCCTACCTCCTAATTCTGCGTCCCTCGAAAGTTTCGACAGCCCAATATCGTGGTGCAGGTGAGCTCTGGAGTAGTTGGGGTGCGCTATGCTCTTCTCAATGGGCACCCTGTCGACAGTTATTTCGTCCATACCGCCACCGTCCACCTCAACGTAATCTGTCGGGAATGACGTAGTGTTGTATTCCGCCAGCCGCGCGAATTTGCTGCAAATAATCGTTTGTCATTTTAAAACTAATTGAACACTTGGTGTCTAACGTTTGTCTCTTCCTCCTGCCCTTATCCCACACTATATGGATTTAAAGTTTGTACGTCGCTCAATAGACGATATCTAACGAGACATCGTTCACAGGAATCTGCTGTGAATACATATCTCGGCTGTTGCATGTCGGTGGTAGGGCCACGCAGCAGCCTCGGCTGTTGCACGAATGGGCAAGCTCGTCCGGGTTAGTACCACGACCTCGCAGAAGACCGGCGTAAAGTGGAAGTATAATACTTTCGCGTTTCGTCTGGTGATTGAGGTAGCCGGAGCCCAATTTTCAAAAGGTTGTCAACGCATCTGCAAACCCTCGGGTGTAGCAGATATCCATGGGCCCACCGCCCATATTCACTTAACATCAGCTGAACCACCTGCTCGCTTGGCAACTTTTCATATAAAAAAATATATATATAATTTGGAATAATGAAACATATCACTCGTGTTGTTACTAAACAAATGTTCTTTTTTCCACTAATTTAACGATTTTATCCCGGTTTATTTTATTTGAAACATCCGTCAATTCGAATGCTTCAATGCACTCATGGTCCATGACTGTAAATGCTTTTTTTCATCAATCAGTTTCTTTCTACTATATCAATAGATTTTCGGCGATGAATCAATTTTTCGTCAAAAATGCTTCAAAGAAGATTCGAGTAATATAAGTAGTATGTACGTATTGTATACGCCAGATGTCTCTATTTTAACCCGCTTAAAGACGAGACAGATTATTAACAGTGTGGTTAAGATCCGCAACATTATTCTCTGTAGTTGGATATTGTTAAATAAAACAAATTCATTGAAATTCCCGGCATTGGAACCATTAATACTACACAGCGTTCTTCTCTTCTTTCTCCTGGCCTTATCCCAAACTAGGTGGGGTCGCCACAACATGTCCCTTCTTTCAACTCTTCTCTATGAGCCGTCATCGCAATACTCGCCCCTTTCAGACATTTCATTCTTCACACAGTCCATCCAAATCTTTCTCTGTCTTCCGCTTTACACCCTCCAACCATATTTATACTCATCACTCTTCTAGTCACATGACTCATCGCTTCTCGTAACGTTCTCATACCATGTCAGGTGGACACTCCACCACTCTTTCTTTTTTCATTTCACTGGTACCACTTTCAAGCTTTTCCTAATATAGTATAGTAATTCCGGATCTTATCCTTACTAGTCACACCACGCATTTATAGATATGACCTGATATAACCTGTAATAGTTTTATGTAAGTATTCGTTTAAATGCAACAAACTCTCATATCTACTTACGGTGGAACGGCTCGCCTAATACAATGTGCAGCGGTCAAAACATATCTCGTTGTAATAAGACTGCCACCGCACAATGTCGTCAGGTTTTCGTATTCCAGCAAAACGAGCCACGGATATTGGTCGATGGCCGTGGGTCCTCCACCTGAAAATGGTTCGTCTCGTTACATACGATCAACTGGCACGGCAAGGCATTATATCCATTAGCGATAGGATTAAGACGAGATATAGCAATGATATTATTTAACATGTCAGAGAAGCTTACCAAAATACAAGTATGTTAAGATACTTTGAAAAAATATATAATGATATTAATGTCACAATAACAACATATGGTAATGGATAGAGAAATGTTAATTTATTAGAAAGCTCGATTATTGGTATGGGAAACAAATTGTGCAATTAAACGTAAATAAGTGGAACTAGGGTGAATTGTGATGATGATTTATAAAGAAAAACGGGGAAAATAGAGCTGTTGTGGAAATAATTCTGTTAGTTTTAGACCTTTAAATTGTTTGGTTAAAAATCATGTCGATGATAAAGAAGAAATTTTAAAAGAGACAAAAACCCTGTAAAATTTAAAATTAAATTATAATTATGTTTAAGTAATTTATTATAAAATTAATGACTATAATTATGTATGTCCCCTGTAAATTTTAAATGAGACCTTTGGTCTGATCTGATGGATAAAATAAACGACTAGACTTAGATTTTAAACCTATTGTTTCAATCTGTATTTATGAAGTAATAATCTTTGTTTAGGTATTTGTTTGTATCGTATCTTAGCTCATCCTCATATATGTATGCGTTTGTGTTTGTTACTTAAGTTTTAATTATAAGTATATGTCATATAAATCTTGACTTACCTATTATCCTATTAGGATTTGAGTAGTCTTTTCCACATTCCGTTATTGCCGCTGATGGGTTTTCTTTAGGTCGCGTGGTCGTATCGTTCCTCTCTTCATTCGTGTTACGGAAATCGATATCGCTATTTGTATTAGGTTTTTTATCGTTTGTACTCACTTTCTCTTTTAACACTGTGTCATAATTGATTATTTCATTGAACAGAACGGGCTTGAAATCTTTGAAGTTGCCCCACAGCGGTTCAAGTGGACAGCAAAACTGCGAAGAAACATTTTAAATATTTAAACAATGGACTCTAATGTAATACCATGATACTTATGTATTACGATGATCTAGTTACATTTTTTACCGTATCTCTAATGGAGAGCGCCCTTGCCAAATTGTTCGGAAGAATTGTAACCGCATGTAAAGAATTGTGATCGCATCGCATTAAAATTCAAAGTATTATCGTAGAATATATATAAGGGCAGTGCATTCGTTGAGCAAGTCCCGTTTTTGGAACGTTATCGAATCAAACTGTGTCGTGTCTGGCGGTTTCAATATTATATATATATATCTGTAGATTTGGTCACTGGAGATAGAATTTTGACATTAGCTCCGTCAAAATTCAATCTCCGGTAACCAAATCCACAGATAGATAGAATATTGAAACCAGCCGATAAAATAACTTCGGATAAAGATTTCCTCCATTCGCGATAAGAAATCGCGTTTAGCGCTGTCCTTATTATAACAAATATTTAGCGCAGCTGGTAAAGCTATTTGTGGGACCCGTAGTATTTCTGCCGAATCTGGGTGTTTGTCCAAGTGAAATAGATATATGTAAGACGTCCTTATAACACACTAGCTGCTGCCCGCGACTACGTCTGCGTAGAATAGGCTGAAGGCGTAACATTCAGATAGAAAGACAGATATACATAAAGATATGTATATAAATTATAGCCTATGTTTTATTCTGATGTATAAGCTATATTATTGTAAAGTTTCAGTAAAATCCATTCAGTAGTATTTACGGGAAAGAGTAACAAACATCCATCAATACATACAAACTCTCGCGTTTATAATATTAGTAAGGATTAGTAAGGATGATAATCTTATCCCAACGTAAGGGCAATGTATTTTTAACAAAAAAAAAAATAGCCCACTGAAATTGATATTGCGTGGTGCCAAATCCTATTAATTTAAACACTTACCAGGATTTGAAAACTGGACGTGGTACCGCACTGCGACTGCCTGAGGTACAGCAACTCGTGCTCCGTCTTGCCCCTCTTCCTGTTCAGCTCATACAGCGGCTTGCACTCCTTCAGGAGTCTGCACTCGCCCAAGTTGCCACCCGGCATGCCGCACTGCTTATCTGAAAGTCGAGGTCATGCCCCATATGCTGTAATGTTGATTACCGTATGCTGTAACTTTGAATGAAATTATTATTCTATCGCGTTTAATTAAACTTAAAACTACTTCTCACTGACCTAGTTGCTGTCGTCGTTTAAGGAACATAGAGAAAATTTTAGTGGATGCAAAGCATCATATGTATTTCTGTTGTCTAATTTATTAGTATATAATTTATTAATAATTAATTTTTAATAAATTATATTAATAATTATATCCCTATTTTATCTACGGATGTAATCAATCGTAACATGAAGATGTGACAAGCATATTGAAAAGTTTTAATTTACTATATCAGTGCGATTCCCCATTTTCAATTGGAGATTACAACATCTATAGACTGAGATTTATAAGCGATACGAGGTTATTAGCCCTCTACCGCTGTCAGACGATAGTTAAGACTGTGAGACCGTCGGATGGTAGTAAAAATCTGGGAGCCTGTATTTTCATTTGTGCATAAAAACACGTCTGATTCGGTGGCTCGGTGGCGCACTAGCTAAACTTTTGGCTTTGGCTCTTACAGGTTTCCACACGGTACCTGTTTGACCCATAGAGAATTGTTCCGGACCTGGGTGTTTGTTTCCAAGGAGTAATTTGCTGCTTACAACATGGTTCACATTCTGTGTGTCCACCTAGTTGGGATTAGTGCAAGGAGAATGATGATTTATATTCCGTCTGATGCGATGAATAAACTAAGAGACCTACTTTACTTGATGGATATTTGAGATTTTTTCTCTTCTTGAAATTTATCCGATCTCATTAGGTTTAATATAGGTTTCACATCTAGCGCGTTCATTTTGTGTGTCTTCAACTTCACGCAATGAGAATTCTCTTTGATTTTTACATCAAAATGTATTAGTCAAATGACGGTATGCTATGATGCTCTTTCATCGAGCTGGTTAAGCTACACACGAGAGAAGTAATCGAATGCGTACTTACGGATGCGGACCATGATAATTCATTGATATTGGCTGTTCTTAGTCATCGTTGTTGTTAGATATGCTTCTAATCATATATATACATATCCTATACAATTAATTCCCCTGCTCATCATTTATTCCTATTATAACTATGAAATTCATGGTTAGCATGGATTTGGTTATAATATAGATTGTGGATTGACATCCATGATGTAGTGATTATTCGTAATAGAATGATTATAGTAACGTTGCGACGAGTCATGTTGGTTGATTTCTATCCCGGAATATATCCGTTCCGTTTTCGGTGAGATATGGACAGTGTAATTCTGTAATACTAAACCTCAATTTAAACGATCCACGGAATCGAACTCCACGCGGCCTCGAGAACTATCCATATGAATTATTATCTTAACTTTTTACGCGTTGTATACAGACGCTGGAATTTGATAGCAAATTAGAAGCGAGCCGCGTTACTTCGTCACTTTAAATTATAAAGTGTTAACATCAAACCTTCCTTGTTAAAGTTTTATAATTAAAGTAGGTACGTCGCGGGTTGGCTAATGGGCGTCGTCGCGATATATTTTAATCATCTCTAAAATTTTGTTTACTTCACGGTGTCTTCCTTCACTGGTACATTGTTAGTAAGTATCCTGCCGTGGTCGGCAATTGTCGAATCGTCGTTTATCAATGAATTTAAAAAGTTGGTAAAATATAAATCAGTGAACGTTACCAAATCAGCCAGGGCCTTTAGCGGAAGTTTTAAAAGGAAAATAGACATTCAAATACCGGCCCAATATAGTGGGTGGGTCTTCGATCATTGAATAATTTACTCACAGTTTATTTTCTGATATTATGATCATCAGATTAGATGCACAATTAGTCATATGAGCACCGCGATACAACAGTGATATCGGATCTGATAATTCTTTCATATACTTTCCGTTATATATTACGCTTGTTAATTTTCGTAATAGGTACCTTAACGCGATGCAAATTCCTTTGGTTTTATAAAATAATACGCTGCTTATGTGAAATCACTAATTCGCGCTTCTTTACGTCGTGCTGAGAAATGTTTTGTAAACACATTGTTAATGATATTTTGAAAGTCACTTTATATTAAAACAAAGATCATTATTTTATGATGATTTTTTTAGAAAGATCTCGCAAAAACTACTCAAGATGAAGATATAATGTGATAGCACGTGGATGTGTGTTTGACTTTGACGAATACAAATGTTATTCGTTGGACAGTTGGATTTCTATGGTTGCCCGTAGAGACCACAATAAAAACATAAGGACAAAAAACCTAATGAAAAACTTTTAAAACCTGATGTTTATTTTTCATTCTTCTTTATAATCTTTCGTTCTTCCTTATAGTCTAACTATAATTTTAATGTCTGATCTAAAACTGTGCAGGAAAAATGCAAATTTCACGGCACTTTAAAATCTTTAATATCTTATCGTGGGTCAAAAGATTTGAGGAAACTATTAAAAATTAGGAAACCAGTATCAGCCGGGTGTAGCCTTTGGCGTTACTTTACAGTATCTTCTTCGGGCTCTTCCGTTTCGCGCTGCCGCGACTCTGTCGCCGCGTTCCGTACACCGACTCAACTGCACTCACATGTACTCACGAATCCCGTCAGAAAGAACAGTAGGAAGCATGGGTCCCGCATCGTGAACGCCGCTCCGTCGGTGAGTGTCGTCGCGAGATCGCCGAGCTCGTGTGCTGCCGAGCGGACGGACTGCGCGTCACTGAGTTCGAGATACCGTCCCAGCGCTCGCTCGTCGCGAACTTCGCGCCGCGGCGAGTCGCCGCGCTCTTTTGTACGGTCCGGTGTTGCGATTGTGTTGCGAAAGCTTCGCGTTTACGGGTTAGATAGGGCTTAGATCGTGTACGCATCGCTATCGGGTCGCAAAAAGTTCACAAGACATTTGTCACCGCTCGGATTGTTGATTTCATTCGGGGATACCTTGTGTTATTATTTTAAATCATTGCGCTTATCTTCTTAGTATAGGCGTTGCAGATCGGCCGCAGTTTGAAAAATCTTGGTTGCTCTCTCGTCTAACTTTGGATTCTCTCCCCACTTTTTCGCATTGGGATACTAAGTGACGGATTGTTCAACATTGCTTCTTCTCCTTCATGGATGTAACTTTTTTAAACAAATCTTTGATGACTGCACGTTGGAAAAATAATAAAAAAATGTCATAGGTAGGTATTGGTTTAACCGTGTGAAATTGCGGCAGGTCTTTGTTTACTAAACTTAATTGTTTATTAGTCATCGAAGACTTGAATATATCTCGTTTGTGTCATAATTATTCAAGATGACGGATAACAAGAATGATTTAGTAGCGCAGACATGATTTAGTGGGTCGCCTTTCGATTACCACACGGGGCCAGGAAGTATTCGTGAGACGCACAGATAATTATTTCGGTTCTGGGCGGGTGCCTGATGTCAACCCCCGGGGTTGACATCAGGCACCCGGCCGGTCGTGGAAAATCCAAGCCCACCCCACCTTGTTAGGCTATGGACAGGAGACCGAGAAGTTGGATACTGTTATACACGAATTCGACCAATTGTTAAATTTAACTATTTATTTTATTGAAGGATTTCTTATTTTGCAGAATTCATGGGTGGACTGGTCATGAATTCTCATCATCATGACCTTCCTGCCCTTATTCCATCTACGTGGGATCGGCGCAACATCAATCTCTCATTCATGATCTCTTCGCTCCGTATACCTAAAGATTACTATCGCCCTTCAAGAAGAGAGCCTATTCCTACCTTAAAGGCTGGCAACGCAATTGCGACTCAACTGATGTTGCAAATGTCCATGGGCGGCGGTGATCACTTACCATCAGGTGGCCCGCATGCTCGTATGTCTCCTTTTTCCATAAAAAAAATCTGCATAGCCAGGCCATCATCATAAATAGTTGTATCTACATTGGCAAACTTTTATAGGGCGGGCTTCCGGCTACCTCACTTCCCCGATAAAACGAGATTATTAATGCTTTCTTGCTTTATATCTAAAGGTGGCAAACGAGTTGGCGGTTCACCTGATGTTAAGTGATTGCCACGCCGCCCATTGACATTTGCAACCCTCGTAGGGTTTCAGATGCGTTGCCTCCTTTTAATTATGTGGGCACCGGCTACCTCATCCACCAGACGAAACGCAGAAGTGCAACACTTCTACTTCACGCCGGTCTTCTGCGAGGTCGTTGTACTTATCCGGACGGACCGGCCTATTCGCGTGGTCATACCACAGTTATTAATGTTCTCTTAATTCTTATTAATCCTAACCATGTGTCAGAATATCGAATTAAACCCAAGTGGCGTCCGATTCGCCGGAATATTCTTTCTGCTCTTTACTGCGTCCTATTTAACTTATCAAGTCCGCACTATTTGAAGGAACGTTTCCAATTTATTTGCTCCTCTCATTACCTTCCTCTACGTTCAAATGACAACCTGTTCCTTAAAATCCTATGGAGTCCTCTATTTTTACCATAAACCCTTCTCTACTGTTGCTGTTAAAATCTGTGACACTTCACCCTTTAGCTATTAAAACACCGTACTCAAACCCTAGAATCTTTTAAAAATCAGGTTCCTTGCAATCAGCAGCAGGTTCAAGCAATGCTCCTTGCATTATCTGTCTGTTTAGCTCCTCCGTATCGTTTGATGTCTCTCTCCCTCCTTTCTTATTTCACTCTTTACTCGATGATCACTTACAAGAGTTATTGTGAGTTTTTATTGAACATCAAAAAATTAAAACCTAAGACCTACCCAGAGAAGAACCGGCAAGAAGCTGTGCCGCCTTATTGATTTTATAGTTCTTTTTATTACATCAGTTTACAAGCTTATTTAAGTATAAAATCAGCAGCAGCCATGGGACTTGCAAATGCTGAGCACGAGACAATTGACAACTGGCTCTCGATTAGGTGAGCCAGTTGTTTATTGACCTTAGCCAGACTCCCACTGTCTAAGTTCAATAGAGTTGATTAAACCTGACCTGACCATAAGCCAGGTAAGACAGTAAATAATCGCACACTCATTGAGGCTCTACTGGGATTCGAACCGGCACTTTGCGTTAAGTTACGAGTCGTTGACCTCTGCAGCCCACAACTGATTTTTAGGGTCAGTTCTTAAAGCAAAATGTGCAATTTTATTACTCATCATTGCGTATGTTCAAAACATTATTTCAGTCTCTTGTGTAATTCAATATAAATCGATTGCGAAATTCTCTAAAGTTGTATTAATTGAAGTTGTTTTTCTAAACTGTAGCAACCAAGTGTTTTTTGTGTCTGTGTTTATTGTAAAACATAAATAGAAAAAAAAAAAAATGTGTGCGTGTACTAGCGTACACTCGTAAGAAGTGAAACTTTTTTATGACGTTATTTTTCAAAAAATAATTTACTATATGCAACTTTACAGAAATTGGTTAAATAAAGTTAAATTAGATAAAGTTTAATAAAAGGCTTTTATTATCATAGACATAAATACAAATTCTACAATTATTTCATTTTAGCTTTGTATAATATTTAGTTTCTTATTTGTAATACATAGGTGGCGTTAGTAATAAATTAAAACACACTATGGTACACACTATGTGGTTAGTATGAGGGTCCGCAAAAATTGTTGATTAAAAAACTTGCAACGTGAACCTTGCACTTGAACCTTTCAATTAACCTCACGGACTCAAAATACAACCGCTTTGAATTTGTACATGGTCCTTCGTTGCCGAATAGTCAGCCAGTGAGTAGAAGGCAGACATTCGACTCGCGCGCGAGTGCTGTGAGTGAAGTTTTTTTGGAAAGCCGAACTTGCGGACGTTGGATCGACGTCGCAACCGCAAGTTCCAGGAGCCGATCGAGGTTTCGAAGAGCATCATCGGTCAGCTTCAGATTGTGTCTTCGGTGGAAGGCACAGTCAGGTCACGGTGTACGGTGCCTGCCTTTGGAGAAGAGGAAGTCGACACAGTGTCGTGCTCTGAAGTATTAGAGCTAGCACTGTCATTACTACAAAGATTATTATTGAATTTCATTAATTGTAATAGAATTATTACTATCATTGATGTCGTTATTATATATTTGTGTTATTAATGGCTTATGGTAACTGAAATACGAAATATATTGTTTACATTTTAGAATTAGAATTAAAATAAACCCTTTGATTTTGCTGATCACTTTAATATAACATATATATATATATTGCTATGAACACACAATGGCGCGTAACGGAAAAATGTTACACAAAATTTTTTTCCAACCCCGATAAAGAAGTTTCACTTCAAAAAATTACAAGATAACGTATACTATAAATCAATTTCAATAGGTTTCGCGTCTATTTTTAGCGTTTTCTGGGGATTTTCTACTTAAAACGATACAACTGAAGTAAACACTATGAGTAAGGATTGCTTTTGTCGGGATTAATTAGTAATCGTTGCGGTGAAGTGAGCAATGTAGCGACATTTAACAGAAAATCGGGTCCAACCTATTGTGTTTATTTAGACGAGTCGCCACGTCATAGCAAAATCGTATTTAACTGTTGCTAATGATGATTCTGCCAATGACCTACGATTGATATATCCGAGGAAATATATCCTCGGCTGAATTTCTGCGCTTTTTATCATGTTTTCAAGCCAGTACGGTATTCAACAGATATGGAAAGTGAGGCGTTTGTTTTGAATAGTCTTTCACTAAATAATAAAATTGCACATCATGGCTATCTCAAACGGGTAAGTGGGTATATAAGTAATGTATATTGTATAGATAAGGTCTAAAGTAAAGTAAAGTAAAATACATGAAAATTAATGTTCTGATCGGTGGGGTATGATAATCAACATTAAATCTCTGCTATTGTGATTGTTCAGAGCATCATGAAAGAGCCGTGATAGCTCAGTGTCCGGGCGCTCGCCTTTAATTCAATATACTCTAGCAACCTGAGTTCTAAATTCGGTGCCGGCACCAACGAAATTGTTAATTTTAAGTGCTGACTTATCACGTGCTCAAAGTAGAAGGAAAACATCGTGAGAACACCTGCATATTTTCATAACAAAAAAAAATATTTGGAAGATACGTGAAGTCCACCAATACGCATTGGGATCGCGTGGTGGACCATAATCCACAATCCTAGAGTAGAGTAGAGTATTAGGGCATACCCTAATACGCTGGCTGTTACTCTACTCTACTCACTACATATAGCTTTATCTACAGCTGTAGGTAATACAATGCTGTCCTTAATGATGACAAAGATGATTCAATGGCGCAGTTGCCAAGTTATTGGCTCCGGCGTTGGGGGTCGTGGGACACATGGAATAACTATTTGTGCGATAATCCACAGACAGTTGTTCCGCATCTGGGTGTTTGTCCACGAGAAATTTCCTTACAACACAGGAAAAAGGTTATCCTAAAGTAAGGGCAATGTTTAAAAAAATGCTGTGCAATTTTGATTCATACTTAAACGTGTATGTACTCTATCGTCTCACGCTAGGGTTGCCAACTGCTCTAAACTATCGATTAGAAAACTTATTACTTCAGACGAGCTTTTAAAAACCGTAATTTTTTGCAAGCTTCGTGTAAACGAACTCCCAGGGTTGACTGGAAGCATTACGTTTGCCTTTTGTTTAGCCTTAAATAAAATAAATAAACGAGGAAAAGAGTAATTCTATAGTTCTATTATTATATAGGTATCGATAGTTTAGAAATTATGATTGTATCTAGTGTTTAATATTAAATAATGCTTGAGATTACAAAAATGTGTTTTTATCCAATGATGTTTTTAATAATAGGTATAGTTGACGCATGTCCATGCTGCGCGGCATTTAGAAATTGTTTCGCTTTACATTATACGACATATATAAGTGAATGTGAGAGATGACATAGAACGTATGATACGGAAAGAGATAGCAGTATATAGAATTCCAATTCAATTAAACACATTGGCGTAATTTGAGTACCTCAGTTTCGGTTCGCTAGTGTCATCTACCTCTTATTTGTGTACAAATATCATTGTTTTTATCAAAAATAAATGATTAGTAAAAATATAATATTTTTGTGTATATTATGCTTTGTGATAATATTGTCAGGGAACTGACAGTTTTATCTAGACACATGTTAAATTTTCATCTTAAGTGCAAAGACTTGCACTAATATTATATGTGGCATTCAGTCTGAATGTATTTTTAAAGCTTATTTTTTAAAATTCTATAGTTTGACAAAGCAATGTTGGCAACCCTACCCTAGTTCCGTTTTTTGTTCCATTATCACCTTTTTGACTCCCGCATTATATGAGGATAAATTATCAATTTTCCTATTGCCTCCGTATGAACTTATATTATTAATTACATGACAGTCAAAGCATATCTGTTAATTGCTCCCACGTGTAATAAAATATTAAAAGTAATTAATATATAAAGTAACAGTCTTTATATGTCCCACAAAGGCCTCCTCTATACAGAGGGCATAGTCCACCACGCGGGCCCCACTGCGGATTGGCGGACTTCACATAACTTCTAAATATTTTTTTGTTATTATTTTGAAAAATACAAGTTTCCTCAAGCAGTTTTCCCTCACCGCTGAGCACGTGATAAGTCAGAACTTAATATTAACAATTTCATTGGTGCCGGCACCGGGGATCGAACTCGATAAGCTTAGGTATATTAAGAGGGCAAAATAGATCATCATCCCACATTGATCTTGCCGACCTGGTTGGCGTAATGGAGAGAAACTGTGTCTTGCCCAAGAGCGTGTGTTTGATTTCCAATACTGGGTAAATATTGTGTAATGAACATAGTGTTTTTCACGTATATAAACACCCATTATATATACCTATATGTAGTTTGGGACTAGATAATAACGTCGTATCTGTATCTTTCATATGAGCATCTGGTAACCATCCCATTAACAGCTAGACCTATGGTTACTGGTAAGGCTACCGCAGTCTGAGGCATGTGAAGGCATGGCAAGCGAAGAATGTTCTGAGGTAACAAATATAAAAAAAATTCAGTGCAATTGAGAACCATTGAATTCGATAGGAATCCTCGTTCAATTCATACGGGATTCGTATCCGCGACACTTGGTCGCGTCAATTCGGAAACTGTGCCACCCGGCGAAGGAGTCGTTTTCCGGCGTAACAGTAACTTTTGACGTGTCCCTCTTGGCGGGCCGACTCATAGTCAGAGCGTCCTTCGATGAGTCAAACTTGTCCGCGTAATATTTCGCAATGCCGCCCATTGTATTGCCCAACCTTTCATTCTACTATCAAGAGAATAGTGAAAGAAACCGCCCAAGCGCGAGTCTGGCTCGCGCACGGATGATTAACAGTGATTTAACTCTTCGTGGTGATTTAACACTCGTGGATTTAACAGATCCCAATTAGGTATATAGATTTTTTGTCCTCCTTGAAACTAAAATCTGGATGAGACGGGTATTCAAATGTCTTCCAACAAACCACCTAGTGTTTTAACAAGACTGGGTAAAAAGCAAGTGGCTTTCATTGCCAGTACTGAGCGAGGAAGAACGAGCACAGTTATTTGTTGCTGTAACGCTGCGGAGTCGGTCCTACCACCCTTAATGATTTTTGCACGAAAAAGAATGGCATCGAACCTGTAAGTGATAATGGTAAGGACGAACAAAGGAAGAAGTTCACAAAGAAACAAAAAACTGAGTTAAGACGGGTAAAATTAATACCAAATATTTCCTTTAATAAAAACGTTCTTTTATATTTTTTGGACATTTTTATTTCGTCAAATATGTTAAATAAAATAAAACAATTATACGCAGTATCATTGGAGCTGGCCAATTTGCAATTGCCCCCCCTTGCTCGGGCAAAGCGGTTTTTTTACAAGTTGCCGTAATTTAAACATTATACGCTTATTATTTCAATTTTCGAGACTTTAAATTTCACTAATCATAAATTTAATAAACTCCTTTCCCAAAAAAATTCTTGTGGAATATCATTCGTTTGATACGTTTTTTTTTTACTCAAAGTTAAGGTGGCCGCTTTGAGCTGACCTCGCTGAGCGGTGATCGCTTATCACCAGGTGACACGCATGCTCGTTTGCCTCCTATTCCCATAAAAAAAAAATCTGGTAAACTGCCAGCTTTGTTGCAGCTCTGAAGCTTTGACCTTTGGATATTTACCTTCGCAGCTGAGCATGTGATAAGCCACGTCAAATCATTGGACGGAGTACTCAATATTGTGCAATCGTGGAATTGATACATTTTTTAACCGACTCCAAAAAAGGGAAAGGTTTCTCAATTCGACCGTATATATTTTTTTTTCGGTGATAACTTCGTCATTTATAAACCGATTTGTATGATTTTTTTTTGTTGGAAAGGAGATATCCCAAGGGCGGTACCATGATGAATGCAACCCCGATCTGATGATGGCATCCCAGAGAAATCGAGGGCAATCCTCAAATGTTATATGCGTTGATAATGTTTTATTAGTTTCCTGTTTGAAGTCGGTTTTGTTTTTGTTCAAAATTATTTGTCATTAAAACATAAGAATTAGGAAAACTTTAGTCGCATTGTAAATCACGATTGATGGCACCGGATTGCAGTTACGTATTACGTGAACAAATCCGGAACCTCATCAGGATATATTTTATTATAAACACTATCATATCACGAAATCAATGAATTAAATTCAAAAGGCGTATACGTCAGAGTTTGTGTCATGAAAAATTAATGCATAGAACGATAAATCGTATTATGTAATGAACTTGTCGTACGTCTTTTTGTGCCTTAGCTGTGCGCTTCTATTCACCTAGAAAAATCTTAGGTGTAACCGTATATCGTTTGGACCTATGGTTCAATAGAAATCACTGCCACCAATACTGCCACACTAACGTAATTATGTACATCCGAGTGGTCAAAAGTTTCATATCAATTGTTCTAAAGGTCCTCGACTTTTAGGTGAACGTACATAACCACATACATTCTTTATTACATGTATAGATAGATTAGTTTTTAATCAATTCATTTGCTTTAAATATATTTCGTAATTTATTATTAATAACAAAAAAAATATATATATTTCGAAGATATGTGAAGTCCGTCAATCCGAAGTGGGGCCGCGTGGTGGACTATGCCCTGATACCCTCTGTACAGAGGAGGCCTTTGCCCAGCAGTTGGACAGATCTACAACCAGTTTCCGAAAGCGCAATCAATTTTAATTTACGATAAATCTCTTGTCAATCGTTGTTTAACACGATCTGAGTTGCTAGAACGTCTTAAACAACATTGATTTTGATTTGCAATTAGTCACTGATTAACGGACAATCAACAGAAAATCGAGTTTCTGAAAGCGTTTTTTCGGTGGTCAAAGAGCTGTCAAAAGTTTTATTAAGTAATCTGTCAATTTGGACGATCAATCGTTGGTTAAAAATGTTATTTATCAAAAATCTTAGTTTTTATTAAAAATAAACATAATTCCCTAATACGTTGTAAGGACATTCATGTGTTCTATTACCTATTTATTATTTATTATTATGCTGAACATATGTGATTAGAAAAAATACAAAATGCAATTCAAAAGTTAATAAATAATATGGATTCTTTCTTTTTATAATACTTACTTGTTTATTATGGATAAAAGTTCATTTTTTTCACGTTCTGTAAAGTTTTTTTTTGACATTTTGCATGTATTTATATAAATAAAATTTTATTATAGCTCGGATTTTTACGTTGGCAATCACGCGGTGACAGGACTGGATAGTGACGTTAATTTAAGTTTTCTTTAAAAAGGGACAGCTATACAATAGAAAGAGTTAGTTGAAGTAAATCATTCATTTCATTCATTATCATTGGTTATACAGTGATTAGCTAATTTTTCTTGAACAAACCTTCCAAAAACCCAAGGCAGTTTAACAAGAGATTAACAACTGATCATTTTTGACATAGTGTTATGTGATTGCCGCTTTGATTGGCCTTTCGGAAACTGGGCAATAGGCTGATACTTTACTTTACTTTATATTTCTTATATTTATTACTAGCTGCTGCCCGCGACTTGGTATGCGTAGAATAGGCTGAAGGCGTAACATTCAGACAGAAAGACAGATATACATAGCAATGTGTATATAAATTATAGCCTGTGTCTTATTCTGATGTATAAGCTATACTGTTGTAAAGTTTCACTAAAATCCATTCAGTAGTATTTGCGTGAAAGAGTAACAAACGTACATCCATACATACAAACTTATTATAATAACACTGGGCATAGTACACCACGCGGCCCCGCTGCGGATTGGCGGACTTCACTTATCTTCGAAAATATTTTTTTTGTTATTATTACGAAAATATGCACGATGTTTTCCTTCACCGCGGAGCACGTGATAAGTCATTGTGTGTACTCATTAAGAATCGATATAATACAACAACTTTTCAAATTTAAAAAACGAAACGTAAACGACACCTTTCTTCGTCAAACTTTTCTTTTCGTGAAAACATGTAGAAAAAGTACGAAAAGATTGCCGCCGCTGTGGGAATCGAACCCACGTCTTCGGTATTCGCGGCCTGACGCTCTAGCCACTGAGCTAAACGGCTGATAGCCACAGCGTCGTGCTTTTGACATCTCTCGTTCGAATTATCGTTGTAAAACGATATTCGAAATTGTTTGTATGCTGGAAAGGATATAACAATAGATGCGCCAAGCATTGCTTCAAATGCTAAATAACATTGTAGAAAGAAGGCGTTAAGATTTTCGTCGCTGTGAAAGAAAAAAGAAAGAAAGTACTAGTGAAATGACTTCAGTACTTGCTTTTAGTAAACACGTCAACAAATATGATTATGAAGATTGGCGGACCGGGCAGACGTTGCCCTGTACACACGATTTAAATCCGATAAAAAAAAAAAACATTGTGAATCCAAACCATTCTAGAATCTACCTGAAGACACATAAATAATTTCATTAAAATCGGTCCAGCCGTTTTGGAGGAGTTCAGTGACATACACACGTACAGTAGAATTATATATATATATATATATATATATATATATATATATATATATATATATATATATAATTCTACTGTACTATAAGTATATAAAGATATAGCAAATCTCCGTCTGAATGCTGAGAATGAGATGTAAATTGTTCAAGATGGTTGAAAAATGTAGATATAACGCAGCATTTATTTATTTATTTAATTATTAATTAATTAATATTTAATTATTAAATGTTTCATTATTAAGTATTAATTATTAAATATTATTTAATTAATATCTTCCTCTGTTTTTGGATTAATCTTGAAATCATTTTCTTTTTCAGGTACGTAGACTCAGAGGCGTCGTCCAAAATATCACTGTAAGGTAGTAGCGAGCTAAATATTTGTAGAAATGTTTTGAATCTTACGGAACTTAGGAACCTATAGGTAAATTGTCGTCTTGCACAATGATTAGTCTTGCTCTTACCCCACTTAAGTGGGTGGGCACAAATGTGAGTATTATTGTTAGTGGTACTCCAATGTCTGTCTATATATCTGTTTGTCTGTCACCAGGCTGTATCTCATGAACCGTGATAGTAAGACAGCTGAAATTTTCACAGACGATGTATTTCTGTTGCCGCTATAACAACAAATACTAAAAAAAACGATTAAAAATATTTAAGGGGGGTTCCCACACAACAGACATAACTTTTTTTGCCTATTTTACACCTGCCTGACGTCAACCTTTTTGGTAACAAGCACACAGATCCCGAATAATTATCTGTTGGTCACACAAATATTTGTCCCGCGTGGGAATCGAATCCAAAACCCCCGGTGTGAAGTCAATAACTTAGCGGATGGGCCACGAATCAAATTTTACCTACGAAAAGTTAAAAAAAATTCATGGTACATGGCTTTGCCTATCACAATGATGGACTGTGCCCCAACACTACTTTACACTGTTTATTTACTGTTTGCTCCCTTTTTAAACAGTAAAATTAATAGTAAAATGCTCTGTACTGTGTGTAGGATGAGGGAGGTTTGGTTTAGAAGATGTAAGTTATAAGAGCTTGAGCACACTTGTCACATCCGAGTGAATTGACTTTAAACACATTACTTGGCAATAAAATGATATACGGGTGATAAAATGTCAAGTGTACGTGTCACAATTACGCGGTGTTACATAACAGGAATTATGTTAAGTAAGTAAAAAAGTTTTTTATTCAATCAAATTTTTTATTATTTTACAAATTACATTCATTGTTAAATCTCACCATTTTCGAAAAGAAAACTTAAATATTAAAAAAAGATTTGAAACTTTATAAAAAAAACACAAAGAATGCATCAATACAAGAAAACAGAAAAATTACTTATTTCAAAAACACATAGCATATTGAAAATGACCTAACATTAAATTTGCTGATTTCTCCAGAGGCGTGTATAAGGTCAGGAACCTCAGGAACTGAGTTTCTGTTCCAGACCAGACTTGCTTTCAATTCATTAAACTTATTAACGGGTACAAAAAATATTTATAAAAAAACGTTTTATTTCTTAGCGATAATGTCGTCTAACTCTATATCGCTCACAAAGTAATCTATTCGCACATTCTTTGTGAGATGTGCCAATACAATACCAATGGAGAGGCCATATCATTAAATTTATACTGCACATATGTCGATGTTTATTAGCGTTTGTAACTTTAAAAATGGTTCTCAATCTCCGATTCAGATATCTGGGGAATTAAACTCTCTAAGAGTTATCCATTTCGAAAATGGAATGCGTTCTCACTCCCCCGATTCGGGAACATCAGGGAACTTAGGGCGTTGTACATATATTTTGAAAATGGAATGCATTCTCTTTCGCCGATTTTGGAAAATCAGGAAGACTTAGGGCGTTATCTATTTTGAAAATGGTACGCGTTCTCATTTATCGATTCTGAAACATCAGGGGGACTTAGAGCAATATATAAATTGAAAACGGAAGCTTTCTTTTTCCCCGATTTTGAAAAATCAGGAACACTTAGGGCGTTATCTATTTTTAAAATTGAACTCTTTCCCGAAATTCAGGAACGTCAGGAGAACTTAGGGCTTTATCTATTTCAAAAATGGAATGTTTTCATTGCTCATTTCAGGAACATCGGGGGGATTTGCGCATGAATTATTATGAAACTGGAATGCGTTCTCATTCCCCCGAATCGGGAACGTCAGGGGGAACTTAGGGCGTTATCTGGCTCCGTATCCACGGCAGGTACTCGTAGACGTTTGTGTACACGCCCGGTATGTTGTCGAGGCCGCAGGGCGTCGGGCCGAAGCTGACGATGCCGACCACCTCGAAGTGCCGCCCGTTCTCGTGCATCAGGGGCCCGCCGGAGTCGCCCTTGCACGAGTCCTTGCCCGCCTCGCCGCCCGCGCATATCTGCCCCTGCCACAGGTTCACCCGCCTCCGCGGGTGCGTGTAGGGCCGCTGGCACTCCTGTGAACAAGTATACCGTTACACTAACATACATTATAATACAAAAACTGACGGTAGCCCGGGTTAACTGTGACAATTAGATGTCTAACACCTCAGTCTGTCCCGTGACCATGAACGCTGTAAAGGGTTCGAAACATCGGGAATTAAAATTAAAAATAAACGCGATAAATCCGTAAAATTAGCTTCATTTATACCGTTACACTGTTTGATTGTGTTCAGATAATCTGTGGTAGGGCCGCGCGGCGGTCGGCTGTTGCGCGAGTGGGCAGGCTCGTCCGGGTAAGAACCGCGGAGGACCGGTGTGATGTGGAAGTGTTACTGTTTCGCGTTTCGTCTGGCGTATGATGGCAACGCTTAAGCAGTCGTGGGCGCTTGACTTAACATCAAGTGCATCGCCGGCTCGTTTGCCAACTTTTAACATAAAAAAGGTGACAGGCCAGAGTCCGCAGGAAAGCTACAGTTCTGCTCGATGAGCAGGTGGAGAATTTAAGACTGAGAAATGCTGTATGGCTCTGGATATCCCTGTATTAGTTGCTGAATAAAATTATGCTTTAGTTCCATTTTTTTAATTTATAGAATTTGCTCTCTAATCGGAAATGATCACTTTAGACGATGACCGAACCAAACTCACAATTAGTGCTTCTCAAATATACGCCGCGTCATATAGACAAAGCTTTCAACTATAGACCTCGCACACTGTACTTTTTCTTTTTAAAAACATTAACCTTACTGTGGTATTATTTTTTCTGTGTTGTAACGACGTTTTATAAACAACGTTGACAAACACCCATATCATATGTGGGTCGCACAAATAGTTAACCTTGACAACTGCGCCATGGAGTGTCGTCTCTTGGAGTTCTCAGATTCTTTTGGTCTCTATCCCGCCAATTTTAGCCTTATGTGACGTTAGCGGACTATCACTATAGAGGCTGTTATTACTGCTCTGTTGTCTGTTTTATCTTCTTTACCTTCATCTTCATTGCCCTTACTTTAGGATAACATTATCCTGTGCTGTAAGGACGTTTTACAAACGTAAATTTCACGTGGACAAACACCCAGATGCGAAACAATTATCTGTGGGTTGCACAAATAGTCGACCCGTGTGGGAATCGAACCGACCACACGACCCCCGACGCCGAAGCCAATACCTCGGCTACTGCGCCACGGAGTCCTCAAAAGTCTGTTGCTACTGACCTCTTGCGTCTTAAACGGAAGGCTGACGTGCAACTTGAGGCGGCTACTGCTCTCAGTGGTGCTGACCGCGCCCCAGCCGGCCGCGTACAGCCTGAGCTCTGGAGGCGAGGACTGCGCCAAATTCGTCGTTGGCAGACATATTGGTCGAATGAAATCTGAAAAAGAATTTCAAAGTGAAAAGTTGAGTGACAGCCTATATTCGTTCCACTGCTGGGCAAAGGCCTGCTTTTGTACACGCGACCCCAATGCGGTTTGGTGAACTTCATATACTTTCGGAATATTTAAACATAGCTTTAAACAGAATTTAATAGTTATAGTTGTCACTAGTTTTCTTCGCAGGAGTCCTTGTGTATTTATCTGTCTATTCTATATGTTCATGACTCGCGCAATATGTTTGCATTGCCGAGACGATTCTCGGCAAAAAAAACATATTGTACGAGTGGTTCTGATGTTACTGAATTACCGTTACGTATGTAATGATTTTTGTAGTGAAGCCATTCGTGACAATGAGGCTATGTGTGGATTACTAAGTTATGAAAGATATAAGAAAGATATAACAAAGTCATGGACCTAGGTAACTTGGGGCCACATAATTAATGTATTTCATTTATAATTTGTCACTACAATTTAAATTCTATATTTATATACTTCGCTAGTGCTAATTTATATTTATTAAGAGTAGAAAGAGAAATAATTTTTTTATCACAATCTTGAAAGAAAATTATAGGTACTATTGAATTCAATTAAAATTATGCACTACTTCAGCAGCACTTAATAGTTTTAATCATCACTTAAGGTTTCTAATCTAATAAAAATATAAGGTATTGTTTTAATGGAAGTGCTACATACGTGTAATCAATTATTTTTAAATACCATCTTATATGTAGATTAAGCCTTTAAATACATCAGTACCCTCATTTCATCCATGACCTATGATTGGATAAGAGATACCGGACCCTCGTAAGATACACAACCACACTTATGAACTTTGAACTGTACATTAATTCATCATTTATTTATAATTCTTCAGAAGAATCTTAATTAGGGATGCGAATAGATATTTTTAATACAACTCATTTTTGCGCCGAGTTGAAGAACTTCAATAGCTATTATCTTTGTTATGTTTCTACGTACATACTTATCGTTGAACATTGACGCACATTGTACCATAAAAACTCATTGGAATAGATAGTTGACTCGTGCGTAATTTTCGCAAACAACCGTAATCAATCACCGAGTTATACAATTAAGTGTAAAAAGGTATCTTAATTTGAAGAATAGCGTTTTTCAGTCTACCGCTGTATTTCATATTGGAATGAAATGAAGGATATCTTCATTTCATTATCGTACATTCTTTATGAGAAGAATTTTAGTCAATAGCGAAACATAAGCTTCCAAATTGTGTTTCAATCATTGAATTTGATGAAGAACTGTCGAAGTTATGGCGTACCGATAAAAACAGCACCTTTGAGAAATAATGTGAGTTCATCTTACCTGAGTGCGGGACCAACTCGCTTAGTCTCATGTGAGTTCATCTTACCTTAGCACGGCCCCGTCTCGCTTAGTCTCATGTGAGTTCATCTTACCTGAGTACGGGACCATCTCGCTAAGTCTCATGTGAGTTCATCTTACCTGAGTACCGGGACATCTCGCTTAGTCTCATGTGAGTTCATCTTACCTGAGTACGGGACCATCTCGCTTAGTCTCATGTGAGTTCATCTTACCTGAGTACGGGACCATCTCGCTTAGTCTCATGTGAGTTCATCTTACCTGAGTACGGGACCATCTCGCTTAGTCTCATGTGAGTTCATCTTACCTGAGTACGGGGCCATCTCGCTTAGTCTCAGCAGCGCGAGATCGTGCCTCCTCAGCGCGCTGTCGGGGTCGTACTCCGGATGGGCGATGACTTTCTCGATTGGCACTATCAGAGCGCCGTCGGTGCAGTCCTCGCCGCCCCCTTCGACCTCAACGCAGTCCTGTCCTGAGTTGACGGTGTCGTATTCCCCTAGGCGCACGTTTGTGCTGCGGAGATGCTTGGTCAATGACGCTTAACTTATTTAAGAGCGATTAGCCGCGAAAGCGTAACCAAATTGATACTGTAGAGAAGGTATTAGGGCATAGTCCACCACGCACCCCTTCCGCGGTATGACGGACTTGCGGCGAATGGCGAATCCTTGTCTACTCATGATAGATGAAAAACAGCATTCATATATTTTTCTACAACCGCCGCCTGTGGGCATTTGCGACACTCGTATGGCTCCAGATGCGTTGCCACCTTTTAATAAAGTGCGCCCCGGCTACTTCACTCGCCTGGAGGGACCTGCCCATTAGTGCAACAGCCGTAGCTGTTGCGTGGCCCTACCACGCTTAAACAAAGACGTCAGGTTTGCCTAGGCTAAGCGCTCGTAGGATAATCAAAACGATCGCAACGCGCAAGCGATCGCAGTGAAAGTCAACTCATAAAAATAAAATCAATTAAAACCAACTCACGGTGTGCCAACAGCCAGCACCGGTCCCACGACGCAGTGGCCTGCCGTCAGCACGTATTTGCCGCTGATGAGCACGGCGCCGCACAGGAGCTTGATCTTGTCGTCCTTCTTGTACTCTATGATCGCCAGCCACGGGTACTGGTCGATGGAAGTGACGTTACCACCTGGAGAATGTGTAAAAGACGTATTTAATTTTGCGACAGGGTCACGCAATCGCTGTGCGCGAAGGGACACGTCCGGAGACATACTAACGCCCCGCTTCTGAACCACTGATTATTTGGAAAGCCATTTGACAGCTGATTAGTTAACTGCCCATTCGTGCAACAGGGAAGACTGTTGCGTAGCTTTACCATAGTTGAATTTGCATTTTGTGCGGAAGGGGTTGGGTAGTAATTCTCAAACATTGCAATATAGAAGATCTATTGTAGTCTTCCCTTAGAAAAAAAATCCTCCTTAATGTAGGATGCCATTATCCTGTCTTGTACGGACGTTTTGAATACATAAATTATACATTGAATACATATAGTTATCCTATGTGGGAATCGAACCAACGCAACGACCTCCGATGAGGAACTATCACCAAGCACTTACGAAAAGCTTCACAGAATGCTTAAAGGGGCAGTTGTGGTAATCTTCATTTTTTTCTGGCGAGTGAGATCCTCGGGACGCCATCTTAATCACCGACTCACCATCAGGCGAACCTTTCGTTCGCTTACCCAAGTTAATTAAATAATTAATTTATAGTAAAAGTAAATGCAAGTGCTGAAGTTTTCGTCGATGAAAGTACGGTTCGTGATGACAGAATTTATTCATGAACGGGTAAATAAACATTAAGTAACAATTAAAAAATTAAAAGGCCGATTGCGACTTGAATTGTTTTCATATGCCAAGTGACACTCGCGCAATAAACGATTTAGTAGTACGAGAGAACCGCTACATACAGATACTATAGGGACGGGATGAATAGAGGTCGACCTACGCCTCCTTTTTCGGCTCCGCCGTAGTCGGGTGAAAAACACATTCATGCCATACCGACGATTCTGTTGCCACCGCCGCTCTCGAGGCCGCAGCACTGCGTCACGGGATCTGGCGGCGCGGCGGAGGGCGTGCATATCGTGGGGCGCGATACGGTGCCAACGGACGGTGGTGAGGGACCGCAGCACACGCTGTATTTCTCCGTCCCTTGGCACCTGCACAGTGGGAGAGCTATCGAATACTACCATTTGGAACCGACTTCTTTTATGGCGGCTCTGGCGGTCTGATACTTATTGATGAGTGGCAACCGTAGGGTTGCAGATTCGTTGCCACCTTATAATAAAGTGGTCCCCGGCTACCGTACTCACCAGACGAAACGCAGAATAACGCTTCCACTGCACAGCGGTCTTCTGTGAGATCGTGGTACTTAGCCGGACGGACCTGCCCATTCGTGCAACAGTGAAAACTGTTGCGTGGCCCTACCAACGTTAAAATAACGTCTTTTATTCATCAAAAAAGAAAGAGGTTCTCAGTTTAGTTGTTACTTCAGATCTCCGTCATTTATAAAGTGATTTTGTATCGGGTTTTGTTTAATTCCTACTTGGTCTCATAATCATTTCGATTGGTATTGGAGTTTGGTCTGCAGAGATACACCAGAGAACTCAAAATCGAATAGAAAATGCACAGTGAATGAGATATTTGAAGTTTGTTTGATTTTTTGTTAATACTCGTATTATTGTTTGACCTGATGTTTAATATATTGTTATATAGTTCTGTTTTACCTATTTCCACCAAAATTACGCTCGCTCATTCTTTAGCGCTCCCTATCCTTGCTATTATGCTGACATATGCTATCTCGACATCACTCAGGAGCAATTTAATAAACTATGTTAAACACACATTAGTAACAGCCTATCCATTCGCATTGAACACATTATGTCTCAATACAATAACCTTTTGACGAGCACTAAAACTTTTCGCTGAACGCATTATCACTAAACCGCTTATCAGACCTGAATAGGGTGACCACCATTGGCGTATCTAGAATTATTTTTCAGGGTGGGCCTGGGCTTTTACTAAAAAAAAATCGAACACTATGCGTCGCATAAAGTTAAGTCGTTGATAATTTTTATTAATTTATAATAGTAGTATTAACTAATTAGTATTTAGTACGTTATGTATTCAAAAGTAAATAAAAGGAATAATAATAAAATCTAAGTATGTATATAGATTTCCCGGCTGTAGATATATATATATTTGTTTAAAATGATTTTTTATGAAGTTTCTTAGTTATCCAGCCTAAAATTTTGAATCACTACCCCAAAATCCTGGGGTGGGCACTAGACGATACTGGGGTGGGCACTAGACGATACTGGGGTGGTTATGGCCCACCCGGCCCCCTGCTATATACGCCTATGGTGACCACTCTTAAAGCGATGTTTGAATTGATATTTTTCTGTTTATTTCTTGTCAAAATAAAATATTAATATTTTTTTTTTAATTATAGAATGTTCAATTAAAATTATGTAAAAGTACGTACTTAGTCTAAAAAATCACCCTGTATAAGTATTTATACATGTGGCTTTCTATTTCTATTCGAATTGGACGGTCGAAATGGTCTTCCGTAATTTCATCACTCTACATATTTTACTTTCTTAATAGCCACGCTTACTGTTATTGAAGAGTGTATACTTTTCAGAATAGATCGTCTCTATTGATTTGTTCGTTTTATTTCACACTGTCCAAACGTTCCCAAATGAATTTTTGTTCAATATAAAAGAATATCATTTCGTTGGCGTGATTAATTCGTGGTAGAGTTCCAAATCACTTGTCCTTGGATTTAATTGTCTAGATTCAAACGTAATAAAGGCGTTATTAAAATAAATGTTTTTCCTTAAGATTTTGCACACAACGCGACTCTATATCGAATGATATAAAGCAGGGGTGAGCAACCTTTTTAATCAATGGGCCAATTTAAATTTCAAATTTTTTTGGCGTGCCGCACATAATAATTAACGAAAATTTATTTATAATAAATATTAGAATAAAAAAATGTAAAATAAAAAAAAAAGTAAATATTTCATATAAAAATTTTAATGCAATGTAAAAACACAAGAAAAGAACAGAAAAACGAACAAAAAATATTTCGTTTCAGTATGTACTACCATTTTATTATAATTAATTTTATAAGAATATATTGATGGGAGAAATTCGATAAAATAAATTCAATCTAAGAAATGCTTGGCGGGCCGCATAAATATGTTTAAGGGGCCGCAAGCGGCCCGCGGGTTGCTCATCCATGATATAAAGCTTTGGCAATATATATTTTTAAACAAAATACTTGCTTACGAATCTTGTTTACGTATTATTTGAATTTAGATAGATAGAAAATTAAATATGTACGAGTAGCAGCACTTGCTAAGTAAACCATGCAAACAGCTAAGTAAAGCATGGGATAAGCATTTACTCTTTCCAGAGCTTTTCTAAGTTGACTCCCGAACCCAATGCAATAAGTTTGATTGTCCGCGAAGTTAATTCATTGAGCACTGACTTTTAATTCAATACACTCAGTAACCGAGATGAAATCCCGGTACCGCTAATAATCTGCCAATTAGCAATGAGCTCGCTTTGTGAACTAAACCGTAATACGCGCGTATAGAAGCGGCTTTTGGTCATCAGTGGGACATATGTGGGCAGTTACTTCATCATCATCATTTCAGCCTGTTGGAGTCCACTGCTGAACATAGACCTCCCCGATAGACTCACAAAGCACTCACTATCCTGAGCCATCTGCATCCATCGACTTCTAGCACATTTGCCCAGGTCATCACTCAGTCTAGTGGGGGAGTCCAGAAGGTCTCCAGAAAAAGAAACCCCAACGGTTATGGGTTCTACGAGGGTTCGTTCGTTCGTTCACTTAATAAAATAGCACCATCCAAACTAAAGATGTTGGTATTTTCACGATGGTAGGGCCACGCAGCAGCCTCTGCTATTGCACGAATGGGCAGGCTCGTCCAGGTAAGTGCCACGACCTCACAGAATACCGCCGTAAAGTGGACGTATAAACCGTATACTTTCGCGTTTCGTCTGGTGAGTGAGTGAATTTTCAAAAGTTTGTTAACGCACCAGGAACCCTCGGGTGTAGCAGATGTCTATGGGCGGTGGTATTCACTTAACATCAGGTGAACCGTCTGACAACTTTTCACATAAAAAAATTCTTACCGTGAGTTCTGCACGAATGCGATGTTCTCATTGGAGGCAGGTGGCTGCAGCAATGACGTCAAGTGCTGGCAGGAATAGAGGCCGACACACTTGCCATCCTGGGCGTCGGGCGTGAAGCACCTATTTCCTGTTGGTGGTGTTGGCGCTGGGGTTGTTGTTGTTGTTGTTGTCGTCGTCGTCGTAGTTGGCGTAGGATCGACGCTTTGACAGCACACCTGTTTGTTGTTGATGGTTTACGAAATTTTTATATTCATTTCAATTTTATGAATCTTTTAACAAACTCGCTTTCATTACCTTTATCTGTTCTAAAATGTTTGGACATGGCTTCATAAAAGAGCGTGAGCACATTTTTTTATATTTGAGGGTGGCAAGCGAGCTGGCGGTTCAGCTGATGTTATTTGATAACCGCCGCCCGTGGATTTACAATACCCGTAGGGTTGCAGATGCGTTGCCGCCTTTTAATAGACTCCGGGTTGCTCATACACCAGACGAAACGTAGAAGTATAAACAATTCAACTTCACGCCGGTCTTCTGTAAGGTCGCGGTACTTCCCCGGACGGACCTGCCCATTCGTGCAAACGAAGACCGTTGTGTGACTCTTATTATGACACACACAGTAATATTAAACTTGGGCCGTTTTTGCGCCTCTTACCATTCGTCATCAGGTCAAAAGTTTGCGTTTTCGTCACCTTTAAGTTCTAATTTTATTAATGAGTAGTTGTTGCGTCCTTACCGGCTTCTGGTTGCATTATTGCCACTGCTATGATTTAAAGTAAAATATTCGAATTATATAATTATATATTATATTTCTGGACATATTTTACGCAACTTTATCTAGTCCCAGAAAAAGCAAAGCTAGTACTATGGGCACTAGGTAATTGATAAAAAAACTTTAAACATAACATATAAACATAGTAAACATGTATAAACGACCAGATACTTGAAAAACAGTATATTCATCAAACACTATTTTCCCAGTAGCGGGGATCAGACGTACTTCTGGTGTAGTATCTCCTACCCCAATCGTGCCGTCTGTAGTGTTGTTTTTGTTTTGTTGAATCGTTGTGTCATGTATAGTTCGATGAAGCCTTAATAGTCTAAGGACTGAAAGAGTAACATCAGTTATACAAAATAAAACGTATTTGGGTTGCTTTACCAGCGGTATCCTATCCCGGAAACCGCAGTGCCTGCTCCTCAGCAGCTCGAACTCCTGCCTGGACCGTTTCGGCTTGTTGATTATTGTCAGCAGCGGCGGGCACTGGTAAATGTCCACGCACTGGGATCCTGCGTCGCACGCCGCCTCTGCGGAGGTGGCGGCACGAGTCAGTTCCGATGGATCAGGGATGAGAATCAGTCGCCTGATGTCATCATGTTAAATAAACAAATACTTTACGTATCTGACTCCCAGTTTCTGAAACACTGATTATCGTAGATGTTAACTAATCAGCTTTCAAATGGCATTAGAGCTGCCGCAAAGGATGGTTGAACTCTTAGGATTGATTATTCTGATCATTAGGAGTATGGAGATCATGAAGGTCAATCAGTGAGTTTAACCATCCTTTTGGCAACTGAAATGAAATTTGAAAAGCCATTTGACAGCTATTTAGTTGACATTTACGATGATCAGTGTTTCAGAAACCGGGCGTAAGATAAGCTAAATGTATAAGTTGACCTTAGTGATGGCGTTGAATGGACAGCTAGACGATAAACCAAGCTCCAACCCAGAGCTCTCTCTGATAAATGAACAAGAAAGCGAGTGCGTATGGAGAAATAATAATGTCTTTTAAAAAACGACCGTCGCTCGTCAATCAGCCCGAGTTCTGGCTAACTTTAACTTTGTTTAATTAAATGCACACATAATATCCGATAACTTTAACGTTATTATGACCTTTCGTATATTTTCTCTATAATGTTGACATATACGGTTATTTGGCGCGAATCTGATGTGAACTCGTTGTTATTCTCTCTGAATTCGCACAGATCTGACGGACAAGGAAAACGCATCGATAAAGCCGCACGACCCTCGACCCAAACTCGCGAAGCGAGCTCAGGAGCGAAAAAAAAAAAAAATTCGCACTCACGCGCTCGTGCTAAGGTGGCGAGTTGCGGAACACACAAACCCACTAATACTAGAAATGCACCAAGGCGGATCTTGCCGTCCGCCATTTTGCCGGGCGTGTAGCTCGTCTGACGTCCGACGCTGGTCCCGGATGGACCATCACTGGCCGCCGCGGACAGTCGAGACGCCACTTAGCCAGACCACTCTGCGTCGAATCGAACGAGTCTGCACGAAGTCTCACCTTGTGTCGCTCCGTCGTTCGTTTGATGACGCCAAGCGGAAATGTCGGGGTTATCGTGTCGGGTGTTTCGTTCGATTCTCCCATCAGCCGTTAGCTCTGCTCTTTTGTGTCGTGACGTTTGTATGCAATGGTGTTCAATATCCTTGTATTTATATATATTTGTGTATATCTAATATTATTGATTATATCTATATGTATATTGATGTCTGTTATCCGAATGAAATTTTCGGTATTTATCGTTGACTGTTTTGGATCTGAGTGTTTTGTATACGTAACATTTGTGCAATTAGACTCTACTCAACAGGTTAATGTAATGATTATAGGCGGTAATTATTTAACAAAAAATAGTAATAATTGTTCGTATGATTTATAAGTTTCTGTATTCGTTAGTTTTTAAGATTTTATCACTTTTATTTTTAATCTTAGTTCTAAACGTTTTCGAATACTTTACGCGTTAGGTACCTGAAAATCATTTTTGATTCTCCGTTCTACTTAAAAAATGCTGATTGAAACTTATCCGGCTATAGCCTCAATCTAGCCTCAAATGCACTCCAATTGAAGCTAGATTAGGTTACTATAATTTATTAAATTAAATCTAACCTCAGTTTCAATTTTATTAATTATAGGATCCCAAACTAAACTATCCTAATAACAATAGCCTCGAGAATCATCCTTGAGAAGAATCGGTGTTTTTTTGTAGACGTTTGTGGTTTGCGTAAGGGTTGGGGCGATTTAAAGTGTGCTCAGACTCTGTGTGTGTGTGAAAGTTAATTTATGATGGAGGCATATATATATATATATATATAGATAGATCTGATGAATCCATTGCGCAGTTGCTAAGCTAATCTCTTCGGCTCCAGGGACGACCCCGGGTTTGATTCCCACACGGAACAAGTGTTTGTATAACCCACAGATAATGGCTAGAGGACAAATGTTATCCGAAAGTAAAGATAAAAAATAATTTACAAAATAAAAAACGATTTAAACATCCCTTAAGAACAACTATAAGGTTGAGTAGAAAATAAAGCAACGGTAATAAAAATGTCAAGTAAACTTATAAAAATAATAATACAAAAATTGTAATACACCTATTTTTTTTTTTGCAAATCTGCAGTACTGAATGCGGATCTTCCATTAGCGACGTCATTGAAATTTAGAAACGGAAATTCTTGCCATTTAGATGAGACTCCTGTTATCGATATTGATGGTGATTACATATCTGAAGAGTAAATATGTGCTTAAAATGGATCAAAATGTCCTTAAGGATGCACCTTCAAATCAAAGTAAAATAACTAGTTACTTCAAAGTTTCCGTACAATCCTATTGTTTTTGTCTCAATTAGTAATACCTAACGTAATTAACCAGCTAATGTCTAGTGTGGTTTTTACACAGGTTTTTCTGATTCCCAAGCATTGTTTAGAATGCAAATAATTCGCTCGCCAATTAAGTCACGATATTACATAGTTTACATCGACTTACATCGTTTTTCTACATGTTTTAAAGTTTACATCGATATTTGAGTAAATGGCATGGCGGTTGCTAGTCTCCTTGCGGGACGCCTTCACTGTAAGCTTTTACCCGTTTGTTATAAAATAAGGCAAAGCTTGACACAGTTAAGCGGAACCAAATACAATAAGGTAGACACTCATACAAACAGACTAATATATTCTCTGCCTGTGCTTTAAGGCGATAAAAAGGGGACTTGCGGGTAATGGGCGAGAGGATTGCCCCTGAAGTTTTACTTAAGTGAAACCAGAAGGAATTGGGTCCTGTTTTGCTGTAGCACAGGGAAGACCTGATGGAGTCCCCCCCTCCCTCTCCTCTCTGGGACCTCATTTCCATCCACTATTTCCACTAGATCCATCTCTACCCACAATATCGACGAAACATGTTTGAGAATGAAAATATATGTATGCGTATATATGGATAACAGATAAAACATTGGTTTTTCTTTTTTATTATCATATTTGAATCTTTAAATCTTACGATTATTCAAATCGTCTTGTTATGTTACAATATCGCATATGATTCAGCCGAGTAGACAGTGATGTCTAAGCTCTCATCTGTGAGCGTATCCAGGGCAGATACTTGTACACGTTCGTGTACACGCTGGGCCTGTTCTCCTGGCCGCAGGGCTTCGGCCCGAAGCTGACCACGCCTATCACGCGATAGCGACGCTCGTCCCTGTCCATCAGGGGCCCCCCCGAGTCACCCTTGCAGGCGTCCTTGCCCCTTTCGCCACCCGCACAGATCTGCTCCTCAGATATGGTTATGTCGACAGCGCTGAACAGCTCTCGACACGTCTGCGAATAAGATTTCAAGCTCGAATTATTGATGTATACTTATCTAGGGAATATCAGTTTTACGATTGCCCTTACGATACGAGATTACGATTTCTATTATTTTTGGAGCCGTGATAGCTCCGTGTCCGGCCTTTAATAATATGTAATAGCTCGCCTTTAATAATAATAACTAATTTTAAGTGCTGAATTATCACTTGCTCGGCGGTGAAAGAAAACGTTGTGAGGAAACCCGCATATTTTCGAAATAATAAAAAAAATCGAGGACTTAACATATGTTAACTCCGCCAATCAGCGGTATACCCTCTTTACACAGGAGGCCTTTGCCCAGCAGTGTGACATTTATACTTTGGCTTACGTTCAGCAGTGGACGGCGATAGGATGATATTTATTGATTAGATATTGATTGCTATTATTTTGGCCACAGTGGGGCCGCGTTATGCCCTAATACAGAGTAGGCCTTTGCCCAGCTGTGGGATATATAGGCTTACTTTACTTTACTCTACTTTACTGCAGTCATTACTATTGGTGTAATCACCCTATTGGGGTGAATAGGAATTACGCCATATATAGTGACGATGAGCATGTTTGCGGTTCAAATTTGCCCCCACAGTACATTGTGCACTCAAGAAATCGGAATATCGTAAAACTGATTGGCGCTTGCTATTAGAATAGAGTTTGAAACAAATTTGCCTTATTAATTGTAGAGTGAGTATCGTGGATGATATTTTAAAATGTAGAAAATGCAGCTAGCGTTGTTTGCGTTATGCGGCGTGGGTGTTTTTAACGGTATATTAACATTATAAATATTTATAATCAATAAACTTTATGATTCAGATAAATTTAGGCTCGATTGCAATAATACATTGTTATGCTTACACTTCTTGGCTCTAACGGCAAGTCGACCTCAAGTTTTATGTTGCTTCGGATGCCAAATTTATTCTCTACGAACCCCCAACCGGACGTATACAACCTGAGATCGGACGGCGGTTCCAAAGTTAAATCCGATGTTGGAAGACAGATTGGCCTTATGAAGTCTGAAACGTAGAAATGTATTTTGTTGTAGTACCTAATGTCAGTTATTGTAGGGATAAGAACTGACATTAGTAAGTTACTCCCTAGTATTTATATATTTCTAGACGAGTCGATTGGAGTTGTGGAAAGTGAACCCGCACCTTACTTACAGGCTGTGGGTCCTCATTACTGGGAAATTACAGTATGATGGACATTTGCCTAGTTTATGGCTATTTACATACCTGTAATATGCATTTCTTTACAAAATAAACGTATTTTTATGTATATTTGTCAGTGACGCTCGGTGATTTATTAAAATACTTAAACATATTTTTAAACTAAGCAAATCTTTACTCATAGTACAAGCTTTGCTTAGTTTGGGACCTGATGGACATCTTTGTGTAAAAATGTGTTCAGGTATTCTTCTTGAATAATCGTTGTTTAACAGAAAAAGTACTATGGAGATCGAAATAACAATAAAGTAGTATGATAATTTGACTTTTAACCAAAATGAAACCACATAATAATTACAAGATATAGTACTACTATGCCATAGTAGTGTATCTTAAGTAGTCCAGAGGGTGGGGCTACCAGCTATCTGTCCGATAACTGGCTGGAACCACTACGGGTACGCGACCCCGGACTGCTCTAGCTACTACTGGCACATTCCACCTGCATCCCGTGACAGTAGTATCACACACCCCCCCCCCCCCCTCCTTCCCTTCCCACCTTCACTCCCACTAACCTACCTCTCCAGGGACACCATTATCTAGTTCCCCAAAAAGAAGGAAAACTAGCTATAAACCCGGAACGGTGCTTCCGTTCAGGCGAGAGCCAGGCACCTGCGGCCGAACCGGCACCACACGTATTGACTTGTCATTCCTGTGGAACCTGCCGGGGAGGAGGAGAGGGTGGCACGGGTTCTGGGCAAGCCCGTGCTGTCATAAAGTCGTCTGACCCAGGCGTAGTAGCATCCGCGGAGAGGTCACTTCGCCCACCTGCCTTACAGGTGGAAAACAACACGGGAAGTGGCAGTTACCGGTTGTAAGTCAGCACCAATAGGCGTAAGTGCGGGCGCCAGGGGTCACTTTCGACAGTAGGAGGATCCTTTGTAGGTCGACTGATAAGTTACCGCCTGCTCTAAGTCGGGCAACCCTCGACCAATAAGGTACTGATCCGCCTCAGCACCAACGTGTTCTGCCTGGGTGAACAGAACACAAGCCTCACAGCTAGATGTTGGTGCTGTAACTACAAACACCTGCTTAAACAAATACAACAAAAACCCAAACCCAACATCAATGCTACTTACATGCGCTTCGCGTCATGGAATGTCCGAACAATGAGGACAGGCTTTCCGAACACCTGTGGGAGTTTCGATTGCGCCCAAGACCTGCGCAAAACTTATAATATCGACATCGAACTCAAAAGGCTCAACGTCGATATCGCGGCCTTACAAGAGACCAGAATCGAAGACGAGGGATCTATACGCGAGGCGAACTACACTTTTTTCTGGAAGGGCAAGAGTTCGACAGAGAACCGTGAGCATGGTGTAGGATTTGCGATCTGTATTCACCTACTAAACGCTACAGAGACACCTATTGGGGTGTCTGAGCGTATTATGATCTTGCGTCTTAATACAAAGTGCGGCTTTGTCACGCTTGTTTCCGCTTATGCTCCGACGCTCAATTCCACACCTGAGAGCAAAGACCAATTCTACGACCGGCTCGAGGAAACAATTCGTGGGGTACACTCAACAGACAGACTTTACATCTTAGGTGACTTTAACGCTCGCGTCGGCCAAGATACCACCGCTTGGCCTGAATGCCTTGGTGCACATGGTGTAGGTAAGCAAAACGAGAATGGTCAGCGATTGCTGGAGTTTTGCTCCAGGCACCAGTTGTGTGTAACCAACACTTTTTTCAAGGGCAAATTCATGCGGAAAGTCTCCTGGAGGCACCCCCGATCGAAACACTGGCACCAACTGGACCTTGTCCTTACCAAAGTGAGGGACCTACGGGAAACTCTCCATACGCGGGCTTTTCATAGCGCTGACTGCGACACTGATCACAGCCTCGTGTCATCCAAAGTGCGGCTTGTTCCAAAGAGAATCCACTCCGCGAGGCTCTCGGGTCATAAAAGGATTAACCTTTTTAATACTCGGGACCCGGATGCAGTGGCGAGTTTCGGGGCCTTGGTTAACACGGAAGTTGCTACATGGGACAGATCGGCAACGCCGGAAGCTGAGTGGGAAAGAATAAAAACTCTCCTCACTGTAACTGCAGGAGAGGCTTTCGGCTATGAAAGGACTAAAACTCGCGATTGGTTCCGTGAAAATGAAAAGCACTTGATGCCACTCATTGACTTAAAGCGCCGTGCTGCTCAAAACTTCCGCCTCAACCCGTGTGATGCAACACGTGAGGAGCTCAAAAGAGTAAAATCCTCACTCCAGCGTAGCGTTCGATTTTATACAAACTCTTACTGGACAGAAATTTGCCTTGGCATCCAATCGTGCGCGAACGCAGGGGATATTGGCGGAGTCTACGCAGGCATAAAAAGAGCTATTGGACCTATTCCGAAGAAGACGCCACCTCTAAAGGAAACTAACGGCTCTATCATCACAGATAGTAGCCGACAAATGACTAGACGGGTGGAACACTACACAGGCCTTTATTCTCGCCCCGTCTCCATAAAGCCGGAAGCAGTGGAACTTGTCCCGAGGCTGGAGACTTGGTATGAGTTAGACGCCGTACCCACCGTAGAGGAGCTCCAACTGGCCGTCAATCAGCTTAAAGGCGAAAAAAGTCCGGGCAAAGACGAGGTGTACACGGAGGTTGTCAAGCTCAAGTGCCTTCTCCCAGTCCTTCACAACCATCTGGCTAAATGCTGGGAAACGGGCTGCGTGCCACGGGATATGCGTGATGCCAACATCGTAACACTTTACAAGGGCAAAGGTGACCGCGGCGACTGTCACTGCTACCGCGGAATATCCCTTCTCAGTATCGTCGGTAAAGCTTTTGCTAGAACAATCCTAGGCAAACTGCAGAAACTTGCTGACCGCGTGTATCCCGAGGCACAATGCGGCTTTAGGTGTCAGCGCTCAACCGTTGACATGATATTTTCTCTTCGTTAACTTCAAGAGAAGTGTAGAGAGCAGCAGACTCCACTAGTCATTGCGTTCGTGGACTTGAACAAGGCATTCGATACTGTGAGCAGGGAGGGGCTGTATTCAGTTCTTACTAGGATTGGATGCCCGCCAAAACTTCTAAAGATAGTACAGTCATTCCACGAGAACATGTAGGCCACAGTTTTGCACAATGGCGAATCGTCAGAGCCGTTTCACGTTCGCAGAGGTGTTCGTCAAGGCTGTGTTTTGGCTCCAACCCTGTTTGGAATATTCTTTTCTGTACTTCTTAATGTTGCTTTCGGTAATGAGAATCAGGGCGTCCACCTTCACACACGATCCGATGGTAGGCTGTACAATATATCCCTGCTCAAGTCCAAGCGTCACAGAGAGGACCTCTTTGTTGACAGCCTTCTCTTTGCTGATGACGCTGCCTTCGTCGCCCACGATCAAGCTGAGCTCCAGAAACTAGTGGACAAATTTGTCAGAGCATGTGACCTATTCTCCATGTCTATCAACGCTAAGAAGACCGTAGTTTTAGCGCAAGGAATCTCAGAATCTCCAGTAATTCTGCTAAACGGCACTCCACTGGAGGTGGTCAACAAGTTCTGCTACCTGGGTTCGCAAGTGTCGAGCAATCTCTCGCTTGATGCAGAGATCGATTCCTGCATCGGCAAAGCGGCCACCACGTTCGGGAAGCTCCGTTCTAGGGCTTGGGACAACAAGCATCTAACGTTAAAAACAAAGATGCTTGTTTACGAAGCGTGCGTTCTTAGTGCACTACTATACGGAGCGGAATCCTGGACGACATATGCAAAGCAAGAACGTCGGCTGAACAGTTTCCACATGCGCTGTCTTCGAAGCTTACTAGGCGTCACCTGGAGAGACCGCATGACAAACGAGTCTGTGCTAGGCGCTGCGCAACTACCCAGTATCACCGCCACCCTCAAACAGGGAAGGCTCAGGTGGCTCGGGCATGTGAATCGCATGGAACAGGCTCGTTTGCCAAGGCAAATCTTACTAGCAGAGCTCGCAGATGCAAAAAGACCCATTGGGAGACCTATATTGCGCTTTAAAGATTGCGTCAAGCGTGATATGATCGCATTTAACATTCCAACGCAGCAATGGGAAGAGCTGTCGGCAGACCGAGGCAAGTGGCGCAAACTTGTTCGAGAAGGCCAATCTAAGCACGACGAATCCTGGTTCGATCTTTTAAAGAAAAAACGTACAGGGCGTAAAGAAAGAGCCGCCAACCCCGAACAACGAGGGGGCTTCACTTGCCGAGGGTGCGGCCGAGGGATCACCTCTAGGATCGGCCTCTTCAGCCACGAGCGTAAATGTCACCGCGACGCTACTTAGATCATCTGTCATAGATGCTAAGGCCTATTATGTATGCCACAGTAGTGTATCTTGTACTATGGTATAGTAGTATATCTTGTAATAATTATATGAAAATACAAACGTATATCAGTTGAATCTAAATCGGAAAAAATCAAAACTCACCGGTGTACGGCGCCGTCTCATTGAGTCTGACCAGGGCTATATCGTGCTTGCGATTCCTGTCGTTCGCGTCGTACGAGTCGTGTGGTATGATTTCTTCGATTGCCACACTCGTTGGGCCGGCGGTGCAATCCTCGCCGCCGCCAGGAGTCTCGACGCAATCCGGGCCCGGATTGGAAATGTCGTATTCGCCGAGCCTCACGCTCACACTGTTCGATAGTAAAGTAACAGCCTATATAGTTATGTTCCACTGCTGAGCAAAGGCCTCCTCTCTGTAGAGAGCATTAGGGCCGATTGATGTGAAGAGGGTAATGAAGAGTAATACTTTGCAACACCCGTCCCTACGGAAGATGGAAGGTGGCAAACCTTATAATAAAGCGGGCCCCGGCTACCGCACTCACCAGGGGAAACGCAGAACTATAACACTTCTACTTCGCGCCGGTCTTCTGTGAGATCGCGGTACTTAACCGGATGGACCTGCCCATTTGTGCAACAGCAAAGTCCCGTGGCCCTACCACAGTTCTATAGGTACTATATTATTTTCACTCACGGTGTCGCCTTGTCGAGCACTGTTCCTTTGACGCAGTGGCCGGCCGTCAAGACGTATCTCGAGCTTATCAAGGAACCACCACAAGCCAATTCTATGGATCCAGTATTCGTCATCTCGTACTCTATCAACACCAGCCAGGGGTACTGATCTATTGAAGTCGCGAAGCCGCCTACAACAGAAAGATACGATGATGAGTCAGTCTAATCGTCTCCCGTATCTGCGTGATATATTCGGCGAGACTGCAATTTTATAAATAAAGTACTTCCATGAGTTCCTTATGTGTGTGCATAGTTTTAAACTTCTGGAATATTTTTTTCAGTTGTTAGACATACCTGATGACAAGCTAATAAAAAGAATAATTAAAGAGATCGCTTAATGATATTGCAAAAAATTAACATATCATTATTCTAATTCCACCAGCACCTAAGTAGTAAATCATCAGTCAGCTCGGAGAAAACAAAGTAACTGTTATCGCAGTACATATACTGGAATAAAAGATAATTATTTGTTTTGTCGATTCGTTGTAAGTATTACTTTTTAATTTAATTAGCTTGCTTTAATGCTATTCTGAGGTCCATCAACGTGCTACATTTTCTTGCTGTAAGCTTCACTCACCTACTATTCTGTCGTCATCGGCGCTCTGGTAACCGCAGCAGCCGCCCTCGGGATCTGGGGGCAGTTCCGACGGGGTGCATTCTTCCCTCGAAGTTTCCGTCGCTGTGTGCCTCCTTGGATCGATGTCCCAAAATGGCGTCGACGGCGAAACGCAGCACACACTATACTGATCGTAGCCCTGACATCTGAATGTGAAAATTGATTTTAAACGATCTGATTACTCAATAGCCTAGTAGCCAAGTTATTGGCTTCGACGCCGTGCGTTGTGAATTCGATTATCACACGAGACAACTATTTGTGTGACCCCCTGATAATTGTTTCTTATCTGGGTGTTTCTAAACGCGAAATTTATATTTATTTATTTATTTATTTAAAAACTTTTTTCACAATAGCGTACAATGGTGGATTTAACACCAATAATTGTGAAACGTTCTTTCAACACAGGAAATTACAATTCCACTACAGCGAGGATAATGATTTTCAAAAAAAAAATCGATAGCGTCTGACAATGTATGAGTTTGAAAGTATGCTTTTGATTTTTTTGCTCAGTACTTTATCCCTACGTTAAGACCACATTGGAAGTAAATGCACTTTTGTGATCATCGAGTTTTTGATGCAGAATTTGTTATTCCACTTAAGTGAACAGTGATTTAATGTTTTAAAATAATAATAATAATAATAATAATAATAAAATATCTTTATTCACATAGACGCTTGCGCGTTCTTATGAAACGTCAAAATTTTACAAGAAATTAACACGTTCGTAAGGTACCACCGGTTCGGAAAGCAGTTTCTGTTGAGAAGAAACCGGCAAGAAACTCAACAGTTGCTCTTTTTAAAAAAATCAGTTTACAATATAATAGTACATGTACAATAGTCTTGTTTTAGCCTACGTGAGTATCAACAGTATTAACCCCACACATTGGCGTCGTCAAGATATTCGGCAATAGTATAATAGGCTTTAGCCATAAGTGTACTTTTAATTTTTCGTTTAAATTCATCAAGTGGCAGACTTAACATCGACTGTGGGATTTTATTATACATGCGCACACTTTGCCCCATGAACGATCTGTTTACTTTTTGTAGACGAAATAATGGCGTAGTTAGTTTGTCCTTATTTCTAGTATTTAGTTTATGTCTGTCACTATTCTTTTGATAATTATTAATATTCTGTTTAACATACAAAATATTACAATAAATATATTGAGACGCAACAGTGAGTATATTAATCTCTTTAAAAAGATGTCTGAGTGTATTCCGGGCTCCGATGTTATAAATTGCTCGGACAGCTCTTTTTTGAATAATAAATATTGAATTTATATCAGATGCACTACCCCACAACAAAATGCCGTACGACAAGATGCTGTGAAAATAACTGTAGTAAACAAGTCTGGCAGTGTCGATGTCTGATAGCTGCCTAACCTTCCTAATTGCAAAAACAGCGGAGCTTAACCTATTCGCAAGAGATGATAGATGGGGACTCCATTGGAGCTTTGAATCTACTGTGATTCCCAAGAATACAGCGGACTCAACAGGATTAAGGGTTACGCTATTCAATTTTAAGCTAAAACTTTGCCTTCTTACGTTGGGAAGGGCAAAAAGAAGGCATTTAGTTTTTTTAGCATTTAACACCATATTATTAATGGTAAACCAGTGGAGGATACGCGAAAGTGCACTATTCACGTCGTCATAATTCGATACATTTCGGTCAACCTTAAAAATAAGCGATGTGTCGTCAGCAAACAGTACAACATCACATAACTCACTGGCATAAAAGGGGAGATCATTTATATATACTAAGAATAATAATGGGCCCAAGATCGATCCTTGTGGGACACCCATTTTCATGGGGGACCCTGCGGAATTTACATCATTTATAGATACTTTTTGAATTCTATTATTAAGATAAGAAGCAATGAGATTGAGGGCGATGTCACGAATGCCATAATAATCAAGCTTTAGAAGGAGGGTTTTGTGATCCACGCAGTCGAAAGCTTTTGAAAGGTCGCAAAAAACACCTATTGCATCTTGCGACCCTTCCCAGGCGTTATAAATATGTTTGACAAGTGCAATACCCGCATCTGTTGTCGATCTGCCTTTAGTGAATCCATATTGCTCATTGTGAAAAATTTTGTTCATATTAAAATGTACTAAGAGCTGATTTAAAATTAGTTTTTCAAAAATTTTACTCAGAGATGGCAATATGGAGATAGGTCTGTAGTTTCCTGGATCATTTTTATCCCCACTTTTGAAGACGGGGATTATCTTACTAAATTTCATAAGATCTGGAAATATTCCAGATTCTATGCAGTTGTTAAAAATATTAGCTAAATGTGGTGCAATATATGGCATTATTGTGGTCATTAATTTTATGGACATGCCCCATAAATCCCCTGTATTCTTAAGATTAATAGAATTCAAAACTTTTATAATATCATAAGTATCTACGTGATTAAATTTAAATGTGTGGGGACAAAAGGTAACATTATTTCTTAGAACGTTAATTGCATCTATGGGAGATGATTTTAATGTACGTGTGACATTAACTGCAATTTCAGAAAAATAGCTTTCAAAACTGCTTGCAATTTCATTATCTGATGTTATGGGAGAATTATCTATAACCAGTTTTATAGGTTCCCTGAATATCTTGGGTCTTCCAGATATACGGGTAATGATGTCCCATGTGGCTTTAATTTTATTGTTTGAGTTTATTATTCTATTTCTTATATGAATAGATTTTGCCTGAATACAGACTTTTTTAAATATTTTTGAGAACATTTGTACCCTTTTATGAAAGTTGGGGTCATGATTCCACTGCCTCATATTATATAATTCATACAGTGAATCCCTACTTTTATATATACCCACTGTTGCCCAGTCACTAAATTTTAATTTTGAATTTTTAACAATTGTGTGCGATTTAAATACATCATTATAAGAAGATATGAGGAAGTCAACCATTGATTTATAAGAATCATTAGGATTATTGACTTCTATATCTTTATTTAACATATGATGTGCCACTTTTTCTTTAAAAGAATTTATTCTATTAGTAGTGACTGGTCTACACTTGATCTTATGTTTGCTTGTAATAACTTTTTCATTTATTGAAAATTTTAAACCAAAGTGGTCAGAGCTCAGATAATTTATAACATATTTATCATATACATTATCGTGGCAGAAAACGTTATCTATACATGTCGAGGATGAGTTTGTGACACGAGTTGGTTCATGAAAAAGATTATTAAGTTTAAATGAACTAAATAAATTTAAAAGTCGTTTACTAAGATGTGTCACTTGTAATAAATCCACATTAAAATCTCCACAAACTACTATTGATTTACTACTTGAACAGAGTTTTTTAAGTACATCATCCATTACACACTCAAAGAGATCGAAATCACCTGAGGGGGGTCGATACACGCATACTATAATATACTGTTGACTCTCAACGCAGGATAATTCTATAGAACGTTCGACAGAGTGTGCTACTATATCCTGTCGATTTTTACAGACTATATCAGTTCTTACTAACACAAGAGAGCCACCGCGAATAGCATTTGCTCTTACGAACGAACTTAACAATTTATAGTTCTCTATATCTATAACATTAAAATGCTTATGTAACCATGTCTCTGTGAAGCAGATGACATGGATGTTAAATCTTCTAAGAAATAGCTCAATTTCAGGTTCTTTGCCACCTATGCCTTGTATATTTTGGTGTACAATATTTAATTTAAGTGGCTTAGGTGTTGTCTCAATGTTTAGTTTAAACTAACATTGTTTTTTGTAAAATTATTGCTAAGTAAAATGTTCTTAGTTGTACAATGTACAACTGGGTTTTGTATATTATATGCTACTAAAGTAGCAATTATTTTCTTATAATATAATGGCAAATACCAAGTATTTTTTGTCACCTTAAAACTAGACTTAATAAAACTATTTATGTCAAAATAAAAGAAAGCGTCACTATGACGGTGAGTTGTATTATATATAGTCATGTTAAGACTATATATGTCTTTATTTTGTTCCTCTGTAAGGAAGGAGGAATATGGAAATGCGCATATTATAAATTTACACTTAGTCTTGTAATGTAAGCCCAGTAATATTTCCATATTATTGATAATTTCCTGTTTCCTAACAGATGAACTATCCCCATGAAGTAGTACAATAGTACTATTTTCATTTACATTCAATGTCAAGATTTTATTTATATTTTTCTGGAAACTGGCACCCGGTGAACATATATTGCATACATTATTTATATGTGTTTTGAAATTAGCGAACCAAAACCTTGCCCTATGTTATCTGATACAATTGTAACATTTTGTTTAGTATATATTTCATTTTCATTGTTATTATATGACGGTTGATTGTATTCATGTATGACCAAGTCACTTCCTATCTCCTTAGGTATATTCTGAGTTTTTAATTTGTTTGGAGATTGTGATTTGGAGCAACAACATGTATTTTTGCTTGTAAATGATTCAAATCTATTATAATTATAATTACAAAGATCTAGTAAATTATCAGCTGCTAATATGTGTTCTTGTATTTGTTTTTGAGATGATTCATATTTAGCAGTCAATGTTTGTAGTGTGATATTTAAATTATTAATTTCAGTCTGGAGCTGAAGTGTTTCTTGGTCATACTTAAACCTATTTTGATCTATTTTATTTTTATAGGATTTTACTTTATTAAATAATTTTATCTGCTCATTTTTCATTTCATAAATTTGTTTGTGTGTGTATCTATTTTTTAATAATTTATTCGTTTTCTTGATAAATCTTTTAATTTTGATGTATTTCTTAAGTTTATTTTGTGTATATAGGCGAGATTGCTGGATGCAAGAGTCATCTTTTGTCAAGTCTATAAACATTTGAGGATTACATTCCACCAGCTCAGCATACAGATTTTGGGTTTGGTTTGCATCACGAGATGTATTAATTTGTTCTAATTCAAGGATGGAGTTATTTGCCTCCCTTAAATTAATTTCAAGTTCCGCGATTTTATTTAAGGCCCTCTCATGCTCATTGCTGCACTGGTTGAATGCACTCACAATTTCGTTTAGTTTGTCCCGCTGTGCAACTACATCCAAAAAACTTTTATGAAGTTCAGCGAGTTCACATTTTAATTCAGTGTTTTTTCTTACAATGACCTGAATTTCCTCCTCACTTTCTTCACGCTCTTGCATCAGCTGTTTGCAAAGGTCTTGTGATGTTTTAAGTTCTTGTAATGTGTTTCTTAATTTAATTTCAAGATCCTTCGCAGCTGCTTTGCGGGTGAGCATTACTTTATCCATTGCTAATATTCTGTAACAGTTATAGAGAGAAAAACTGAGATAATGAGGATGGGGAGAAAATTAAAATTAGAAAATAATTTAAAGAAGATTAAAGTTTTAATATTAATAATTAAGCTATAGAGAAGAGATACAAGAAATTTAACAAAATTTAGCAAGGAGATTATATCTTTATTAATGAATTTACAACTATTACTTATATATACTACTATTCTAATTATATACTATTACTATTAATAATGTCTTTATTAAATAATATTGTTTTTAGTTAATTTATGAAGTATTAAACTACCACAAGAGCAATAATGTTATAAAATGATTAAGGTAAATGTTATCTTATAATCACAAAGTTTTGGTTTAATATATTTTGAATGTGTATAAAGGAAGTATTTGTGAAGTAGATTAGAGTAAGGATGTCTGTGGCAAATGTTTTTATCTACAACTTTACTTCCAACTTGTCAAGTAAAGTGAGATGGTAACGGTGCCAAATGTGATGAATTGACGTTACTCACTATATGTGAGTTGTGTTTAGTAATGTAGTGTGTAATTATGTTTGGTATGGCCTAAGTAGGAGATAATATAAAGATACTCCCAGGATTGAGTCGTAGAATTTTGAAAATCGGGCGGTTAGCCCAGTGACAGCTCCAAGATGACTTCGGTTTCTGAAATTTTTCTTCCGAAGTGCACTATATTACTTATTTTCCAATTTTTTTATAACACACACGTAAATAATTTTACTAAAGTAAAAAGATAATTAAATAATAAATTTAACTTAATTTTAAACTTTAAATATACGGAGCTATAATTTTGACATGTTCACCAGGCCAGTGTTGCCCCAATCCCAATATTGGAATTTCCACAGACTGACAAGATATCGAGGAATCCCCGCGTGTAGAAATCTTATTGGTTGAAGGATGAATCAAAATATTTTGTATAAACTTTGACCTGAGTGACGGTTAAAATTTCTTGAAATATAAGGTGTTTTTATTAGAAATGACAACTGAGCTAGCAGTTCTGTTTGCAGTAAATTTAGCAATGGCAGTAGACTGTCACCACAGTATTGAGGATCGTTGTGTTATGTTGTTTGCCTCCAGTTACATTATTCATGCAGGAGAACCAAACGCAAAAATATTAATGACTCTACTTCACGCCGCTCGTTTTGAGGCCATGGTGCTTTCTCGGTCTAGCTGATATTGTCAAATTATTTTTGCTTTACCACCTATACCATCATCTGGGCTAACTTTCATTTATTAAAAGTATAACCACATCAAAATCGGCTATTCATTTAACAGTATTATTAAAATGCCTGGATTCAGGTGGCTCCGGATCGAGTACCGTGACAGTCTTTAGAGGAGGCCTATGTTCAGCAGTGGATCAAACGGATTCAAATGATGTTGATGATTAAACAAATCTATTATATTTTATTTTACCTTAATTTTTGAATGTAAGCCACGTTGGTGAAGAACACTGGTCCTTTGAGCTTCTCGATGAGCGCTGGACACGAATCGAGTCTGCTGCATGTACCGTACTGACCGGTGAACGTTTGGCATCCGGCCGATCTCATCGGCGTCAATGTAGAGCGATGATTCGGACAACAGAACTGTAACGTTACGAATGTTTAAAATCATTTTGAATGCAATAACACGAAGAAGATTGCTACAGAATCGTGATGGAAATTCGATATTTGAATTTCTCTGTCGATTGTTACGCGTTTGTTGTAAAAACAAGCTGTACATTCTTTGTCTTTGTTACAGCTTTTTTTTTCTTTGACGGTTGTGTTGTAAGGAATCTTGTGAGGTCCCGACGATTTTTTTATCAAGGCTTAATTCTGTGTACACCTTTACCTCCGGACTGTTGTAAATCTCCCCATCCAGTTGAGGAAGATTTGGAATACAATAGTGGAGGTTGTGGGCAAAAACGAGATGTTATTTTGACTTTAGTACAAAAAGTGATGATAGATATGCGTACTATGTGTTGACAATATGTCCCTTTCACCTTTGATTACATTGCGGTTTTAAAAAACTTAATTATGTTAATGTACATCGACCCGCAGTAATATATTTTTTAGTAATCAAAAGAAAGCAAGAAGTTAGTAAGCGATCAGGCGCTTCACCCGATGTAAAGTCGATAACCGTCGCCCATGGGACATATAACTCCTTTGGTGTGGCAGATGCGTTACCGAAACTGAAATAATTGGGCCCAGATTTGAGTATTAACTTTCACAAGAATTATTTAAATCTCCTTCAGGTTGACAGATGCGCTGCCACAAATAATTGGGCCCAGATTAACTCTCGTACCAGACGAAACGCAAAAGTGTAACATTTCCATTTCAAGCCAATAATCCGTGAAGCCTTGGAACTTCCCCAGCGCACTTGCCCATTCGTGTAAAAGCTGAAGCTGTTCTCTACTTGTAGTCAAATCTGAAGAGACATAAAGGAACTACGTGATGGATAGATGGAGAATCTTGTTAAGATTTACACAACGTCTATCAACTAAGTGTTTACGAATAAGTGCTTAAAATCTGATATGTTACAATGAACTCTATATTAATAATACTTGCCAAGTTTTGGTGGTGTTGTCTTCCCACTAGACATTTGGAATTTGTAAATATCAAGTAGTCGTAAAGTGTGAGCGTTTCCATCGGTCGATTGTTTAAAACTTGAAGCCGCCTGCACGCGTGTAGGCGGACACAGATCCCCGAAACTCCATCTGGCGTCGTACAGCGTATGGCTGTGAAATAAACGGTGTTGAATAGCAGCGCCTAAGTGAGTTTATAAGGAACTAGCGACCCGCCCCGGCTTCGCACGGGTGCAATGTATTATACATATTAACCTTCCTCTTGGATCGCTCTATCTAGTAAAAAAACCACATCATGATTCGTTGCGTAGTTTTAAAGATCTGAGCATAATACATAGGGACAGACAGACAGCGGGAAGACTTTGTTTTATACTATGTAGTGATGAAGTCTTTCGGTTCTCGTCGACTTCTACGACTATTGCGAGTGTTGACATAGACAAGGAAGGAGCGTGTTTTTCCTTTTGCAACTAGAGACGGAGGGAAAAGTTAAAAAGTGTTAAAGTGGGAAATGTTAAAAAGTGTTAAATTTCGATTTAAAGAGTAGTTTATATGGAGAGAGTTTCTTGTACGCTTAACTGCAAATAGTGCTTAATTTTTACGCGATATAAGTATTCCAAGGATGTCTTAATAAAGATGAGGCATGTCCATACTGCGCAGCGTTTAAAAATTGTTCCCCTTTACATAATATGATATATATCAATGAATGTGACGGATGATATAGAACGAGATACGGAAAGAGAAGCAGTCTATAGAATTACAATCTAATTACAATCGGTGGTAGATTTTTTGTTGACGTTCAATAAGAGCTTAAGTTAGGCCTATATTGAATAAATATACTTTGACTTTGAATCGATTGGCGAAATTTTGGTGTCCGTTTCGGTGTGCCAGTGTCAAATCGATGTCCATCAAGCCATTTACAATTAAGTGCTTACGATCTAATATGTTTTCAATGGAAAAAATAATCGATACTTGCCATGATGATTACCTTAATTCGTTTTTAATCTGTTTCATAATAACTGTAACGTTGAATAAGCGATCTGTTATAATAAGGTACTAGTCAGTTCTTGATTAAGATTAAAAATAATGAGTGGACGAAATTCCAAAAAATCTGAATACTTAATTAATTAATTGAATAATTCTTTGAAAGTAAAATCTTTAAATTATTTGTACCGAGTCCGCTTTTGAAATTTAGTATAGTTTTTTTCTACGGTCTCGAGCCAAAACTAAGAATTAAGTAGATAAGTTATATAAGTGTTAAAGTAGTTATCGACTTTCACGTTCTTAATTCCTTGAGATAATTCACGACGTTTTGTAAAAATTATCTTGGATTTTGCATTGTTCTAAGCCGTGGTCAATTTATGCTGAAGCTCAACTTGATTATATACACATTTGTAAATCAAAAAAATGCTTATGGGCGTGCATTCAGATGCCACTTCGTTGGGTCAATTAATGGAACATAATACCATATTTATAATAGAATACACAGTATCAAAAGTATTTAAACCAGATAGGTTAAATAACATATGCTACACAACACGCATTGACTTCTTGTAACTTTCCTTTTGGTAACCTTTAAAACAAGCACTCATTTGATTTGTGAAGTCTGAAACTCACTTGATTTCACGCGTTGAACACAAACCGCTACAAAAATCACTGTCATCAATAATTTCTTCATGATTTTGTATTACCGAGGTCTCTTCTGTATGTCATTCGTCTCGTTTCACCGGCAGAACGTTACTGATTTGTGTATCGATATATTATTAGTATATATCGGTGCAACAATTTGATGACTCCGTGGCGCAGTTGCCAATGTCATTCATTCGCTTCGGCGTTCGGGTTCGTGGGTTCGATCCCCACACGGGATAACTACTAGTAGGACGGGACAACAACTAGTATTAACTAGTAGTAGGACGGGACGCAGATAGTAGGGATTGCAACTAGCGTCATTTTCGGTCCGGCCGGATGCGGCCGAATTACCAAATCGATCGGATTCAGCCGGATTTATCAAATCAGGATGATTTTCGCTTTTACGGTTTTTTTAGAATATATCTTAATAAATTGTGTTTATTGTTGTTTGCTCTAGTTTGTTAGTTTTTGCGAAATTTTACATTTATCATACAAATAATGTTTACTTTTATAAAGCAAATGCTACGCTTATATATATAATATTGAGTTAATAAATTTTACAGATTTTCTTGTAATTTATTAAGATTTAGGATAATTTTAACACTTTACAACATAGTCAGAGTTGATTTATTTTGTAAGCGCAATTTTATTCATAAAACGATTGGCGAACCGTCGATTACTATTCCATTTATATTGAACGTCGTTAAATAATTAAGTTGCCTCTACCATTATAAATAACGAGCAATTTCAATCCAATTTCCACCAATCTTATAATCAGAGAGAGGAATTAAATATACGATCTAGGGTCTTGCTATGACTCAACTTCTGATAATAATAAATTGAATTCTAGTTAATTTGACGGTAAGGGTCACTTTGAATTAATCTATATTTGGTCATAATGATATAAGTATATATAAAACTAACTGTTTACTTTGATTTTGAGAAAGGAGTTCAGTTCAATGAGCCATATACACTTTGATTTTATAATAATAAAAGGGTTCTGTTACAAAAATATGTTAAGGGAATAAATAAATTAGAATAGACACTAGAAATAACATTTTTTTTTATTATTCACCTCTTGTACACTTAGAGTATGTCCAATTGTCTAAACAAATCATCGTTTCTTTATTGCACGAAAACTGCTTACTGTTAACAATAGGCGGTCATGCCGATGTCAATTCAATTCCTAGGAACAACTAATCCCAGCGTCTGGTCTTCGATTCACGGCGTCTATCGGTGCTCCCCTTTATCTATCCGCTCTAACACACAGTTGATGCATTAGATCGGCTACGGTCTGATCTGACTCCGTATCCACGGCAGATACTCGTAGACCTTCGTGTAGACCCCCGGCACGTTCATCTGGCCGCACGGCAGCGGACCGAAGCTCACCACTCCGATCACCTCGAACAGCCGCCGGTTTTCGTACATCAGCGGTCCGCCGGAGTCGCCCTTGCACGAGTCCTTGCCGGCCACGCCGCCGGCGCACATCTGACCACCCCACAGTTGCATGTTGAACTGGGGCTCGTTGTATTTGGCCTCGCATACCTGCGAAACGTAATATTGGTGTGGCTGCACTGTGGTAGGACCACGCCACAGTGATCGCTGTTGCACGGATGGGCTGGTCCGTCCGGATTAGTACCACGACCTCACGGAAAACCGGCGTGAAGTGGAAGTATTACACTTATTTTTATTTACGTTATTACACTGCGTTTCGTCTGGTGAGTGAGGTAGCCGGAGCCCACTTTATAAAAATTTGGCAACGCATCTACAGTACTATCACGTAACTTTAGATGCCAGCGCGCTTATTACGTTCTCACATAAGAAAAAGAAATAGAATCTGAATAAATGTTATAATTACACTTCGCGGAACCAAAGGCAAGTCTACGTGTAGTTTCAAATTACTGCTACTCGTGGTCATGTCGGTTGCTCCCCAGCCGGCCGTGAATAGCTTTTCGTCGGGAGCAAGCGATACGGTCACATCCGTGATAGGCAGACAGATGGGACGAATGAAATCTGAAAAGTAATAACATGATTTTGACTGAAGACATTGTAAATCGGAATTTATTACGTACTTGGCTTTTTTTGGTTTAATAATAATTTAAGATTTAATTTTAATAATTGAAGAATAAACCAGTTAATTTTCAATGTTTCCGAAACATTATAGCTTTATTACTTGAATGTCAGGACAATTTGTTACATGTATCTTTTATTTCCAAAAGAGCGTTAATTTATAAACTTTGCAATGCTCACGAGCAAAGGAAATGATCATTTGTTTTGGCGTTAAAAATGTCAACAACCCAAGGAATCCGAAGATTAGATATACTTAGATCTACGGCCGGTTTCAGTATTCTACCTATCTAATGATTTGCTAGCGATTTGACATTGGCTCCATAATACTTATGTCAAAATTCTATGTCTCTTAACTTTAACTTAGAATATTAAAACCGGCCGCTGATATCTACGGATATCTTATTTACGGAGACAGATTAGTTCGTTCTGTTGCTTAGTTTAATACTACCTGTGTACGGAGCCATTTGGCTCAGCCTGATCAACGCGATATCGTTCCTCTTCAGCCTGCTGTTCGGATCGTAGGTTGGATGCGGAACCATTTCTTCGATCGGCACTACCATAGCGCCCGGTGTGCAATCCATGCCGCCACCTTCGACCTCCATGCAGTCAGCTCCGGAATTGGAGATGTCGTATTCCCCAAGCCGTACGTTGGTCCTTTAGATAATGAATAAGTAAATAATATTTTAGGACACATTTTTACAAAACGTTCTCTAAGCAACGCTTGTACTATGGATACTAGATCACTGATAAACATACGTAAATATACTTTTCTTTTGTAAATAAATACTTATTAAACATATATAAACACCCAGACACTAGAAAAACAATGTTCATCACACAATATTTTCCAGTAGTGGGGGGGATCGAAACCACAGCCGCTGGCGCAAGAGGCAGGTACAGTACCCACTACACCATTCGAGTTTTCTAACTAATGAGTTGGTTATGATTGATTTATTATTAGTCAGTTTTAATTTAAGACCTTTTGTGTCTGGGGATTTAGGATGAGACGGTCAAAAGAAGCATCATAATTCGCGTTTCGAAATCCTAGCGATATAAATCAATGAGCGGGGTTTTTTAACGTGCGGAAATTAAAACTGTAGAAAAGTTTTTGCTGCTGCCGGAACCGAACCCACGTTTTCCGGATTTGTGCCCAGACAATAACTAGCAGGACAGTACAGAGGAGACCTTTGCCTAGCAGTGCGATATATATATGCTGTTACTTTACTTTTTTTTTACTTTTATTTTAACTACAACTAAGCTAAACGGCTGATTGCCACACAACACACAACAACGCTACGCCCCGTTTACCTAATTAATTAGACATTTCGTCTAGTGAATGCAAAAGTATAGACTATTATATCTTAAGCTGAGCTGTTATGATTCTATGGCACTTGCAACCACCTTAACCTGGACTTGATGATGATTTTACAACAAAAGAGGTCTTACTTTAGGTATAGCAAAGCTATTTCGGTCATGTTTGCAGTTTCTAATTCTGCCTACACGTTAAAATACTTACGGTTTCCCTTGATCGAGCACGCGCCCTGCTACGCAGTGGGCCGCGGTCAGCACGTATCTACCGCTGATGAGGACCCCACCGCATAGCAGCTTGATCTGTGTACCGCTCAAGTACTCGATGATCACCAGCCATGGGTATTGATCTATAGCTGTTTCGCTGCCGCCTGAAATTTGAGTTGGTTTCTCAAGTTGGGATGGAGAAAATCGTTTTAATTGAAACATTTTAGCTAAATTGTGCGCTGAAGTATATGGACTGCATTTTTAGCCAAAAAGGACTTTAGGAACTGGTACTTTAACATATAACAGCAGTCCGAGACTATGGTACGATAGCACTAATCTTTTGTCGGAACCTTTTCATATATTGGACTATTGTGGGAATGAAGTGTATAGATATGAAATACTTGTTCAAGCTACAGCATAAAATAGAAAAAAAAAACTACCTCGCTCCTTATCGTTGGAACCTAGTGATTTCGATTATTAAAAAATCTATTTTACTGAGTTTCAGTTTGGTTTTAATTCCCGATGGGATAGATTCAGGTGCTTTACGTTTTTTCGTCATAGTTAATCTGGCCTGCCGTTAACTCTCTTTGATATATGATGAAATTGTCGGAAAATTTTCGCCGGTACCAGGATTATGGATTATGGTAACAGGAATATACATGATTACGAGCACAAATGATCTAGCCAATAAACTAAGCGGTCAATATTCTCAACGTGCGAAATCTCGACGTCCTACCTACTTTGTTTTTATTGCATTTCTAGAAATGATTGGTGTCATCTAACATGCTTCCTTTACGACACACATTTCTCGAATTCTAGCAGCGGCGAAAAATCTCATGGACTAGAATTAAAAATTTGTAAGAATAAATAATGTATATACATTAATAATAAGTGATAATACAATATTAAACGAACAGAGCTTCTAATGAGCATAACTAAGAGTCAGATATATTTAATCATTTTTACAAGTCGCCACTTCATTGTACGAAGCTGAGAGAGCTCACCCATTATCCTGTTGCTATTTTCGCCTTCTTTGCCGCAGCATTCGGTACCTGGTTCCGGTGGGAGTGCGGTGGGGGTGCAGACTGTGGGACGCGGTATGAAAGGTTCGACCTTCGGTAGGGCACAGCAGACGCTGTTTAGTTCGGGACCGTAGCATCTGCAACATTAATTATGAATGCGAAAGTTCTAATATATATAAGCTAAGATCGACCCTTGATTGGGATTAAGTTTTGATTGGAGGTAGATGGATTGATGCGGAATAGCCTTAAATGATACAAGCTATCCTACTTTTATCATTTAAAGCTATTTCGCATCGAAAACAACTACATGCGATGGGATATTCGATTTCTATTCAGTTTCGTCTTAAGACCTTTGTAAACTAGCAAAAGTAAAGTGACGTCAGTCTATGTATGTTATCCTGCTTGGCAAAGGCCTCCTCTGTACAGAAGGTATTAGGAAATAGTCCACCACGCAACCCACTACGGATTGGCGGACTGCACATATCTTGGAACTTTTCTTTTTGTTATTATTTGGATGATATGTTAGTTTCGTCGTGTTTTCTTTCACCGCTGAGCACGGGGATGATTGATTTCTTCAAATCCGCAATCCCGTACAGCAGCTTTGGCAACGTCAAAAATAGTCAAAATTATATTTATTTCTAAAGCTAATTAAACTAAATTAATTTGTTATTATAGTATTGTGTGGTTTCGCTTACCTGGAATTTTGAATGAACACTCTAGCCGCATTAGTAAGCGGTTGTTGCAGTAGCCTGTTGAGATGAGGGCACGTATAAACGCTGATACATTTTCCCTCTTTGTTATCGGGCGTGAAGCATTTGTTCTCTGAAGTCGGCTGAGGCTGTGACTCAGGGCAGCATACCTGTAATTACAGTGTGCTTCTATGAATTTAGAGTGATGACTGTTTTCTATTCAACGAAGGTGTTTACACGGCTATGGCGGTTATGGTGACACAGTGGTAGGGTCTGGAGCTGCCCATTCGTACAACAGCGAAGACTGTGGCAGCTCCGTCCGGGTAAGTTTTTTATTTATGGGGAAAAAGTGGCAATCGAGCAGGAGGCACACCTGATGGTAATTGATCACCGCCGCCCATAGACACCTGCAACACCAGAGGGCTTACAAATGCGTATCACGGCTTAGCAGAAGACCGGCGTGAAGTGGAGGTGTTAATACTTCTGCGATTCGTCTGGTGAGTGAGGTTGCCGGGGCCCACTTTATTAAAGGTGGCAACGCATCTGCAACCCTATGGGTGTTGCAAATGTCGGTGGGCGGTGGTTCTCATTTAACATTAGGTAAACCGGCAGGTCGGTAGCCACTTTTTCACATGAAAAAACAACAGTACCCTCGTCTGTAAGCAATTACCATTGGTGTGTTCCCGTTGAATCCGCACTGAGCCTTCTTCAGGGTTTCGTAGTCTTGAGGCGTCGGATGCGGCACGTTAAGTGTTGACAGCAGCGGTTGGCACTTGTCCAATTCTATGCACTGATCGGGCCTGCCGGTAACCTTTTTGCACGGAGTCTCTGAAATAACATTTAATTGACAATTCCGTAAGATGACAGCTTTATTCGTGTCGCCAGGTGGTGGTAAACTCCGACCACTCGAGTAACCAGAATTTATCACTTTTATAATTGTAGATTAATAAAGAGATTGATGTAGGTAGGGGAGCTTCTTGTATGGAGAAGGGGAGGAGAATGATCCCTGGGAGAGTTTAATGAATCGGTTGGCGCAGGTATAGATTAAGCGGCGCGGGTCGTGCTTGAAGAAAAAATATCGGTTTTGACACACGGACAGACAGACGGACAAAAGAGTGATCTTGTAAGGGTTCCTTTTTCGCCATTTGAGGTACGGAACCCTAAAAATGTCACTGATAATTGCTCCAGATTATTAGTAGGTATTTCTCTCCGTTCAATTTGTATCTACAAGTCTTTTTTTTAATTAACAAAAAACAAAACCGTCTTCAAACATCACACTTTGTATTCATTCTATAATTGATTTCCAGGAGTTCGCTAAATATCTTCGGAGCCCAATATTCAATACCAATTACATTAATATAGGACGACACGGGAAGCACCAGCTTTCAAATAAAAAACCAATTATCAAAATGGTTCACTCAGACGTTGTGAGGTAACAGACGTAAAAAAAAGCAGTCGAATTGAGAACTTCCTTCGTTTTTGATCGAGTCGGTTGATAACAATTTTCTACAAATCTTATACTTTAAAGGAGCAATTCTTGGGTATATATATATATATATATATATATATATATATATATATATAATCGGAATCTCGGAAACGGCTCCAGCGATTTTCATGAAATTGGGTATGTGTGGTGTAGGACGACCCCCCACTAGATGGAGTGACCACCTGTGCAAATGTGCGGGAAGTCGATGGATGCAGGTGGCTCAGGATCGTACTTCGTCGCAGTGTTTGGGGGAGGCCTATGTTCAGCAGTGGACTCAGACAGGCTGAAATGATGATGATGATGATGAAGATTCGCAAATCAATTCAAAATAATGCGAAAAATCGATCTAGCTAAATTTAATTTTTAGAAAATGTCCTTTTATCCCTGTTTTCAGGGGAATGAAAAGTATCATTCGAATATGACGGTAAATTTCGCCGCAAAAAAAATGTTATGATAGCTCGGTCGGTAATCGGGCGGCCCCAAAACAGACGGCCGCGGTTCGTATCACCATCATTTACACACTTGTTTTTTTTTACCTTTTTTTCTATACTAGTCATTTATATATTTTTTTTTATTTCCAAAATATGTGATTTACCAAGAAAAAAACCGAGCAAAGCTCGGTCCTCCACGTACTGAATAGTTAAATCCTACAGTAGGATTGACATCAGGCGTTGTGCCGCCCCACTTAGTTCGGATAATGGCATGTAGATGATGATTTTGATGATATTTCAGCCAAAAATCTTTTAATTAATGAAATAGAGGACTTATCATAATCGATAAGTAAAGCAATATAAACGAGTAAATGTTCCAACGAAATAATTACTTTTTAATTGGACATTATATATTCAATATCTAGGTTAAGCGTCATGATTTATTTTCAAATAATGTCTCAATCATTGAGTACATACATATATTGCACATTTATTATACAAATCCTATTTAGGAGTAAAATATAATTTAACGCAATTCGCGGTGGTAAAACTGCAGTGTCATCGGCACACAATACAATCTATTCGGCAAAGCAACAATTTATATTTTTTATTTATACCAATTATTTGGCCTATTTGGAATCAGACGACCGGCATGTTGGGGTTCCGTTGATAATTACGTGTTGATTTTCTGTTCTATTGGACATAGAGAACAAATTTAACTCTAACTTTTAAGAAAATCAGAACGAAAAAGATAAGATAAATAATTCTTGTTAAAGATAAAGTACAATAGTATATAATATATTATTACTACCGCTTAGTAGTAACATCTATAAATGGTGTTGTGGTGCCATACAACAAAACTGTTAAAAACCTTGGTGTTCACTTCGACTCTACTTTCTCGTGGTCTCACCAGTTAAAGGAAGTTAGCAGGAAAACATTTGCAGCCATGGGTTCTCTGCGGCGCTTACGTTCTTTTCTCCCCATTCCTACTAAGATTATGTTAGCACAATCCTTACTTCTTTCCCTTCTCGATTATGCGGACGCAAGCTATCTTGATTTAACCGAGGACCAACTTAACAAGCTTGAGCGAATTCAAAACTTAGCTATCAGATTTATTTTCGGTCTACGCAAGTATGACCATGTCTCCGAATATCGTACAAAGCTCAAGTGGTTACCCATCCGCCTTCGCCGGAATCTGCATATTGTTTCTCTTCTGTACTGTGTTTTGTTCAATCCTATGACTCCGAGTTATTTGAAGGAACAGTTTAAATTTCTTGGTCATGACAGACCAGAAAGAGTTCTGCGATCAGCCAGTGAACTCATTATCACCCCGCATACTTTCCGGACCAATTATTTTAAGAACTCTTTTACGGTCAAAGCCATTTGCCTATGGAACGCGCTTCCTCCACACATCCAGCGCTCAAAAACGTTACGCAAGTTTAAAACTGACGTTAAACATTATTATCTGTCACTGTGTTCAAGCTGATTATCACCGACGACATTTGTATATTTATTTTTTATTCTTTTCTTCCTGTATATATTTTTTTAAGTTATTGTACAGTATATGTTTAGATTAATGTATGTCTATTGGATCTTATTTCGTATATATTAGTATATTATTATTATACAAAAATACAACATATTCGTTTAGTTTATTTAAATATTAGTATGTAAGTTTATCATTTACACCACCTACCATTGTCCAAATTAAATATTTTTAACCACAAGGTTGTCTGGAAGAGATCGCTCCTTAGCGATAAGACCGCCTTATTGTTTATACCTCTTAAGTTTATAGTTCTGTAACATTTCCTTTCATGTTTTTTTGGTGTTCAATAAAGAATATATAATAATAATAATAATCTATATACTTTTGCTACGTAACATAGACACGAATGAAGTAAAGTAAAAGTAAAGTAAAGTAACAGCCTATACATGTCCCACTGCTGGGCAAAGGCCTCCTCTAAAGAGAGGGTATCAGGGCATAGTCCACCACGCGGCCCCACTGCGGATTGGCGGACTTCACATATCTTCGAAATATATTTTTTTTTTTGTTATTATTTCGAAAATATGCAGGTTTCCTCACGATGTTTTCCTTCACCGCGGAGCACGTGACAAGTCAGCACTTAAAGTTAAAAACTTCATTGGTGCCGGCACCGGGGATCGAACTCAGGTTGCTCGAGTATATTGAATTAAAGGCGAGCGCCCGGACACTGAGCTATCACGGCTCTTAATGAAGTAATCGAACTCTTTAAAATATATGATTGACATCAAACATAAAAAATACTATGATCCGAACCTAATTTGTTAGTGATCTGAATTCGGTTCCTCAATCGGAACCTAATCACGATACCAATGAATTTTCAATCAAAACTAATTCCTATTGAATTAAATTGAGGAACGCGTTTAAAGGAAAAGCTTGTGTTTAACTTACGACCATCGACGAGCACGCTGTTCGAAATAAGGACGGACAGAAGCACAAGCAATGACATTTTATGTACGGCGCTCACCGAACTGTCGAGCACCGCTCCTTTAGACGGTTGACGCGCTACTGCTGGGAAATACCTGCAATACACTTCAGGCCACTTACAGTTCACCTCCGGTGGTAATAATAGGCTAGTTCACCAATTTTGAAAAATTGTGTAATAAATACCTTAGTATGTATTTTACACCAAAAATCAGTTCATTTAAAAAAACATCGAACATCTGCAATAAGTAAGTTCTCCAGTCACAAAATATTATCTGAGTCGCGTCGCCGTGTCTTGCACGAGGTAACGTAATACTTTCTGATGGGTGTCAGTAGTTTAGTTTTTTCTGATCTTAATTATTAAATTAATAATTAGGAACTCTAATCTGACTAATCTATCGGCTTTATTATAAGTGGAGACAAGTCTATTACTTGTTTAGTCCCGTGATAGAGTAACTGAGGATCACTGTTTGGATGCCGGTGAAATGCATAAAGAATGCACACTCAAAATAGAAGGGTTGCATTGCCGATGTCCATCTGCTTAATTCGTATGGCAGTCTAGTTGGCGATAAGAGAGTTAGAATTAAACTAATGAGATAATTAATTAGACTTAGAATACAACTAAAAAGAAATTCATTTAAGACTTCAGGTGTTGGTTAATTATATTAATGAAGGAAATAAATAAGTACTTATCTACAATCATAACAAATAAGATATATAAATAAGTAAATAAACTACGGAAATATATACAGACACATACGTATATACAAATACATACATATCTTTGTAAATATATGACGTTAAAGAGATACGCACAAGTAGTGATTCTTTACAAGATTTTTCAAAGCAGTTATGACTGAGCGCTCCCTTACTTCTGGACGTAAATCATTCCAGAGTCGCGCACCCTGCATCGTAAATGATCTACCCATAAACTTTGTTTTGTGCGTAGGAATTTCCAACTCCAAATTGTTTGATGGTCTCAGAGACCTTAGAGCGGAAATCACGTAGAAATTATGAAGGAATAGCTTTTCTCCCGCGGCTTCGCTCGCGTTGAAGCCCTTTAATAAATATGTTTCCTTCAAAAAAATTCCAATTAAAAATAGCCTTTGTCCTTTCTCAGGCTCTAGACTATCTGTATTTTTGTATTCATTATTTTTTCATTTAAATCGGTTCAGTAGTGAAATCGAGACATTCAGATAGAGTTACTTTCGCATTTAGTATGCATGTAATGTTAATATTAGTATGAATTAGACAGAATATTGTAAACAAGATAAAGTACGTGAGCATTCCGGCGAAGACTAATCGGTAGCCACTTGAGCTTAGCACGGAAATGTGCGATGTGATCATATTTGCGCAAGTTAAATTTTAAATTCAAATTTTGCTTAGAAAATAGTCAAATTTTTGAATCTTATGCAAAAAAAATTAAATAGCCCATCAAGTAACTCCTCGGTGAGGTCTACGATAGCTCACATACGCATAATCGGGTTTTAGAATGGAAGAAGTAGATGCCGATAGTACCTTTGTGTTGTATGTTGTTATGCAAATAATTACTTATTATACGAATCATGCTTACATGTATATTGCACATATATACATATATTTTGTAACAAATCGCCTGTGCTTAAAATTCGAACCATCAGCTTTGTAAAGAAGGGAGGACCAATTTATATCTTTAGGCGCGTTTGGAAAATTTGTGAGAGTAAAATTTTTGTGATGCGAAGTCAAAAAGCGATATGATGAAGTTGTTGCAAAGCGACCAACTTCGACTAACTTCACTGTATTACATTGACATTTAACTATAGCTACGGGTTATTTAATTTAACTGTTATCAAAAAAAGTAGTTACTGGCACAGGGGATAAGAATTTTAGTTATTTTTCTTTTTCACGCTAAGGAATATAGCTTCTTAAGTGCGTACATAAGTAGACACCTTATACTTTTTTCTGAATAATCGTCTGTTCTCTTTACTTTCTTTATTTCTGCACTAGCAAAACCTATATACGTTATTTTAATATGCTCTTCTATAATTCTGTAGATACCTCATTAATTTGTTGGCTGACTTTTATAATAATTATATATCAATAAAAGTTTGTATTTTCTATCTTCACGTTGTGAAATAAACGTGTCATTGGCGTTTAGTAATTTCTTTATTTCGCATATGGATTCCGAATAAACTAAGCAAGCCAAAATAAAATGCACCCTATAATTCTTTATGGATTTATTTTTAATTGTAAGCAATTCTAACACTATGTAATACCATTGTTTCAGGAGCAACAAAGGAAATCGGAACGGCGCTCACTAGGGTTTGTCTCCGTCATCGCGCCATAGAGTCCAGGATGAAAACATTCATAAGGTAAATAACATTGTCTTTTTTATTTCCCAATCTGTAATACATCAACGAAATTATCCGAAAATTACAGAAGGCAAAGCAAATAAGCCGTCACTCATGTTAAACAGCATAATTAAATAGATATGATGAGTCACTAGATAAAAGCGTTCACAGCGCTATTAGGTTTTTCTGCTTGATGTAATGTGTGATCTTTTGTGACGTGTATGTTTTAGACACATATATTCGCGTGCATCAATTAAGAATATGTATCTACATGACGGTAATTAATAGTAGTCACTTCTAGTTCTGAGAAATGTTTTTGGCGGTCAAATTGTTGATACTTATGAAATATTTCTCTAATCCGAGGGGATAAACTGTCATACTATTACATAAATGTAATTGTTCCTGGTGTTTTACTCTTGTTATCTATAACTATTTATATATCTAAATATATTTACAACAATTGCCGTAATGTGATTGCCACAGTTTCGGCTCGATTGTATCATATCTACTATTTGTATATTATATCATTGTTGCCATACCATTTTTCGGCTTGAAATCAGACACCGCCGATATTCCACGGCTCACTTTGCCACAGCACGCTGATGGAGCGTTTGATCTCGCCGCTGTCCGAGCGCGCGGACGAGTGGCGGAGGGGGTGCGCGGGGGGCGCCGGCGCCCTCGGCAGGGAGCACGCCAGGGAGTGCAAGAGGGCGCGCGCCGAGCTCAGGCGCAGGGTGCAAGAGGCGCAGCGCCACGCGAGGAAAGCTAGGAGGGCCGCTCCTGACGCCAAAAGGCGCGCCGATGTATGCATGCAGGTCGGTGAAGAAAGCTAGATTTGTTATTGTTAGACTAGTGAAATAAACGTCAGGTAGACCGACTAATTCTTTTTGAAGCTACACTTCTTTTGGCGTGTTTGGAAAAAAATATGAGAGTGAACTTTATACGACGCTCGCGCACACCGACAGCGACATCGTGAAGTTGGCTGCAAAGCGACCAACTACACGGTTTGTGTTTTTTAAAAAGTTTTTGTTGTTATAGGAGTGTGAGAGTGTATGCTTTTTAGAATCTTTATCTACTTTAAGTTTATGCCAGGTTATATATAAGGTATAGGTTTGACTTGAAATAGCTATTCGAGATCGAATCTATCTGACTGCTATATATTTATTTGAAATGCAACATACAGAAATAATACTCTCATGCAGGGTATACATTTTAAGAAATAAATAGTGCTTATACAGGCACACACCGATGAAATGATTAGCAATTATGTCCTGACCCTGAAAATATACTTTCCCAATACCAGGACGTTCAGGAACGTAAGCAACAGCTGGAAGAGATGGAAGAGAAAGCAGTCAAAGCGGCGCTAATCGAAGAACGCAGCCGCTTTTGCCACTTCGTCACATTGCTGAATCCCGTCGTGGTACGTAACTTAATCATTATTTGTAATCATCAGCAGATGATGACTCCGTGGCGCAGTTGTCAAGGTATTGGCTTCGGTGTCGGTGGTCGTGGGTTCGATTCCCACACGGAACGACTATTTGTATGACCCACAGATAATTTTTTTGTATCTGGGTGTTTGTCCACGTGACTATGTATGCGAAGCGTCCTTACAACACAATATAATGTTATCCAGCAGTAAAGATTCTTATTAACTTGGTTATTTCACATCGGGTGGTGAAGAAAGATCCCCTAAGAAAATCTACATGTCTGAAAATACACTCAACTCGACCGCCATCGACACTACCTTGATATTTCGTTTGTGATTCAGTTTTTTTTTCTAATGAAATTAGTCAATAATGTGTGGACTGATAGTTCCAAATTAACTTAATCACCAATGTATTTCATCCATAATTGTTGGCAGAAATGTTTACTTACTCTCTTTGACTCCTGAACAACTTTTTCTTTCTTCTTACATGCTTGTTACATGCTATCCTCTTCTTAGATGCTATACTATATTTTTCTTAAGGGACCAACACCGTTCAGTCTTTATTCCTATCATTTGCAGGAAAGCGAAGTGGCGATGCTTGCCGAGGTTGGACACTTGCAAGAGGGCACTGATCAGTTGACGCGGCACACGTCTGAACCCAGGACTTTGCCTGCTGCCAGTCTCCAGGTGAGTCCGCAATATAGAAAATTTATGTTTGCTCATTGTGGTAACTCTCTTTGGTTGACTTGTCTTTTAGTGACTAGACTTGTCCTGAGTGAAGTTGTCTCCTAGAGTCCGGTGCGCGTACCAACTGCAAAAATAGCTATTATATGAGAAGGCGGCAAGCGAGCTGGGGGCTCATGTGATGTCAAGTGATAACCGCCGCCCATTGATATATTCAACACCCGTAGTGTTGCTACCTTGTAATAAAATGGGCCTCGGCTACCTCACTCACCAGATGAAACGCAGGCGTAAAGTCGTGGTACTTAACCGGATGGACCTGCCCGTTAGTGCAACAGGGAAGTGTTACCCGGAAGACTAAGGTTCGAATCCCACAACATCGAAAGCTTTGGTCCATTCATTTACAAAAATTCACATTTTAAATCTGCGATCACTAAACCGAATAGGAACGTTTTATCGATTGTATACCGTCGTGTAATGAGATAGAAAGCAATTTAGATGGAGGTAAGATCGCGAGGGTAATCCCTTAAAATATCCCTCTGCCGTGGCTTGGTTGAAGTTCAGAGGCGCATTAAAATTTCACTTGTCCAGTGCCTGGTACTGTATTTTATTACATTTTATTTTAGTGTAAGTTCTTATTTTGCTTATTCTTATATTATTTAAAAGATAATGACATTACACAGAATTTGACAATGATGCACAAATTAAAATAAATGAAAATAAAAAAACACAATGGAAGTCTATGTAGTGTCAGTAAGGCCGTGAAATGGACAGGACTCTGTAAAATTGCAGATTAAAATAAAATAAGAGATTAAATTAAAATTAGAGATACAGAAACTTGTACAAGTCCATTCTTTTATTAACGAAAAACAAAACCGACTTTAAATATCTTGCTCTGTATCCATTCTATAATTGATTTTCAGCAGTTCCCTAAGTAACTCCGGAGCCCAAGATCCGACACCAATAGAATTTGGGACAACATGGGAGGCACCAGCTTTCAAATAAAAAAATTATCATCAAAATCGATTCACTCAGTCGAAGGCTCTGTGGTAAAAAAAAATACAGTCTATTTGAGAACCTCCTCCTTTTTTGAAGTCGGTTTAAAATTGTTCCGACCCCGGCACAGGTTTACAGTCCGGCCCGTTCTAGAATAGAGAAACTTAAATATAATTGTTTATGTTTAAACTTTTCATTTACGTTACTTGCAGGTAATCTGCGACGTGAAGGCCTGCTACAGCGGCTGGGCGGAGAGCGACTCCGCCCCCCACTCCCCCTCCGCCTCGTCCCGCCTAGGCAGCCGCAAGTCCTCCCTTACGTCCATTTCTTCGCTGAACAGCCAGTGCTCCGACCAGCAACACGGTCAGTTCCCGTGCCAATCGGCAAATAGATTGATAGAAATGTTCGCATCATCATCATCATGATCGTGATTACCATGATTATCATTGACACCGTTTGTTTGTGGTGTTCTTACTTTAACTTATCACGCCCAATGAATGTGCCTGATGGCACATCACGCGCATATTAATAAAAACATTTAACGGTGGTAGGGCCACGCAGCAGCCTCAGCTGTTGTATTCACTTAACATCAGGTGAACCGCCTGCTCGCTTGGCAACTTTTCATATAAAAAAAAACATTCGTATCATAATCATAATCATGTTTATAATGATAATTATTAATGTTATTTGTTTTCTAGTTAACTTAAAAAACGAACCTTACTTTAACTAAAATATCCCAACGAACGTGATAAGTAGCTTTCTTGTTTGTCTTTTTTTATGGAAAAACTAGGCAAACAAGCAAATACACATGATGGGGTAAGTGATCACCGCCGTCCATGGACACATGCAACATCGGTTGAGTCAAAATTGCGTTTGCGGCCTTTAAGGTAGGAGTAGGCTCTCTTTTCGAAGGTCCCCAAGTCGCGTCGGGTCGGAAATACCGCTGGCGACAACTAGTTCCACAAAATAGCTGTGCGGCGTGAAAATTGCCTGAAAAACGCACAGTGGTGGACCATCAGTCAACGTATTCGTGAGAAATATTTGTTTATGTGCCAACATCTCCACTACATGAAAAATATTTTGGTGAACATGTTGTTTTCTCATTTTCTAAGTGTTTATATATCTATAATTCTATATTATGGTTTCATTTACAAAAGAAAATAATGTTTGAGTATGTTCATCAGTTATCCACTGTCGATAGTACAAGCCTTGCTTAGTTCGGGACTAGGTTTATCTAGTTTGTTATTGATGTCATTTACATCGATTATTTCGACTAATATATTATCAACGGTTGTTCTTTTAGGTGTTTCTGGATCGACCGTGAGTTGTTCGACGCCAATATCGAATTCCTCCGGAGGTACATTACCGGTTTCCGGTGCAGAATCTCAACGCTGCATGTCGCAGGTAAGCGATTTTAGACTTTCCAACACGAAAAATAGAGCATATTTTGGTTATTTGCACTCTTTATTAGTCGCTAGATGTAATATATTGAGAATTCTTTGTTTAGTTAGTTGTTACCTTAGTTCAATGTAGATTTGTAGTGTTATGTGCTTCTGTGTTTTACTGTTCTTAAAAATAAATATTAATAGGCCTTTACGTGTGTCAATCCAAATTAGTATTTATTGATTAATTATTTAAATTCTTAGAATGCTTTTGCTATAACTTAGTTGGATGAAACTTCTAAAGTAAGTTTTGAACCATTGACATATTTCATATTAATATGACAATTTTTAATAAATAGATGATCCGTGTGAATATTGGCACAGTATCGCCATTAGTAAGGTCAATCCAAAACATAATGCCAACGAAAATGCTGTTAAATCAAATGGCATTAGTGAAATTCGTCGACTTTTGTATTTTTGTTTGACTCTCTATTCTTTAGTCGGTGCAGATTTGTTTAGCATTATGCGACGCAGTCTACTTTAGCCTAAAAAATAGTTGTTTATTTTATTTTATCCTCCGCACGGATTGGCTTATAGTACGTTGATGATGTTTTTTTCACTGGAGTACTCGAAGTAGTTTATTTTTATTTTTGTGTTTATTTTTATTATTTTTTTGGATTTTTTTTGTTTTTTTTCCCTTCCCTCTAGTCGGCCGTCCGCCTGTCGAGCGTGTGCAGCACCGACTCCGGTTTCCGCTCGCAGGACGCCCTGCAAAGGCTCTCGCTCTACGCTCGCAGTGTAAATATCGCCAACGGTGTTCGCCTCGCGTTCTATTTTAGACCGTCTATTATTTGTCGCTTCAAGAAGTGGAACTTCTTTGGCCGCGCGAAGTTTGGGAGAGTGCCCTGGGCTCGACTTTCGTGTGAACCGTTTTGAAAAAGTCTGTTTGGAACGATTTTGGCGAAACGGGGCGTTTACAACGCAAAAGGGTTTCTTATTTCGACGCAGCGAGAAAGAGTACGCTGTTTACGTTATCGTCTGTTGTCTTTTTCTCTCCCTTTGCTCATCCTAGTTGAGTTTTGAAAAGTAGTAGAAGCTTTACTTCTTGCACGTGTTTGTTCACCATTTGCCCGTAGAAATGGCCAAAGAAATTGCAATTCTTGCAGTTTTATTTTTTCATTTACGATGGACAGTGATGTATAGTTCTCGACGATAAATGTTGTTAAAATAGACCTTGCGGAAGACAACTTATTTCACTCTCGTAGAGCGTTATCTCTGTCGCACCCTTGCACAACGATTTACAAACGTCACATAGGTGGTGTGCGACAGAGACAATGATGTACCAGCCCGAAATAACCGATTGTCTCTTTCGAAAGATCGATGTGCAATATTTAACCCAACACTACGGTAGGTGGAAAACTTGTTGGCGCGGTAAGATTTGCACTTACTGTTTTGTATTTTTGTAATGTGCACAAAATTGTTTGTGATAATGTCTTCATTGGTAATACTCACATTTAAAATAGCATAAAGCAATAGCAATCCAATATGCGAGGAAACGAAAATCATACTCGACGTCATTATTGTATGTATGTGTTTGAATAATTTAACAACTTCATCCCTTTAATTTTAAGTTGTATTTAATATTTTATGAGCCTATTATATATTTCTTGAATAAGTAAGCCTCAATTAAAAAACTGACGAAAAATCCATTATGATAGGAACTTGCTAGCTTATTTTAAGCCTGATTGACTGTCCTTCTGTTGCACTGATGGGCAGACTCCTCTGGGGAAGTACCACGGAATCCCGGAAGACTATCAATCGGAAGCATTATAGTTTTCTGCTTCTTGTAGGCTCATGCTATTTTAAACGTTGGCAATTTTTCTGCAATCGAGCGGACGACAGCGATAATAAACATATATTAATAAACTGTGGTAGGGCCATGACACAACTCCTACTGTTGCACCAATGGGCGGGTCCGTCCGAGGAGCCACTACCTCACAGAAGACCACCGTCAAGTGCAATTGTCATACTTCTGCGTTTCGTTTGAGTGAGCGAGGCCGGGGCCCACTTTATTATAAGATTGGGCGTTGCAAATGTCCATGGGCGGAGGTTATCACATAACATCAGGTGAACCGTCCGTCAGCCCGTTTGTGTAATACCTCCGTGCTCCGGCAGGGTTCCGACAACCAGAGCATTAGCAGCGATTGCATGGCCCCGTCGAAGGGAGCCGTTGACGACGAGAATGCAGACGACAGCCTTGACGCCGTCGCCAACGCGGGTGAGACAATACACGCACACACATAAAGTACTATTTATTTATAAATATAAATATTTTTAGGACTAATTTTTACACAGCGGACTCTAGTCCCAACTTAAGCTTGTCCTAACGCTGGTACCCATAACTAGATATCTGACAAACATACTTAAACATACTTTTCTTTTGTAAATAAATACATATTATATATCTATCTATATATATATATATATATATATATATATATATACATACAGCGTGTCGTTACCATCGCGACAATAAATGAACACACATATAGGGAATAAGTTTTTAAAGTTGTATTAAACATTTAAATTCTTTAAACAGAGTTATTAAATTTTCCAAAACAAACGTAACCTAAAGTTCATTTGTAAAGGTCACAAAGCATATGAATGGTTTGAATGAATTTAAAAGAGACAAAACATACTGTTAGAAGGAGAGGCTTGTAATACGACGCTGTGGCGCGAATTGTATAGGATGTTACAAATTTTGTTTCTTTTTTACTTAATTAGTTTGTTTGAAAACTATATATTTTTTTAATTATGGATTTTGTTTAACGTTAATATTTTTTTATGATTATTGGCAAGTCGCGATGGTAACGACACGCTGTATATATATATATATATATATACAGCGTAAAAAATATATATGTATATATACATTTATATATATTTATATATAGACACTCAGGCACTAGAAAAATACTATGTTCATTACGCAATATTTTTCTATTTTTTTAACTTGCCTCCTGCGCCAGGTTGTGTGTTCGATCCCCGCTACTGGAAAATTATTGCGCGATGAACATAGTGTTTTTCCAGTGTCCGGGTGTTTATATATATATATATTTATTTAAAAAAGAAAAGTATGTTTAAATATGTTGTCAGTACAAACGCTGTTCCGTGGGCCTACAACTTTTTTTTAAGTGAAAAGTTGCCAAGCGAGCAGGCGTTTCACCTGATGTTAAGTGAATACCGCCGCCCATGGACATAAACTACACCCTAGTTTGCAGATACGTTGACAACCTTTTGAAAATTGGGCTCCGGCCACCTCACTCACCAGACGAAACGCGAAATTATTATACTTCCACTTTACGCCGGTCTTCTATGAGGTCGTGGTACTTACCTGGACGGGCCTGCCCATTCGTGCAACAGCCGAGGCTGCTGCGTGGCCCTATCACAGTTACAGCACAGCTGATAATTATTGTACATCCTATGGTCCTATAACCCTAGCGGCCTTTCCAGCGTCGGCGACCTGGCCAGATCTGAAAGACACCGCTCAGTTTGAGCGCGCCGCCTCCGCCATTATGAGCGGCCGACCACACACAATATCGTCGGGTATGTTTTTGTAATTTTTAGGGTTCCGTACCCAAAGGGTAAAACAGGACCATATTACTAAGACTTCGCAGTCTCTCTGTCTGTCTGTGTCAGTCTGTCCGTCTGTTAACGTTTACTGTTAACCGTGATAGTTATTGTTGAAATTTTCGCAGATGATGTATTTCAGTTGCCGCCATAATTACAAATACTCAAAAAAAGAATAAAGAAAATATTTAATTGGGGGCTTCGACGCCGCAGTCATGATTTTTTTGCCGTTTTCATAGGTAATGGCGCGGAACCCTTTGTGCACTTGGCCGGTTTTATTTTTATTTATTTCTTTCTGCAGATGTGTGGCCACCGTATAGTAAAGTGGGCACCGGCTTCTTCACTTACCAGACAAAACGCAGAAGTATGATATTCCATTTCACGCCGGTCTTCTGTGAGGTCGTGGTACTTACCCGGACGGACCTGTAATTTCGTTCCACAGCAGTGACAGTTGCGTGGCCCTACCGTAGTGTCTGGATGGGTTGGAGGGGGAGGGGGATTTACTTAAATTTTAGATTGTCATTTACTATAATGTAGAAGGAGGACCCGATGAACGCTGCCGACAGTGCAATTCATGTGGCAATAGGCATTGCCATCGAGACGAAAAGAAGGAGAAGATTTATTACAATGCAATTTTGTATTTCCCAACAGCGGACCGTGTCCACCCACGGCCGGCTCTGAGCGTGCACACGTTCACTTCCGAGGCGTTCGGCACATTGTCGCGAGAGGGCGGTATATACGCGAGGCCCCCATTGCCCACCGTAAGTCGAATGCGTAGATGTAAAAGAATATAATAGAATACATTTATTCAGGACGTCACACAACACTAATTTTATAAATGGAAATACAGAATTGAATAATTACAAAGGGAATAAAAAAAATTGCGTATACAGAAAAACCGCCGACAAAAAAGCGCACATTGCAAAACATTCATTCATGGAGGTTGTGGGGACACATGTGTAGATTGGCGCTTAAACAAGTTGTGAAGTATGTATAGCGCGTAAGCAAAACGGCGCATACTAAGTGATTCTGTCATGGGAGTGCAGAGGTGCTCTTCTCTGGGGTCCCTAAGTTCTCTGAGGTCTCTGAGGTCACTGCCACTAAACGATTGTGTCACATCAATGTACTCTTCCCTGTGATCTCAGAGGTTCTCAGTTCATTAATACTAAGTGTCCATGGGACCACGGAGGTGGTGTTCCTTGCGTTCTCTAAGGTCTCTGAGGGCATTGCCGCTAAACGATTGCGTCGTGTCACTTGTAGAGACACTCATTCCTGTGGTCTCAGACGTCCTTAATACTAAGTGATTCTGTCATGGGAGCGCAGAGGTGCTCTTCTCTGGGGTCCCTTAATTCTCTGAGGTCTGTGAGGTCATATACGATTGGCCTCGTGTGGTATCAGAGGTCCTTAATACTAAGTGTCATGGGACCTCAGACGTGGTGTTCCTTGCGGTATCTGAGTTCTCTGAGGTGTATGAGGTCGTTGCCACTAAACGGTTTATTCGTGTCGCCGTAGAGATGCTCCTCCCTGGAGCGGCCCTCAGTCCCCGCCAAGTGCAACGCCAACACCGGCCAGCACGAGTTCAAGCCCACGAAGCCATCCTCTCTGCCGCCGCACCTCACCAAAGGTAATACAACACTGTTATTCTCAACTATTTCTTCGGTTTTTTTTCCTTTCATGATATAATTTTGCGTCCGTGATGCATTTCACAACGCAAAATAGACCAGGACAAAGCTGATCAAGAAACGTCCTTCTTGTCTTCTTCATTCATCAGCAAAACGTGAAACCCACTACCATCATCAGGTTACCTCACTCACCAGACGAAACGCAAAAGCTCCATACTTCCACTTGACGCCGGTCTTCTGTGAGGTCGTGGTACTCACCCGGACGAGCCTGCCCACCGAGAAATATATATGTGTATATATACTGTCTATTACCTATATAGGTAATAGACACTAGAAAAATATTATGTTCATCGCACAATATTTTTTCAGTACTGTGGATCGAATCCACACACTCTGACGCAAGTGGCAGGCCCACTATCCATTACGCCAATCGGGTCGTCCTATGAGGGATGGAGGGATGGGGATGTATAGGATGTATGGGACCTTGAAAGAACCTTTATCCGCAGAGATGCCGCAGGCGCTGTACGTGAACATGTCCGAGCTGGCGACCCTTGCGGCATCCAGGGCCCAGCAGCAACAACAACAACAACAACAGCAACAACAACAACAGCAGCAACAACAACAGCAACAGCAGCAACCGAACTCGGAATTCCCGCAGCAGGAGAAGGTGAGTCCGGCTAGTGTGCATACACCCTTAGGCAGGGGTGGCCAACTCTTAATATAAGGTACACTCTTTTTTTTGTCAGCTGGTAGGGCGATACAAAGTCTTCGTTGTTGCACGAATGGGCTTTTTTATGTGAGAAGGTGGCTAGCGAGTTGGTGGTCCATCTGATGTTAATTGATAAACGCCGCCCATGGACATTTGCAACACCCGTAGTGTTCCAGATGCGTTGCCACCTTTTAATAAAAGTACCTGGAAAAGTACTTTTTTTGCGGCGAAATTTACTGTCATATTCGAATGATATATTTCAATCCCTGCAAACAGCGATAAAAGGACATTCTACATATTTTAATAAAAGGACATTTTCTAAAAATGAAACCTAGCTAGATCGATTTTTCGCCCCCGAATCCACGCACATACTAAATTTCATGAAAATCGCTGGAGCCGTTTCCGAGACTCCAATTATATATATATACAAGAATTGCTCGTTTAAAGGATAAGACTGGTGATTTTAATAACTTAAGTCCACTCTTAATGATATGTTGCGATCGATTTGTTAATAGGAAAATTCGGTGGAAAAGAATTACTCTAACCGTATTTACATAGAGTATATTTACCAAAATCCGCTTCACGAACGAGTATTATCTTATAAGTTTACGCAGACTTCGATATTTTTTTATAGTTTTAAAACCTTTCGCGGACCTTAAGGAACGTACAAAAAATAGCCGAAGTGGTCCTGCCATTCTTGAGTTTCCAACATTAGTTTATTATTTTTTAAGAATAACAAAAAATATTAAGAATAAAAAGACTACACTGGCTCCACTTCTCCACGGCAAGAAAACACACCTCTCTAAATACTTAGTGGATATAAAAAACGTATTTTTTCATAACTTTAGATTAGACAAAAATATCACAGTAATTATTTTTAGATATGGGCAAAGTGTCTGAGAAATAAAACTTAGATGAATTCATTAAAATGAATCCAGTAGTTTTACGGTGATGCTCGCAACGGCAGGGGATATTTTTTATTACAAAGAACGGGTGTTTCGGTAATGACAGGCAAAAATAAATCAATCATTTATTAAAAAAAATATTTATTCAATAATACCATTATGATAACTGGTTTAAGATAGATTCTTATTGCTTTGTTTATGAAGTCGGTCACTTGTACCTTTCTCGAATTAAATTTCACTTTGTCATTAATGAAATACGTATTATTGTACATACAACAACTCACTTTTGTCATTAATGAAAAACATATTGTACAACAGCATACACACTTTAATGCATATTCTACTTAAAAAATGAAATCAATAATTTATTAGAGAAAATATTTATTCCATAACCTTCTTAATAACAGGCATAAGATAAATTGACTCTTATCACGTTGCTGATGGAGTCGATAGTCGCTTGCAGCGTCCTCCAGTTCAATCGACCAATCGATGTCCATTTTCGAGGCTTACGGTATCATGTTGAACACTCTCATGTTGGTACGCTTGTCAATGTAGTACATTGGCTTCTCTCTTTTTTTCCGGTTGGAACTGCGAACGGGGAGATGAGTTATGGAAACTGCTCCATTGAGTTTTTATTTATTTATTGTACACAAAACACAGATACCTAAAAAAAAATGATAAACCGGCATGCGGACTCGCGCAAAAAGGGTTCCGTACCATTATGTTTAAGAAAGGCAAAAAAAAATCATTACTGGGAGCCCCACTTAAATATGTTTTATCCTGATTTTTTTGGTATTTTTTTGTTATAACGGCAACAGAAATACATCATCTGTGACAATTTCAACTGTCTAACTATCACGGTTCATGGGATACAGTCTGGTAACTGACGGACAGATAGAGAGACACACAGCAGTCTTAGTAATAGGGTCCCGTTTTACCCTTGAGGTACGGAACCCTAAAAAGGTCAGGCTATGTAAAAAAGCTAAGCTTAACACAATGCATGAGTTCTCTGTCAGCTAAGCTGGTGAGAAAAATATGTGATGGATGGATGGAAATATCTGTATTTTTTATCGCAAAAACTTACCAAAATTAAAAAAAGTAAAAATTAAAAAGTACCTAAATTTCCCAAAATTTTCCACTTTTTTATTTTTCTGAATGTGCCCTTTGCTTATGCTGTAAGAGCTCGCTTTTAAACAAAATTGTCAATTCTAGGTACCCCATAGGTTTTGGGTCGCAATACAAAAGACAAGTTAAGAAAGGGTAACCTATTGATATTGGTCAACGGAATGTCTGTTATGCATCATCTGTTCATATAAATGAAATGTTATGTGTGAGTTTAGATAATAATGTCGTAAGTTTTATTTTTCGGAATTCAAATGCCTAAGGTGTTCGTAACCAAGCAATATAGTTTTAAAGAAGATGGTTGTTTAACTGAATTGTAAGTACTGGCCATAAGTAAAAATATTGATCTTGAAAATAAATTCTTCCTATTTTTTGATTTTGGAAGTTCCCATAAAATGGGCCGGGGATTTTTACTTTTATTGCAATCCTTCAAAACAAATAGTTTACTCCATATATGTTGTTCACATATGATGTGTTGGACTATGCTGCAATACCACGCTTATGCCTAGATGTAGAATGTAGTGAAAGTATATACTTTACACTACTCTCCGCTTCCTCCTCTCCATCCTACAATAAGTGTAGGAGGGAGAGGAGGGAGCGGAGGCCTTTGCCAAGCAGTGTGACATATATAGATTGTTGTTTTACTTTTTACTTTACAATTACTGTTCATTTATGATAAATAAAATGTATTTGACCTGTTCATTTGTATTGAAATATAAACGGGAGACTTACTAACAGTTTTTCCCATTTGAATTTGGAAGCCAGTGACTCGGATATCTGGCCATCCTTCAGCTGGTTCTTAACTACTCGCTCGACCAGGCGTAGCGTGGCGAACATATTCTGGACACTGAAAGGCTGACGGGCCCTAGCCGCGATCTAGAACAGAAATCATTTATGCCATAACCTAACCTAGTTTCAGTCTCATTCTTTCCGAAGAGATAAGGATAAAAGGAGGAGGAATTTATGTGAAAAGTTGTCAAGCGAGCAGACGGTTCACCTGATGTAAGTGTATACTGCCGCCCATAGACATCTGCTACACCCGAAGGCTGCAGATGCGTTGTCAGCCTTTTGAAAATGGGCTCGGGCCACCTCACTCACCAGACGAAACGCGAAAGTATTATACTTCCACTTTACGCCGGTCTTCTGTGAGGTCGTGGTACTTACCCGGACGGGCCTCCCCATTCGAGGCTGTTGCGTGGCCCTACCACCGTACCCTTTGATCTCACTAAATGCTGTACAGTGGATTGGAGAAAAATTGAGATTTCATTTTAATGTGATATCTTGGCAAATGTACAGCTTACCTTTAACGGCTCACTTTAAACTGTGGTAGGACCACTCAACAGTTCGCCGTTGCACGAATGGGTAGGTCCGTCCGGGGAAGTATTACAGTTAGTAGTGTCACAGTTCTGCGATTCGTCTGGTGAGTGTAGTAGCCGGAGCCCACTTTATTGAAAAGTGGCAACGCATTTGAAACTCTACGGGTGTTGCAGATGTCTATGGGTGGCGGTTATTACTTAACATCGGGTGAACCGCCGGCTTGCTTGCCATCTACATGAAAAAAAATTAACCTATTTCCGTCAATCTCATTCTTTCCGAAGAACAAATAGTCTTCCCCTTTGATCTCACTCAATGCTGTACATTGGATTGGAGAGAAATTGAGATTTCTTAATGTGAAATCTTTCCAAATGCGTGGCACTGTTAAGTGTTTACCGCCGCCCATGGATATCAATAGCACCAGATGGGTCCCAGGCCCTACCACAAAATCCACGCGAATGACGACACGAGGGATCTTTAAAGTTGAATATAGTCGTACTATTTCTAGAAAGATTTTGGAGCAGACGTTTGACGTATGTACTAACCATGATTTCGATGGTCTCGAACAGCTTGCTGAGTTCCTTCCTCTCCCTGTCGTTAAGCGTGGGGTCGTCGAAGTCGAAGATCTTGCTCTCCTTCAGCTTCTTTCTAATGGTCGCCAGCGTTATCGGGGCAGCCTGGTCGGCCACCTCGCCAGATTTGTGTGCAGCCTTCGCACCGTTGCCATTGGAGGGGCTGGAATGGGTTCGGAACGGTGTTTCGGCGATACAGTGATACAGTTTAATACGCTGGGGTCCCCACCACAGCGTATTATACTGTATCTCACAGTATTAACTGTGGTAGGACCACGCAACACTATTCGCTGTTGCACGAACGGGCAGGTCCGTCCGGGTAAGTACCACGACCTCACAGAAGACCGGCGTAAAGTAGAGGTGTTACACTTCTGCGTTTCGTCTGGTGAGTGAGGTAGCCGGGTCCCACATTATTAAAAGGTGGCAACACATCTGCAACCAGTGTTGCAAATGTCAATCACTTAACATCAGGTGAACCGCAAGCTGGTTTGCCACTTTTTCACATAAAAAAAATCTCTCGTCATGCATGAGGTTTTGCTGTTGCATGCACGGCATCAAATAACCAACAAAAATGTTTGCTCGTTTGTTGGCTTGTCGCTTTTCATGCGGTGTTGTGGGGCCGAACTACAGCTTGTACTGTAGTCCGTAGGGAGAGGCTCGTGCTGCGGAAGTACCACGGCCTCACGGAAGACCGGCGTGAAGGGGGAGTATTCGTACTCTTGCCTCTCGTCTCGTGACTGAAGTAATCGGAGCCTAGACTTTTACATTGGTCACGCAACTTTTGGACAGCGTGGACCAGCCCATATGCCTCATTGCTGTGCAAAGGCCGTGTGTACAGACATTATTAGAGTACAGACCACCACGCGACCCCACTGCGGATTGGCGGGGCTTAACCTATCTTCGATTTTTTTTTATTATTTCGAAAATATGCATGTTTGCTCACGATGTTTTCGTTTACCGCTCAGCGCGTGATAACTCGGCACCGGGAACTCAGTTTGCTCCAGAATGTTAAATTAAAAGTGTACCGTAACACAGCTATCATGGCTACGATAATTCTTAAAATCAGATAAATACCTGGTCATTCGCTAATTCCTCATAATAAAGAGCCACGCGTTTACTCATGTTACCCGAGTAGTAGCTAGCGATTCCCATGTCGGAAGTTTTGTTATTACTTAAAAGATATTCCGGATTTGATTGTTCGTCCAGTTTCATTTGTAAAAAAACCTATAAACGGTTTATCGTTTGATGCTTGAATTGCGATTAACAATTTCATCGGTGCCGGCACCAGAATTCGAACTCGGGTTGCTCGAGTATATTGGAATTAAAACGAGCGCCTGAACTCTAGGTATCAGCGACGAGTACCATGGAACATATTGCGTATCGAATTCCCGTAGTTCACACACTGTTAACACGTTGCCAGCGATAGAAATGCGAGCCCCGATCTCGTTATCGCTATGAATTACGATCAGCACTTACCATTGCGTCGTAATGTCAATTGTTACGGCCAAGCTGTGGAGGCAACGGGGAAATTATTAATCAAAGGTTCTGCAGTGAAATGATACGTAAAACATCGTTGGAAGGCAGAAGGCAGACTGATTCTTTTTTATGTGAGCTGGTGGCAAGCGAGCTGCCACTGCCACAATTCACGACGGTCTTCTGTGAGGCCGTGGTACTTCCCAGGACGCTCCTCCCCTTTCAGATGCAGCCGAAGACTAGCGTGGCCCTACCACAGTAAAGATCTAATCCCATTGTCACACGTGGGTTTTTCGAATCGCAGTCACGTTCTGTGATCTAGGGATTGTTGACTTTTAGAAGATGTATCTAAGTGAATACCATGGTCGGGGGATTTGGGCCGTTTTGTCCCGAGAAGTAACAGGGCCTTGAAATTTAATCTTCTGTGTAAAGTAGAAGTGTTTATGCTACTGCGTTTCGTCTGTTGAGTAACGTACAGTCAAAAGGGGAGATTTCAGACAATGTCTAGAATATTTTGACTAGTTTTAACTTTTATTCAAACTGTTCAACTTTTATTCAACTTTTATTCGGTACAGAAATTAGGTCATTTCCATCTCCAGTTATCATGGAGTTCAACTCCTTAAACTGGAAATACACTCCGTCGTATCACGTTCTTGTTGAAATTTAACATGATTTAGTAGTAGTTGTGTGGTTGTTCTCCAGTATACGTAGATGCGAGAGTTAGTTGCTACATAAGCAGGATATTCTTAAATCAAAATATAAATGCGCATCGTTCATTGAATGTACTAAGTATAATATTTTAATATTTTGATGAGAAAAAAATTACAAAAAAGACGATACCTACGAAGTTTCTTTCGCCTGTTTTTCCCCGTTAGATAAAAGTGACTATAGATAGATGAAATTTTATGTTTCTTATTTCGATTAATAATTGATTTGATTTGATAATGACTTGTTGCGTTGTGATTATTAAAAGAGATAACTTTTACTCACAAGAACGGTAGGAGGAGCACAGCGTATGATTCCATTCTTCTGTATCGGAACACTTAAACGCGTAGTTTGTGCGTACTTTGCAAAGCGCAGTACGCGACTGTTGGATTCGCCGCCGGTTGTAAACTGTATTCCGCTGTTATATCGAGTTGCATTGAGGCGCGATCGACTGCGACTAAGACGATTTGATACTTTACGTTTTGAAATTTAATTTTTATAGCAAATGGCGACATCTCTAGTTTTCAAATGTTCATTGTGTACATGTAGTTTTTCGACGACTTGAGTGGGTTCGATCTATAATACTACTACCGGAAGAATATTGTGTGATGAAAATAGTGTTTTTCTAGTGTCTGGATGTTCACATGTCCGATGTCTATATGTAATATTATACTTATATATTACATATAGACATTGTTATATATATACTTTTTATGCGAGAAGGTGGCAATCGAGCCGGCTGTTTGGTGGTGGTAATCACTCAACATCAGGTGAACCGCCTGCTCGCTTAAAAAATTATAAAATGTTGGCAAGCACAATGTCTACTTTTCTTCGATCCTAATTAATTAGAGAGGTTCCTGGCTTTACGAATTGGGCACAAAAGATGCATATTTAAAGTTAGCCAGAAATTTACCACTGTTTATGCCTTTACACATGTATGTGACAGCATCGTACATGTGCTACGTTTACACATGTGCTACACTGACGAAGCGAAACCTAATTGTGGTAGGGCCACGCAAATTGGTGGGTCAGTCTGGGTAGGTACCACGACCACACAGAAGATTTGCGTCAAGTGGAAATGTTATACTTTTGCGTTTTGTCTGGTGAGTTTTGTCGCCAAAGCCCGTTTTATTATAAGGTGGCAACTCATCTTCAACTTACGGGTGTTGCAAATGTCAATGGGCGGCGGTTACCTCTTAACATCAGGTGAACCGCTAGCTCGCTTTACTCCTTCTCACATAATATAATACAAAATAAATATAATATGTTTCAATAAATCGCCGTCGTTACGATGTAAATACTGTATACTTGAAATATTCCGTAATTTTAATAGACTAATCGGATAATGAAATTCATCAGGCTGATTTGACGGTTGTATGGCATCTGCTAATGAAGCTTTCCTATCATATCTATCGTCTTGATTTGAAAACTGAGATTTCGAAATAAATTGTTGCGTTTGTTCAACTATAGTGGAACTTGTATTAATCCTGTATAATGCAGCATCTTTTGTTTTGTGTTAAAAAAGTATGTACTGCTTTAATAGATTATATATTACATCCACTCTACATCATCCCTACTACAGTAGGATTTATTAAATGACTCTGCAATACCGGATTATTGTATATTGTAATATAAAATAAACCGGTAATAAACACGAATTAAACTGGTATAAGGAATTAAGCTGTCTGTCCGTATATATGCTTAGATCTTTAAAAGTACGTAACGGATTTTGATGCGGTTTTCTTTAATTAATAGAGTGATTCAAGAGGAAGGTTTATATGCATATTATAGTAGAGAAATACTGATAATTTTAGAGGTTTCTAATGCGATTTCGAAAACAAACAAACTTCGGTGGTAGGGCCACGCAACAGTGTTCGCTATTGCACGAATGGGCAAGTCCGTCCGGGTTAGTATCATGAACTCATCGTTTCGTTCAACTCTACGTTTCTTTTGGCGAGTGAGGTAGCCGGGACCAACTTTATTGAGATATGGTAACGCATCTGCAACCCTACGGGTATTGCAAATGTCCATGGGCAGGCGGTTATCACTTAACATGAGGTGAACCGCCAGCTCGTTTTCTCACATAAAAAAAAAAAAACATTCAGCATTGCACCCGTGCGAAGCCGGGGCAGGGCGCTAGTATTTCTTTACATGCATACTTCTCAACTGCCAAGATCGGTTGATCGCGCTGCCCACGACTAAGTAGTCACAAGCCATTGTTTCTACCGCGAACGATAACTTCGTACGTCAACAGCCAGTCCCTACGGCGTGGTTGCACTTAATGTTACGCTTTCATTATTTAATTGTTACGTTGTATGACAAAACAAATGAACATCTAAGAAAAGCAACAATGATAGTTGTTCCTTTGGTCTTTTCAACGACGTTGCCAGTGAGCGCTTATAAAACATGGAAGCCGCACGTTCGTACAAGTGATTGACAAATAGAAACACAACCCTCACTGACAGTTATCACGCCGTCAAACAAAAATGAACTTATTTGCTAGTTAAACTAAGTCTATATCCCTGAAACGGCCTCGCGGTACGGTTTTTAAGCCCCGAGCCTTCACGGTATAGTTCTTCGTAATGTCATTTAGAGCGACAATAATGCTTTCATGTTTATTTGCGTTCACTAGTTATGCCTTTTTTGTGCTTATGCCCCCGCGGTGGTATCCCTATGATGGCGGCCAAACGCAATGACACTTCTCTTCCTCCGCCACTCCATTTCGGTACCAGAAGACAAGGAGAGTGGCTTCTCCTCTACCACCCTCGACCTGTCCTCTGCACTATGCCTTTTTTGTGTTATGCTCCCGCGGTCCCACCACTACTGCATTGGCGGTGCAGCCCCGTCGAGTCTACTGCATTGGCGGTGCAGCCCCGTCGAGTCGCGGAGACTAGGGAGAGCGACCGAACGCAATAACGTCACTCCTCTTCCTCCGCGACCCCACTTCGGTAGCAGGAGAAAGGGAGAGTCGTTTCTCCTCTACCACCCTTTCCCCCGCACCTTGCCAGCATAAATCGAGAGTGGGTTCAATTTCCAAAAGGTTCAAAAGTTTGTCAGCGCATCTGGAACCCTCGGGGTGTAGCAGATGTCCATGGACGGCAGTATTCACTTAACATCAGGTGAACCGTCTGCTCGCTCGGCAACTTTTCACAATTAAAAAAATGATGGGCTCATTGAACCCACTCTCGATTTCAGTGGGTCCGAATAGGCCCACGGAAATCGGCGTTTAAGTGTGCGTTCCTCTTGGCCGTTGGTGACCAAGCGACGACTACTAAGCCCCTCCGCCACGGCTAGGTTGAAGCCCGGTCGGAGCTCGTCATACCTGACTGGCGTCTTGTACTTGACTGGCCTGACATCTTCTTTACTCTCCTGCCGGCATCCCACTAGGTTGGTTCAGCAAAACAAGACGTCAGCAGATGCGTTGCCACCTTTTATTCAAATTGAAAATATCTTTATTCACATAGACGCTTGCGCGTTCATATGATACGTCAAAATTTTACATAAAAATTAATACGTAACGTAAGTAAGTTACCATTATACATAGTTTAATAAAGTGGGCCCATTTCCAAAATGTCTGTCCTCTATGCTAGTACATGAAAAGAGGACTTTATGGTAAGACTGAAAAAGGGTGATGAATAATTCAGAAAACTCTGAGAGTCAATTTCTTAAAGAAAAGAAAGACAGCAGAAAGGTTCGCGTCCTAGACTCTAATCGTTGTAGCTGGTGTCAAGAGGGCTGGTTCTTAACTCGCTCATAATTTAACCATAACAATACAGCGACGAAGTGTAGCTAGCATTCCTGGCACCATGCCACCCGGCCTATTTCTGTAAGGTAGCATGTAATTTAGTTTTGTATTTAATAGTATAAATATTTTATATTCAATAAAATTAATTCTTTTCAGAAAAATCATAAAGAGTCATCAGGAGTCTTAAATTTACTTCCCGTTATAATACATTGGTCAGACTGGTCAGTAACCAAAATTGAATTTGTATTTTGTATGGAAGGGGTCGGGTAGTATGTCCCAACTCCCACTGTGACCTGGAAAGATCTATGGTAGCGTACCCCTTGAAAAGTAGGATAAGGATCCTAGTAGGGCAATGTTTTCGAGAAAATATTGAAAATTTGTAAATCAAATCGAATTTTATGTGGCCAACTGGACCATGTGGATGCCCAGATCTGAAACAATTATCTATTGGTCACACAAATAGTTGTTCCGTGTCGGAATCGAACCCATTACCCCCGACGCCGGAGTCAATACATTGGAGATAGCGCTACGGAGTCATCTTGAAAATATAGAAATTCCAGTTAAATTCATCTAAAATATCTTTATTCACATAGACGCTTGTGCGTTCTTATGAAACGTCGAAATTTTACATAGAAATTAATAGGTTCGTAAGTTACCACCGGTTCGGAAAGCAGTTTCTGTTGAGAAGAAGCCGGCAAGAAACTCACCAGTTGCTCTATTTTTAAAAGATTAGTTTAAAATATAATGGTACAGGTATGATAGTCTTATTTTGCCCAAGTGAGTATAAACAGTATTAACTCCACGCATTGGCGTCGTCAAGATATTCCGCAATGGTATAAATATGCTTTAGCCATAAGTTTATTTTTAATTTTTCGTTTAAATTGATCAAGTGGACTTATGCCTGGTTCCTATATGCAACGAACGGCCATTAGTTACATAGCTTCGTAACTTTCATAACGAATTATAGATTAAATGAACGCTAGTAACTCACTTTCCGTAGGTAATGCAACGGCTCGTAAGGAAAACGCCTCGTAGTGTTAATACAGGAACCGGGCGTACACGCCTTTTATCTACCAGTCGTTATGAAAGTTACGAAGCTATGTAACTAACGGCCCTTTGTTGAATATAGGAACCAGGCATTAATATCGACTGTAAACTAACTGGTACAACGTTGTCGACAGGTCTGTTCTGAGAGCAGCGCCAGTGAGTCCTCTCTGGAATCCTCCAGTGGCTACGGCAGCCAAGGCGCCTTCGCCGCCGAAGACCACGCCCACCAGCATCAGATGCAGCATCCGGACGGTACATTCCTCACGCTCACATCGAGGGGTTTACTCTCCACAAGCGCACGGAGTTGCATAGTGTACGTCTTACGCGGCAGGGGTGGCCAACCTTTTATATACGGTATCTAGTTTTAAACCGGCTACGAATAGGAGGAGGTTATAAATTCGTGTTTTTTATATTCGTCACCTCAGAACTCTGTCATTTGTCAACTGTTTTGAATAAAAAATCTCTCCCATTAAGTCCTATTCATCGGTATTACCTTGAGTTCCGGAGATACATCGGGGTACTCTTCAAAATCAAATAGATAATGAATAGTGAGACATTTAAAGTATTGTTTGTAATAAAAATACACATTTTAAAAATGTGTTACCAAGACCTGTGCTATGGTCACTACTATTTTGTCTTCTTAGTTTTTTTTAAGACAACGCCAGTGACCTGTTGGCAGTGAAACCGAATAGTTTATTGTAGCAACTTATTGGTCACCCCTGTTGTATGCTTGTGTGTGTGTACGTGCCGTTTTCTGTTTTTTTTTCTATCAATTTGCAAACTTTAGCTTAGTCTGCATCGAAACGCACAGTTACAGTATTTTTTTTATCTAATTCTCGCACCGACAACGTGCCAGTTCTTGCGTAGTACCGTCCGTTCGTAGTTTTTCGTACTGTAGCCGTTCCGTTGCTGTTTTCATTCTGTCAGTTGCCGTTATATTTTCTGTTGCTATTGTTTTTTTTTTGTTTTTGGCGCTTTTTAACGCTTGGCATGCGTGCGGCCGCGCACAGTTGACTCGGAGATAGTGACGCTGAGGAGGGATAGCGAGGCATCGCTAGCGGCGGCCAGGGATAGTTTCTCTATATCCCTGGGCAGCCTGGAGGAGGCGGTGAGGTCCCTGGACGAGGTGAGGGACACGCCCGCCTTCGCGACCATCGGCAAGAAGCCGGCCGTGCCCAAACGGCGGCCCGTCTCCATGTCAGGTAGGCCGACTCCACAGGCAACACCAGGCAGGAAGGGATCTGAATGGTCACTGATGTGTGTGTTGTGCGGAAGTGGGTAGTAAGTCCCAGCGGATACCGCTCATATTATGTATTTTTTGCGGAAGTGGGTAGTAAGTTCCAGTGACTACCACTAATATGTGTTTTGTGTGGAAGTGGGCAGTAAGTCCCAGCGACCACCACTAATATTATATTTTCTGTGGTAGTGGGTACTATATCCCCTCGACTACCACTAGTATGTATTTTGTGTGGAAGTCCCAGCGAACACTGCAACCTAGAAGATCTACAGCACTCATCCATTCGATAAGTTTGCTCCTCACTGTAGGATAACACCCAGGATAGGGTTGTAAAACACCCAGATCCGGAATTATCTGTATGTCGAACAAATAGTTGTCTCATGTGGGAATCGAAACCAGGACACCTGGCGCCGAAGCCAATACCTTTGCAACTGCGAAACGGAGTCATCAACTAATATTGAGGGTGAGAAAGTAAACATACTTTAGCTGAACCAATTACTGAAATGTAATCAACGCGTCATGTATTGTGAGAAACATGATAAAAGACATTATTATTATTATTATTCAAAAGACTGGACAATTGGTGCGAAGAAGCTCGCACGGTGAGGTGATGGGATCTGTTCACTAACAGTAAGGGGTGCACACAACAAAAATAATTTTGCTGAATCATATCACCGCGTCATGTATTGTGAGTAGGAGTAAAAGACATTATTAATATTCAAAAGGCTGGACTATTAGTGCGGAGCAGTGGTATTGCCACGTAGCAGCTATTGTACGAATTAGCAGACTTGTCAGGGGAATAGAAGGCTATAATTATATTAAATAAGAATAAAGCAATTGTTTGGCCGACTACCCCCGCATATATTACGTACCGGGGTGTGGGTTCGTGATGTCCATGTTTAATTGTTCCAAGTCTGTTTGGCGATGAGTATCTCGCAAAACGCGAATCGTTTTCTAATACGGGTGTCATTTTTAAATAAGACAAGGTCCCAAGAGAGATTTAAAATGTATAACGGTTGAAGCATTGTTACAATTAAACAACAACATAAATGGGTGAGTTATATTAGTTAGCATTTAGTAGTATTCATTTATGCATAGTTTTGTTATTTTATTGTGTAATGCTCGTTTTTCGTTAATGTTTTCTTGCACTGCATTTTATTACAGCTTATTTGTAGTAATTTTAAACGTCTCCATTTATAATATATTAGTATTATTTTTAAAATGTAGGTACTTGCACAAAGTTTTTTTTCGAATCCATACTAATATTATAAATGCGAAAGTAAGTCTGTCTGTCTATCTCGCTTTCACGTCAAAACTACTGAATCGATTCAAACGAAATTTGGCACACAGATTGGTATTTTTAATTGGAAAAAGGGTTATGAAGGGTTCTTAAAGGAGATAGATATTTATTTAACGGGTTCAACGCGAGCGAAGCCGCGGGTGTAGCCTAGTATTTATAAGTTAAAGTAACTAAAACGTTCTTATCATTGAAAACAATTACGTTAGATGTTAGAATAAAATTTATAACCGTAATCGCTTGACAATTATATCTATAAAGCATGTTCCTCACGATTATTATAGATGTTGCAATGCTTTTCTTTGTGTGTCAAGGAGTAGAAACGTTTGGTGTCTAACTTTAAACTAAGATTAAATTGTAATTATATTAAGGTGGAATATTAAATTAGGACCTAGATGTTTAAAACAATTAAGTTTCCGACATGGATTGAGTTTTTGTACTTTTCTATTGTCGTTAAAATCGTATAAATAAATGTCTTTAGTGCTTTCGAATCTTGAATCGTCTTCATCTTGACAAGATTGGTCAAATTCACTCTTTTTTTTGTTTAAAAAGCCCCCGGAAATGTATATTAAGTAAAAATGAAAACTTTCACGTTCATTCAAACATTTCTCAGAACCTCGTTATTTTTTTATTTTGCTGTAGATTGAAGCCAGCTCAGCCCAAGCCGGCTTAGCTCAGCCAGTTTAGCTCAGATCGACAAATCGAAAGACTGTTTCTTTTATGTATCTACGCCTTGTTGGTGGAATACCTGAGGTGACGGCTGTGGTGCAGCCAAACAACGGCTACTTCTATTGCAAGAATGAACAGACTTGTCCAGGGTACAACGGTCTCAACGAAGGCCTTTTCTATGCGAGACGGCGGCAATCGAGCTGGCGGTTCGCCAGATGTTAAATGATAACTGCCACCCGCGGACATCTGAAACACCGTATGTTGCAGATGCGTTGCCACATCTTAACGAAACGGGCCCCGGTTATCACATTCACCGGACGAAACGCAGAAGTGTAACGATTCCACTTCACGCCGGTCTCCTGCAACGTTGTGGTACTTATACGGATGGACCTGCCCATTCGTGCAACAGCGAAGGCTGCTTGCAGAGCCCTACCACAGCTCGTCTGAGCGCGAATTTTTTTAAATTAAAATATTGCCCTCACTTTAGGATAACATTATCCTGTGTTGTAACTACGTTTTACAAACAAATTTCACATGGACAAACACCCAGATGCGAAACAACTATGTGTGGGTACCACAAATAGTTGTCCCGTGTGGGAATCGAACCCACGACCCCGACGCCGAAGCCTATATCGTGGCAACTGCGCCGCGGAGTCATCTATCTATCTATCCATCTATATTTTGTTATGTTATCGATATAATTTGCTTCAACAGCGACAGTTTGGTCCCGCCGTGGCTCGTCAAGCTCACTAGGGAAGCCCCCACCACCAGTGAGGCGGTCATCGTCAATCTCACGCCCGCAGAGACCGCCATACGTGCAGGTATGTTTATTGTCTAGATAGAGATAGATAAATTTAGATAATGTTTTCAGGACACATTTTTACACAACATTCTCTAGTATCAAACTAAACAACGCTTGTATTATGGGTAGTAGATAACTGATAAACAAACTTAAACATACTTTTCTTTTGTGAATACATTTTTATAAGTATGTACAGTGGGCAACGCAGCACCCTCGGCTGTTGCACGTATGGGCAGGCTCATCCAGGTAAGGACCACGACCTCACAGAAGACCGGCGTAAAGTGGAAGTATAATAATTTCGCGTTTCGTCTTGTGAGCGAGGTGGCCGGAGCCAATTTTCAAAACGTTGTCAACGCATCTGTCACTGAACATCTGAGCACGTGATAAGTCAGCACTTAAAAATAACAATTACATTGGTGCCGGCACCAGGGATCGATTTCAGGTTGCTCGAGTATATTGAATTAAAGGCGAGCACCCGGACAATGAGCTATCACGAACAGTACTTATTTCACTTAAAACGTGATAAACATATTCAAGAAAATTCAAATATGCAATACATACAGCAGACGTGTAGATTACTTTGTTTAATTTAAGTAGTTCTACTTGTTTGATTCTTGTACACAGCTATCAAAGTGGCTGTGTGTACTGATATCGGACTACTGAAAGTATTCCACACTTTGTTGCCTTACTCTTTCCAGAACAATATGGGGAGTCCCCAAACGAACACGACAGACGCTGACAATCTGCCACCACCACCAGCGTTTCTGTTGCAACCCGACATTGAAACCAATTCAGGTATGAAACGACATATACATATATCCTACCTACTAAAATATTTGTTAACGCTACCTTACTTGTAAAGGACCTATTACAATGTCGAAGAATACATTGAGGACAAGGATGTGTGGAAATGACTCTTGCTCTGCACTAGCTTGTCCTCATAACCGATCGATTGGCAGAGTTTGTAGAGTCAATACATTGGATAACGTTAGTACGTTATTGCCAATAAAATGTCTCGTGACATCAGTTTTTATAAACTTTCGTACGCAATACACAGTGTCTCATGACCCATAGATTATGTAACAACATCGTTACCCGAATAAACCATACAGTAGTATATACTCTAATCTGTGATTGACCACCCCATTTGCGCAAAGACAGGTGACCCTATTAACAGGTTTAAGAAATATATTAAAGAAGAACTTTGTAAAAAGGGTGGCAACAACTTTATAAAAAGGAACATACCCCTGGGGATGACTAGATCGCAAATAAGCTATTTCTAAAAAATTTGTTGTGTAATATTTTAATGTTTTAAGAAAAAAACAATTACAAAATAGAGTATACGTACGGAGTCTCTCGCCCGTTTCTTCTCCGTTAGAGGAACCTCATTACGGAACGGTGGTAGAATTAAAAAGAAATAACTATAGCGAGATGAAATTTATGTTTCTCATGTCTGTGAATAAGGGATTGTGATTTTGATTTCACTTTGTAGCCCACGCAGGCATAAACGTGGCGGAGACGGTGAAACAGCTCACCGAGCTAAAGCACATGCCTGCCTCACCCGGCCTGGTGAGGCGCACGCTCCAAATCCAGGCCCAAGGCCAGGCGCCAGGCCAAGGCCAAGGCCAGGGCCAGGGCCAGGTCCAAGGCCAGGCCCAGGCCCTAAGCACCTTCCAGCAGACGAAGAGCCAGATAGCTACCAGCCTCGCCGGCAACCCGAGCCCGGTCTACGGGCCGACGGGCCTACGCGTAGCGGCCTACGCGGAGAACTCGATCTACGTCAGGAAGGGAGGCCTGAACTCGTCCAGCACCGACCTCTACAGGGACGGAAACTCAGGTGATGACCTCTACGGTGTAGCTCTACAAAATTCAACGTCTCTCAAGTAAATTCACGATTTCTATTGAGTTTATACACAGACTTTCACGTTTTTTTAAATGTTTTCATTATTTTAATTTTCGCAGTATGTATTATAATATTTTATGTTCCGTGTGGTTTCATCATTTTTATGTTTGCTTTGTATTCGCCGTGAATATAATATGTATTCTGTCTTTCTTCTATATTATCAACCGTAATTTTAATATTTTAGTAAGATTTTTTTTAATGACAAAACCTCACTGAAGACTAGCGTGAATTCGAAGTGTAATACTTCTTTCGTCTGGTGGGTGAGGTAGCCGGAGACCACTTTATTAGAAGATGGCAATGCATGCTACAACCGTTGATATTCATTTTGACTCATTAAAAGTATTTCGGAGTAAAATAAACGAACATCTTAAAATAAGAAGCTCTTAAAATTTATTTTAATGCTAAGATTTAAGTAATTTTAATTTGTATAAGTCATTTGTATTCTGTTTGATGTTGTATGTAACCTAACATTTGTCATTTAAAACAATAGCATATACCACATGACTTAAATTTCCTCATAGATTTTACTCTTTTTTGTCTTGCCTTATAAAATTACAATCTGCTTTTTTTAATCTCAATTTATTTATTAATAAGTAACGATATTTTGTTCACACTTTTCGTTTAACTTTTATTATTATTTTTTTGTTTTAATTTTTAAGCATTATTAATGCTGTTTTGCCTCTTAATAAGATGTACATTTAGTTGTAACATTAATTCATGTTTCATGTAATATTTTTTTTAATGTAACATCTACTGGCAGACCTAATAAATAAATAAATAAGTAAATAAATCTGCAACCCAATGTGTGTTGCAAATGTCAATGGCGGCAGTTATCACTTAACATCAGGTGAACTGCCAGCTCGCTTGCCACCTTCTCATATAAAATTATAAACAAAACCAACCTCAAATATCTCACTCGCTATATATTTTCTATTCCATTTGAGGAATTCCCCGCTGTCTCCGGAGTCCAGGGTTCAAAACCAATGAATTTAATACGGGACCTCATGCTATATATTTGTATATTGAATGTTGCAAATGTCCATGGGCGGCGGCTGTTACTTAACATCAGGTGAACCGCCGGCTAGTTTGTCACTTATTCACATTAAAAAAAGATCCGCAGTGGGGTTGTGTGGAGCATGCTCCAATACCCTCTGTACATAGAGGCTTTTGCCCAGCAATGGGACATGTATAGGCTTTTACTTAACTTTGTAAACACTTCCAGCCAACATTTACGGCGAAGGGAAGGGGTCGCCCCACGCCTCCACCCCTTCAACCCCCAGCTACGGCGAGAGCAACTCCTTCTCCAGTTTCGGACCGCGTGTGACCAACGACTCGCATTATGGTCAGACTGGTCAGTAACCCTACTTGTATTTATATTCTATATGGAAATGTGCGCGGGGGGGATGCCTTGGTGGCGCCATTGCTAAACTGCTGGCTTTGGCGTCGAGGGTCGTGGGTTCGATTCCCACACGGGACAAGTATTTGTGTGACCCACAGATATTGACGACCCGAATGGCGTAGTGGGTAGTGTACCTGCCTCCTGCGCCAGAGGGTGTGGGTTCGATCCCCACTACTGGAAAAATGTTGTGTGATGAACATAGTGTTTTTCTAGTGTAGTAAAACGGTGTTTGTACATGTTATTATACTGGGAGTTCATCGGATTGTATATGAACTGGATCGCTGGACGCTAATATAATATATGAGTATCGATCGTTTTTTTTTTTAATGTCATTTCGATTATTACGACTTTTTTATTTCGGAAAAAGGTATTTCTTTTGCGTCTCAACAGTTGTACGTACCTACTTTTTTAACGGGAATGTTGTATGTATGGCCTGCACTTAATTTGTTCGTCGTTACACACACATAAAACATGATTGTCTTATAAGAATGTGCACGGACCGTATTGTGACGACATAGCTGTCAAATAGAAAAATACGTAGGGCCAGTAAAACAGATATTTCAAAAAATATATTTATTTTTGATGTGTATCTACGAGCCGATTTCGCTCATCTTTTTGATCATCCATGATTCTCTCTCGTCATCATCACCGCTGATGAAAACATTAAATGTATTACCTGTGTTTGTATTGTGTTTATAATGTAGTCATAATTACGCAAATAATTATTTTAGCAAAAAAAAAAAAATACGTAAATGGTTTTTTTGCTATCCGTACTTCTCTGGTGAGCTTTATCAGATCGAGGTCATTGACGCCGCACATTCTTATTTGAAACGCATTAATAATCCAAACGTGCACACATACAAGCATACGACGTACCCTGAACCGCATGCGAAGCATGGGTATACATCGCGTTCATCACCATTTACCGCCATTAATTTACCACCATCTCACATCAGTTTTTAATACTGGTCTCTGCAGATCTAAACTAGCACTCAAGATGGAAACATAGTGGAACTAGGCGTCGGGCATTTAGCGCGGGATGTTTACTGTGGTAGGACCACGGAACAGTGTTTCTGTTGCACGAATGTGCAGGTCCGGCCGGGTAAGTACCACTAACTCACTGAAGACCGGCCTGAAGTGTTACACTTCCACGGATGTTGCAGTTATCACTCGGCGAGTCAAATTAATGTACTCATCGAAATAAGAAATATTGACATTTCATCTATTGATAGTCCTTTTTTTTTAATCCACCACCGTTTCGTACTGAGGACAGGTTTCAACCATCTCAAATGTCACATTTCAACCCCCCCCCCCCTGTACTAACCGCATGCCCGCCACTTCTCCACCCCTTCTTCCCCGCGCCAGGTTTCAAGCTGCAGCAGGAGAAGAAGTACCCGGGGAACAGCATCTACGCTCAGCCGGCGCTCCACGCTCAGCCCGGCTCTGCGCTGCGTCGCTCGATAGCGGCCCGCTCGCATAGTGCCGACAGGCACTCGGAACGTGAGTATGGTGCCCCTTAGTGCCGGTTGGCACCAACGGGTATCTCGTTCTCGAATCGTGCTCAGATTTCTAAGTGCGAGATGCCGGTAAGACATTGATAGCGATCGAAATGTGCCTTCTAGTGCCGAGCAGCACTTTATGTAACTGTGGTATGTATGTATATGGTAATATTACGTAAGTTGTAATGGGCCATTATTCGCATTAAGTAAATGGTGAGTTTAAAGTTTGGTAAAATCAAGTTCAATGTCCCCAGTTGAACAACATTTAACATTTAAGATGATTGACGTAAAAAAATGATGATTATTGAAGCAAAAACTTGGAAAGTGCCGACAGTGAACAAGAGTATAGTGCCTCTTAGTGCCGTTTGGCACCAAAGGGTATCTTGTTCTCGAATCGTTCTTAACGCTCTAAGTGTGACACGACACTACGACAATGACAGAAATTGAAAACTTTGTATGGTTACGTAAGTATGAAATTATGAAAAATTTAGAACTTTAGTAGTGTCAAATTGTAAAAAATAAGTACTCCTACAGTGTTAGTGTTAATACAAGCATTAGGTATTGATAGTTATCATGGTTCTTTCATCTATCTTTTAAAGACTCGATGACGCTGTTGCTAAGCCATTGGGTTCGATTTTAGCGGATTCGATAATTGTTCCGGATAGTATTTGTTCCCAAGGAGGGTTGACGGTCTTACCTAGCCAATAACTTTAACAACCACGATTCACTTGCAGTGCCCATAAAGTTTGCCCATATGGGCAAGACAAAGAAGTTCTTATGGTTGCGAATTTCAGTGTATCTATATCCTCTTAGAACACGCCTTGTGTCTTGTCGTCGTATAATTTATATTTATCACGTGCTCAACGGCGAAGGAAATCATCGTGGGGAAACCTGTATTGACGAAATAATAACAAAAACAAAATGTTTCGAAGATATGTGAAGTCCGCCAATCCGCAGTGGGGTCGCGTGGTGGGCTATGCCCTGATACCCTCTGTACAGAGAAGGCCTTTGCCCAGCATTGGAACATATATAAGCTGTTAATTTACTTTTTATCTCATAATATGGAATTGTATACTAGTTATCATTCATTGTATCTAACAACAAGCATGGTTCATCATCAAATCATTCCTCATCCATATGGTAATTTCGCCTCCATGATTATCAACCTCCAGCATGATTTAGTGTTGTGCTCTGTCTCTTTGGAAACATCGATAAAATACTCATCCATCAGCGATTCGCTCTTTGAATTTTTTTTCAAACTCCGTCGATTGTAACTCGACACAATATTTTGTGACACAACACAGACGGAAATTTGCTTATTCACGTCCATACTATTATTTTTATATGAAGGCTTTTTATTTTAACACGGATTCGGTACAGATTATTCAGAGTTTGCGGTTTCAATTATTTACGGTCGTAAAATTTCTTAACATCGACGGGCTTACGACAATCTCGTAAGAAAGGAAACGGTATAATAACAAAGCCGTCTCTCGATCAATCTATCAGTTAATTCAATCTAAACTTTGTTACCAATAACACATCCGGTAGAGATGCGTTATAACCCGAGTTGTGTAACAAGAGTAGAGTTCACAAAACAAAAAAGGGACGAGTAGGGACGCGTAACAGTTTACGTTCTACGAACGGGCAGGCGTGTCCGGGAAATACCACGGCCTCGAACAAAACCAGCGTGAAGGGGAAGTATTATACTTATGCGGTTCGCTTACGCCCGGTTTCTGAAAGATTGATCATCATAGATGTTAACTAATCAGCTGTCAAATGTCATTTCAGTTGCCAAAAGGATGGTTAAACTTTTTGAAGATTTAGATAAGAAGATTTCTGATCATTAAGAAGATCATTCTGGTCAATTCAAAGAGTTTAACCATCCTTTTGGCAACTAAAATGAAATTTGAAAAGCCATTTGACAGCTGATTAGTTGACATCTACTATGAGCAGTGTTTCAGAAACGAGAGAGGCAACCAGGGCCCACTTCTTTAATGATCAACCACGCATCTGCGACCTGTTCATGTTGTAGCCGTCGATGGGCGGCGGTTGGCACTTAACATCAGGTGAACCGCCTGCTCGCTTGCCAACTTTGTATATAGAAAGAGCGATAACCATTTTATGGGACTCTACCTACCTTTCTTACAGATGGAGGTCTGATAGCGTCACTCAGTGCAAAGTTGGCGCCTCAGCTCTCGCCGCGAACAGCGCGTCGCACCGCTCCGATCTCTGACGCCGCTAAAGGGAAAGGTAAAGGCTCTATCTTTTATCCTTACCGTCATAAAAGGTAAGAGTTCTATGTTTTATCCTTGCCGTCAAAGAAAAAGGAAAAATTTTTAACTTTTATCTTTCCCGCCTAATGAAAAGGTAATGGTTCTATCTTTTATCTTTACCGCCAACGGAAAAGCTAAAGCTTCTATCTTTTATTTTAGACTCGAAAGGAAAAGTAAAGGTTCTATCTTTTATCTTTGCCGCCAAAGGAAAGTGTAGAGACCATCTTTTAAAGTGATTTTTTTTCCGGCTTATGAGAGTAAAGACGTGTAATGAGAATTCGTTACGGAAAACCGTCATACTCAAGACACGTCAAGGGATTGCCTAGAGTATTCTCGATAAGTATAACAGTTAAGCTGGATAGAAAGGGATAAAATACCATTTATTTTACCCTCGGTGTTTGTTCCAATTAAATTGCAAATAAATTAAAGTAAAACGATTTTTGGATATAAAGAGAGTTATTTTCGTGTACCAATTTTATTTCAAACGTCTGATTTTTTCATTGTCTGACTTCTTGGTCATTCCTCTATCAATCTCACAGATATGAAATATAAACAACCGACGCAGTCACAAATACCCAGACAATTACTTTAGTTTGTTTATCTATTTATAATTTATGTACACAGATAATTATGAGAGAAATGGAATTACATAAATAAAAGGAATCGTACAAAGGCCCTGCTTATTTCTTAAGAAATGTCTTCCAGCAGACCCGTGTGGTTAGTATCTGAGATGTTGTCCGGTTCCAGGGACTCTACCGTCGGCCGTCCAGCCGGCCTTCCTGGACAAGCTGTCCGCCACCATCCAGCAGCAGAGGCGCCAGCTCGACTCTTCCCGGGCCAGCACCGTGCGCGACCTGATCAACGCGCACGCCCAGGTAAGCGGGACAGGTCGATGAAGTCATGAAGTCAGGCTGAGGTTACCGGGAGAGGTCAATAAAGCCAAAAAGTCACGATCAGGTAACCTGGAAGGGTCAATAAGGCCAAAAAGACAGGCTACAGTAATCGGGAAAGGTCAATAAAGTCATAAAATCAGGATCAGGTAACCTGGAAGGGTAAATAAGTCAAAAAGACAGGCTACAGTAACCGGGAAAGGTCAATAAAGCCAAGAAGTCAGGACCAGGTAACTTGGAAAGGTCAATAAAGTCATGCGCTGTCATAACCGGGATGATGAGTGATCGTGGGGATAATATTGTCATGGGTAAATGGAAAACATTAACCCCACGTGCTACGTAACTGGGAAAGATTAGTAATATTACTGTAAAAATATAAAGTTTCCGTTTTACGGATACAGTGGTATCCGTATCAATTAATAATTAATTGTAATGTGAATTTCGATCGGAAACATGAGCTTTGGTAAACCGGAGAAGTCAGTGACTATTAACGAACAGCAAAAATAAAAAGTTTCCGATTTAATGCCTCCACATGAACTTAATTGCTTTGAAATTCCAATAGATAATTAAAAAAAAAAAAAAACAACCACACCGATCATAATTACTTCCAATCACATTCGTGACGGGGGCGTTTTTTTTTCTCGCTCTCTCACTCCGTCCCTCTCCAGCCGGATCCGCGGGTCTGCCACACCTCGCTGATGGAGCAGATAAAGCGCGGCGCGACCCTCCGCCGAAACAAGCATTGCAACGATCGCTCCGCGCCGAAAATACGCTAGTCTCTGAATAACTTACCGAATAAGCAATATGTCGTATACATTTCGGAGTATTGAATAACGGGAAATCCCCCTTAACGTCGTCAGGTCGATTCTAATTTGAGTCTTCTCAGACTTTGTTTAATAATTACGGTTTGACCTGCTTCGGCCCTCGATATCGCTATCCCTTTCTTGTCTCAAATGAAGGGAGGGGAAGAGTGTACTTTAAGCGCTTTTGAAACTTTGTTTTATAATTACAATTTGACGTGGGAAAAAGAAGAATGAAGATAGGGATGATTCTATTCTAAAAAGTTTCAGTATTTGTTTATTAATTACGATTTGACGTGGTCCGAACTTCGGTATCGCTATCCCTCTCTTGACTCAAATGAAGAGAGGGAAGAGTATACTTTAAGCGGTTTTGGAAATTTGTTTTCTAATTACAATTTGACGGTCGACCGTTGATATCGCTATCCCTTTCTTACCTAAAGTAAACATAGGGAAGATTTTACTCTAAAAGATTTCAGTCTTTGTTTATTAATTACGATTTGACGAAATTCGACCTGCGATATCGCTATCCCTTTCTTACCCCAAATGAAGAGAGGGAATGATTCTCTTTAAGCGGTTTCAAACTTTTATTACTTATTACGATTTGATATTGTTCGACCTTCGATATCGCTATCCCTTTCTTGCCTCAAATAAAGATAGGGATGGATAGCAAGTGTGTTTTTTAACAAAAGACTAATAATGTCAAAATGCAATTGCAAACGGCTAGTATTATCGTGAATGTTAGATTAGGGCCAATTATTACCAGATACTTCCTACGGCCGAAATTAACTGCAAAACATATCTCGTCTCTAAGAAAACTTTAGATATATCGATGTCTTTTATTGATACAAATAATGTATGTAATATGTATGTGTAACATTGTTTCAACGTGAGCCTTGACATATCTATTTTTGTATTAAAACAAAGTGAATATCAAAAAAAAAAAAAAAAGAACTAATTCAGGACTGAATGTGAAATGAAAACTTTACTACGGTGTTAGGATTTTTCACTGATTGTCTGAAAACTTTTTTATACTAGAAAAGGAATTCAAGACAGTTTGTCAGATTCAAAACTTTCGTATAGATTTTGATTTTACTTTAAATAATAATATATACAAAATTTTTTCAGATTTTTTAAAAATTAAATTGTTGTCATCTGCCGGACAGGAATACTTTGATTACTTTGTGATTTTTTATCATTATCTGTGACATATTTGCATTCTTAATTTTTTACTACAAAATATGTGTTAAAATTAAGACAATAACGTTTTGTCTCATATATACTAATAGGCAATGATATTGAAATCTTATATAAGAAAAATGAACACGAAAAAAAAAATATAATGTTTATAGTACCTATTAGTTAATTGTATTTTTTTATAATTTCTCTTTAATTCGTCATTCGCTTTATAACACGTAATAAATGTAACAATAATCAAATGAATAATGTTCACACTACATTAGTTGTAAGCTTTTGGCGCCATTTTGAGCGTACTAAACAAAATGGCGGACTATCGTCACATGCCAACAGATTATAAATACGAGTGCGAATATTATAAAGGTAAATATGGTAATTTTAGATCGTTGTTAGTTAGGCAATCGGATAAGTGGTGGAACTATATTTATTAATCTTCATTCCGCGTTCATAGATAATCAAATGTAACCATAGACACTGTTCCTGTATGACGTTTTACAATGACGCCGCTCAGTTCTGATGCTTTCCACAATATTATCGCTGCAACGTTGTTAGTCGAGTTTATAAGAGTCTCGTGTTTTAGGTTAGTTTTTACATATCTAAAGATTTATACGTCTGTCCTTAAAGTATAAAATATACCCAGTCCTCGTACTTTCGACGGTTTCGCGTATAATGTGAAAATGAAAAATAAAATGAACTGGACACACTCCCTGTATGTTCGTTGCGATGTGGTAAGGTAAAGAGTTTGCATGTAATTGATAAGTTGGTGAAATTAAACGAGTATAATCCAAAGCCTAGTTTTATTTACAATCCCTTATTCACACTATCCCTCCTTCTCGCTAAGGAGCTGACATAATTGTAGCGAAAACATATATTTTATCATCTACTTTAGGATAACATTATCCTGTGTTGTAAGGACGTCTTACAAACATAAATTTCACGTGGACAAACACCCAGATGCGAAAGAACTATCCGTCGGTCACACAAATAGTTGTCCCGTGCGGGATCGAACCCCGACGCCGAAGCCGATACCTTAGCAACTGCGCCTCGGAGTCATCTAAAATGTTAACTAATCAAACAAAGCTTATTCAGTGTACACGCTGACTTATTTAATGTTTATATCAACTGCCACAGCCGGTCCATTCATGCAACAGCGAAGAAACCGTCTCGTCGACCAGCGGTCTTTAGGCTTAGTATCAACTGAGGGGATCCCTGGCTTAGGCTTAGTATCAACTAAGACTCCACAACAATACAGTATATCAACAAAATAATATATCAGCTGAGACATCTCATTGATTGAATGTATTTAATTGGTCACTTAGACGCTTAAACTAAATTTTAACATTAGCTGTTAATAGCACAAGGATAACAATATTAAAAAAGTAAAGTAAAGTAAAGTAACAGCCTATACATGTCCTGGGCCTGCTGGGCAAAGGCCTCCTCTATACAGAGGGTATCAGGGCATAGTCCACCACGCGGCCCCACTGCGGATTGGCGGACTTCACATATATTCGAAATATATTTTTTTTTTTGTTATTATTTCGAAAATATGCAGGTTTCCTCACGATGTTTTCCTTCACCGCGGAGCACGTGATAATTCAGCACTTAAAGTTAAAAACTTCATTGGTGCCGGCACCGGGGATCGAACTCAGGTTGCTCGAGTATATTGAATTAAGGCGAGCGCCCGGACACTAAGCTATCACGGCTCTAATATTAAAAACTCAATTAGAAAATACTTTGAAACAACTGATTGTTTCAAAGTATTTTCTAATTAAGTTATATATATCATAAATTGTCAGAATCCAAGAAAGGTCGCGAAAGCACTATACGCAAACGAAGTAGGAAGTGATAGCTCATTTATAGAATGAAACTGCACGGATAATATATCTAACATTTATTTAATTCAAAATCCTAGGACAAAGTTGTAAAGAAACCAAACAACAATCGTTAGATGAATAATCAGTCTTCTTTGCAGATATAATTTCTTAGCAATTCCGCTAAGATTTTACAAAATTTCACCTTAAGAGTAAACAAATTATTTTTGTCGTTTTATTCACACTTAAATGGAGAAAATTTATTTTATATTCTTAGGTTATTACCAACAATAATTTAAAAAAAAAAAAGCGGAAAGCCTTAGATGTTTACGCAACAATCAATCGAAATAAGTTAAAAATTCGAATTGAGTTTTCTCACGTCATATTATTGTGTTCGAAAAACGATAAAAATCATCAGTGTCATTGAAATGAAACTTCAAAGTTAGCCGTAGCTTCCTTTAAAAGTAATAGGGATCAATGCCGCCCATGGACATTTGCAACACCCGTAGAATTGCAGATGCGTCGGCACCATTTAATAAAGTGGGCCCCGGCTACCTTACTCACCAGACGGAATGCAGAAGTGTAACACTTTCACTTCACGCCGGTCTTCTGTGAGGTCGTGGCACTTACCCGGACGGACCTGCACATTCGTGCAACATTTGTTGATTAAGTTGTTAGAATTTTGTTTCAAACTTTTGAATTTTGTCTTATACTTTGACGTCCATAAGTCTTTATAGAGCAAAACTAAAACAACTGTTGGAAACACAATAATTTAAATAAGAAACTAAATTCGTAAAATCGTTAGTTATTTACAATAGCACAAGAATAACAATATCATATGCTACGAGACGTCTCTAAAATATATTTAGAAAGTACCTTATGGTGCCTACTGACTTTGTTAGAGATTTTCTGGTTGAATAAATGAAACGCTTACTTGTAGTACGTTGGATTGATATAAGACATTGATCTAAGTCAGAATGAGATATTATACAAAATATATACAGATTTTACGTGATTCTTAAAAATCAACATCGACTCGGGTTATTTGAATAGAGCAGTGTTTATTATTTGGTTATTGACAAAAGCCACATGATTCCTAAACAGTTATAGATGGAAGAAATAAATACAAGTTACAATAATATGTCTTAATAATATTTTAATAAACTATAACAATTACAAGTCAGCACAGAAGTTGTCAAAGATTTGCTGTTTCTGATGAAACCTTATTATTTTGCCCTTGTTTAAACATGTTTAAATAATTAACAGTTTAAAGTACACTTATTTACATATGTTTTTACTTGTTACAAGTGTGTAGAAAATGTTTTTTAGAACTTTCATAACATTATGATATAGGCAGTAAGGTTTTAATTGGTAAAATCAGTGATATTTATTATTTTATTTTCACCCCGTGAAGTCATTTAATATCATCGATATACAGAGTGGCTTTTCTTAAGGTGCCCAAATTCACACAGGGAGGTTCAGACGCGGTAGTACAATCGTTTATTAAACTATTTTTTCAAAAAAAATTACCATTCCATTCCCTAAACAGAACTTGTTGGCGGTAGTCATTCATAAATGCGTCGTATACTTTTGAAACGAACTTGTGTGCGTGTTAGTTATGAATGAGTTGCTTATAAATCACGCACTTTTTGAGATAAATTCAAATGAATGTATTTAATGAATTACGAGTGATTTTAAATATTTATCATTTTTATATAATATTATTTTATGTTTAGAATTTAATAAAAAAAATGGATACAATTAAAAAAGCCTCCTTGTAGATAATTATTAATTCATTTGCTGCTGTCTGTCTGCACTTCAGATGAAATTTTAGATGCACAGACACTTTGAATTTGGCACAGTAAATAAATCTATTTTTGATTAAGTATACACCTTTTGTTGTTTACCACGTTACTTCAGATAAAAAACATTTGATACATTATCTGTATTGTTTTGATCATATTTAAACAATATATTTTAGAATCTGTATTATAAAAATTTAAATACAAACATAATTTCATTCATTTCTCGTATTTGAAAGAAAAAATGTACCTTCTGCTGTGATGTCTGTTTATTTTTCATGGCATTAAAAGTATGTGGTTATATTTTTTTTATTTACTAAAGGCTTTGATTTCTTTTTAAAACAGATAATAACATTATAAACCTAGCGTCTAACGATATTTCGATGGTCCTTTCCCAGTTAACTTGCATCTAGTTACCTATGATGAGGAGTTCTGCAAATTTCTGAAATAGGTACAAAAACATTACACATTAGAAACGATTCAAAATTGCACAAAGAGACTAGATGTCTTTAGATTTTATTTATTTAAAAATAGATAGACAAGGAAGATTTACTAGGAAAGTCTTTCCTATTGTTTTGTGAAAAATCATTTTTGATTGCTAAAATATTTTTTTTAGGGTTCCGTATCCAAAGGCTAAAGCGGATCCTATTACTAAGACGCCGCTGTATGTTTGTCTGTCCGTCTGTCACTAGTACTGTATGTCATGAACCGTGATAGTTAAACAGTTGAAATTTTCATAGATGATGTATTTCTATTGCCACCATAAAACAGAATATTTAACAGGAACAGTGACAGAAACTCTTCGTGCGCCAGTCCAACTCGCACTTGGCTGGTTTTTTCATTTTCCTTTCTTTTTGGACATCAAAGTTATAAAAAATATGTTTCAAGTTAATATTTTTTATATTTTCATGATACATTTTCAAGACGAGATACGTGGCTTAAAAAGCAGTAAAGGCAATTAAAGTAGCTACAACCACAAGGGACATAAGAAAAACAAGATCGTATCTTACTTCTTGGCACACTTTTGAGCGTTGACTTTGATATACTATCGCTGTCTTCTGATTCTGAACACATCTGGAAGCTGGTCTCTGGAAAATGGATTAACTGAGCTGGTAATCAAAATAGAAGAGGATTAAGATAAAGACACTGTACTTCATAGAAGTTTAACTGGGGTGCCGTTAAAACAGTTAAATTTCCACAAAGGGGAATTTAAAAAGAGACAAATGAGACAAATGATGCTTACAAATAATGGTCACGCAAGGCTTTATTCAGGTTATTATATTAGTTATGTTCCATTTGTCTGTTGAAAACATAACGTTATAATATTAAATATCGAATCGCAGGTAAAAAACAAAAAATAATCCCCATTGCTTCTTTACGGTATTCGATAGCAAAATATAAAAATAATGTTCACACAAGACTAATCAGATGTTTATATCAGTTCTGTTCAAATTGGCTGATGAGCATAATATAAAAAATATGAATAGCGGGTAAATAAAGAAATATTCCTATCGTTTGCTTTCGGTATTCGAGGAACTTTGCCATGTTTTCACCGTTCCTTTATTTTATCAATCTATAAATGGCTTGTCTGCTTTACTTATATGCTTATATTATTAATCTATTACTTTTCTACTATGTGGCTTTAATTTCTCTTCTTCGCGATTGAATAAACATGGAATTTTTATTGGTAGCGTTAAAACTATGGTAGCTCAGGCAGCCATAATTTACCGTGGTGGGGCCACGCACAGTGGCGGATTTGCCTAAGGGTCAATAGGCCCGGGCCTAGGTCGGCCACATATAAGGGGCGGCCAATCGTGACAAAAATACACTGATGATAACAAGATATATGATGGGCTCTGAGAAAGGAGCGGTTAGAGCTTACTACATGGGCTGGGGACAAGACTCTTACGGTGGTAGGGCCACGCAACAGCCTCGGGTGTTGCACGAATGGGTAGACTCGTCCGGGTAAGTACCACGACCTCACAGAAGTCCAGCGTAAAGTTGAAGTATGACAAATATTTTCGCGTTTCGTCTGGTGAGTGAGGTGGCCGGAGCCCAATTTTCTAAAGGTTGTCAAGGCATCTGTAAGCCTCGAGTGTGGCAGATGTCCATGGGCGGCGGTATTCACTTAACATCAGGTGAACCGTCTGCTCGTTTGACAACTTTTTGCATAAAAAAAACGCCACGCAGGTGGCTCAAAAGAGTTGTTGTAAGAATGGGCTGGCTGAAATTTTATGCTTTTGACCTTCGTCTGGTGAGTGAAGTAAACAGTTACCCTTTTTATTAAAAGGTTAGTACCGCATCTGCAGGTATATAGGTATTGCATGTGTCGATGGGGAGCGGTAAGCGCAAAAGCAGACTCGTTCCTCACCTTTTTTATATGAACGTTTATAGGTCTGAATTCGGATGGCAGCACTAATGAAATCGTTGAAATTTTTGTGCCCGACTCACTTCTCGGCGGTTGGTGAAGGAAAATTAGATATAACTAATACGTAATATTTCAAAAATATGTGAAGGCAGCCAAACTTTTACAGGGCAGAACGGAATGTATTCGAAAAGAGATAAGGTCTTTTCACGACAATGGGACGTATTTGTTTAGGCTGTTCTCTAATGTTATTGTTTTGAGAAACTCACCAGTGTCGTATCTCAGTTTGTTCTGCCGACAAGGCAGGTCCTGGTTCTCCACGTGGCCGAAGGTCCTAAAGCCGACGGCGAATTGCGCGTACGGACTTATTTCGTACAGCTCTGGAAATATCCAAACGTAAAGCATTTTAAATCATACTTGGCGTTACATTGGTGGTTTGTTGTTTGCAAAACAACCAATTAAATTTTTAAAAAGCAATTCATTTTTATTTTATGCGAAAAGTTGTCAAACGAGTTAGCAATGGCGACATTTTCTCGATCGAATTACCTTTGTAAATCTATCTAAATAAAAATATATTCGAAATTGTTTGTATGCTGGAAAGGATGTAACAATGGATGCGCCAAGCATTTGCTTCAAATGCTAAAAAACATAAAAGACACTGAGATGAGACGGTGACCATCAGCCGTTTAGCTTAGTGCCTAAAGCGTCAGGGCGTGAATCCCGAAGACGTGGGTTCGATTCCCGGTGGAAAAAGTCGAAAAACTTTTCGAACGTTTTTTTTTTTACAAATTTTGAACATAAGTAGTTGTATTACCTATTATCTTACAAGTCATGGATAAGGTACATATACCAGCGTGCAACAAATAATATTCACATCGTCCCAAAAGTTAATATTAAAAATAAAGATAATATGTATACACTGGAAAGAAGATAACGATACCGATAATTTTATTGTGGCAACTTTTGCCGTTGTACAAATGTATTCGTTGTACAAATGTATACAAAGGCAGGCTTATTTTGTGTGGTATCATCTAGCCGATGGAAGCATCTTACTTATGCGTTCCGTCTGGTAATAGGTAACGTGCCCACTATTGAAGACTAGATGCTTCCCGCGACTGCGTCCGCATAGAATAGGCCGAAGGCATTCAGACAGAAAGACAGGTATACATAAAAATATGTAATTAATTAGCCTGTGCGTTATTCTGATGTATAAGCTATATTGTTCTAAAGTATCACTAAAACATCCATCCATCCATACAAACTTTCGCCTTTATAATACTAGTAAGGACCAGTAAGGGCTAGTAAGGACTGGTAAGTAAGGACTAGCGATGCATCTGCAGCTTCATAAATATTGTGTAATCACAAATTCATCATAAAGAATGTTATATATTCACCATGCTTGCTGCTGTTCCTCATGTGTATCGGCGCGCTGTAGATCCGGTTCTGAGCGTTCACCGTGTTCTCTTTCACGCTGCCGAGGTTGCTGTGCGACGTGTTCGCTGTCACGTCGCCGCTGCCCGATTTGTTGTCCGCCGTGATGGAGTCCCGGTACTCGGTCAGGTTGCCCGTCCTACGGAATTATCCGCTCAGATGTGATACAATGGTTGCTTGACGAGTCCGCGGCGCAGGCCAAGGTATCGGCTTCGGCGCCGGGGGGCGTGGGTTCGATTCCCGTACACACAGACCCAGACCCACGGACAATTGTTTCGGATATGGGTGTTTAACCACGTCAAATTTATGTAAGTATCTAAAACGTCCTTACAACACCGGATAATGTAATCCATGCAAGGGGGTTTCTTCTTTTAATGAATTTCCTTGCCCTAAGCTTGCCTGGAAGAGATCGCTGCTTAAGCGATAAGGCCGCCTGTTGAACCCGTGTGTTTTTTTTTAAATTATAAATACTGTAATGTTTCTTGGTGTAAAATTAAGTATATTTTACTTTACTTACTTTACTCAAGTAGATTTTGCGCTTGCCTGTTGTTAACGCTGACTATAAGTAAATATTACCAAGGTTCCCCCGTCAATATCTTTGTTTTTATTTATGTCAACGAAGTTTGTGGTCAAACATACAAAGGCTCTCACTACTACATTCGGCCTTTCTACTACTTTGGAATGATGATGTATTTAAACTGACTTTTGCCTCTTCACCAATATGTAGATACAGCAGGCGAGGCACAGCGCCAGGAGGATAGAGCTGCAAACTATGACTAGCATGTTGATATCGAAGAAGTCTGAAGGCGGTCCAACTTCGCCTGGAAAGAAATTTTTAGAAAGATCAAATTAGCTTGATTCAGATAACAGATGAGATGAGAGAGATAAGGAAAAAAAAAACATAAAAAACAGTTTTTTTTTTAATTGATTAAGCGCTTTTAGTTAACGGGTCACTTGGATACATTATCATTTGTCGTTGGATAATAAGCAAATGCTAATTAATGATAAAAAATGTCTTTAAATACATATTACACAAACATGTTTTACACAAATGTGTTTGTGTAATATGTATTTAAAGACCAGGGATTCGGTGTAACTTGTGATGGACTCACTTCCGTCTTCGTTTTTCGTGGCGAAGTTGTAAGTGGTCGTCACGCTGCCAGCCTCGTTTGTGGCCGTCACTCGGACCTGGTACCACGTCCCGGGGGACAGGTCGGAGATGGCGAAGGAACCGGTACGATACGACGGAGTGTCAGCTTCGTAAATGCTCCAAGAGGGGTTGGAGTAAGTCTGGAATGAAATTATAAATGAAGATGCAAAGGCCGTCTGGGTTGATTTTTGTGATGTGTCAATTTGACTTTGAATCCTAGTGGAATAAACTACACAATATAGAAAGTTGCAGCTTTAAGTTTATGCTTACTATGTGCTTGAACGTAAATGTTTGATAATTAGAATTCGTAGATAAACAGGACGAAAAGTTTTTCGCCGGTGCGGTAATCGAACCTACGTCTTCCGGATTCAATACAAAACTTACAACTTAATAATAAAATATAAAGTGTTCTTCACCAGTATATTGTGGGCGCGGATCCAATTCCTCGAGCCTAGTACTCGGTACTCGACGTCCCAGCCCTTCAAATCGCAGCCAGCGTCGTCCCATCCGGCCAATTGAACGTATATATGCGAACAGTTGCTCCACAGCCATTCGTTGGTCGACGGTGGAATGGGCACTGGAGAAGAGTTGATATATTTAAGCACATCTTCTTTCCTCGAATCTCTTCTCCTGCCCTGAATTGGCGAACTTTAAAGTATTAATTTATATTTATCAATCAATGCTTTAAAGTTTACAAACACCAACGATTTCAGCCTTAAATGTTTAGCTGCCATGAAAGATAAGCTAGTATAACGTAACGACTAATATACTCACTCTACTAAATACTCACCACCGCCCAATGTGCTGACGTCAATGTACGCGGGCTGGGAAGTGCCGACTTTATTCGTAGCGGTGATGCGAAGGGAGTATTTAGTGCCGCATTTGAGCCCAGTCAAAGCGTGCTTTTGGGCTCCGGAGAGATTCGGCGGCTTGTTGACCGGCCACGCTTCCTGCCAAGGGCCACTCGCCTCCTTCCATGTGAGGCTATAGCCTAAAAGGCCGATTAAAATTTCATATTGAGTTCCTACAAGTGCTAATGTCAGTTATGATGAAACATTTCTGAATGTGATGGAAAGTTCCGGAACGGTATTTGAAAATCGTGTTCGTGCGTTGCCAAGGACATAGCAATAGATCTCGCTTGAAAAATTATCACGTATTAAAAAAATAATATTATTAATCAGTACGTAAAACCTATTATTACGGGCCAACTAGTAATAAGTTCAAATCTTTATTTAAATAGCGTCGTAATAAACGTCGAATTTTACATAAAATTTGATTACATAATTCCGTAAGTAAGCAACTGCACTGGTTTGGAAAGCACTTTCTGTTTATATGAGACCGTCAAGAAACTTGACAGTTGGCCTTTTTTAGGCCGAATTCAAACCATGGGTAGATTCTCAATTCGACTGTATTCTTTTTTTATGTTTGTTACTTAACAACTTTCGACTGGGTGAATCGACTTCGATCTTTATCTATTTGAAAGCTGGTGCTTCCCATGTGGTCCCATATGAATTTGGTATAGGATAGGATCTTGGGCTCCGGAGATACTCAGTGCACTCGCGTAAATCAATTATGAAATGAGTAATTTGAAGTCGGTTTTGTTTTTGTTTAATTATGATGACTCCGTGGCGCAGTTGCCAAGGTATCGGCTTCGGCGTCGGGGGTCGTGGGTTCGATTCCCACACGGGACAACTATTTGTGTGACCCACAGATAGTTGTTTCGCATCTGTGTGTTTGAAATTTATGTTTGTAAAACGTCCTTACAACACGGGATAATATTATCCTAAAGTAAGGGCAGTGTTTTTAAAGCAAATTAAAAAAAAAAAAAAATTAAAAATTAAATTAATAAAAATGGACTTGTTAAATAATACAACATACTTATCTTTTGACTGGCACTCCTATTGGTGAGGGAGTAGTAGGGCTGCTCCCAGTCAACTACTATCGAGTCCTTGTAGGGTGTCGCTCGCAGCACAGGCGCCTCGGGCAGGGGCAGAACTATCACCACGTACTCCACCGAGTCGGAGCCGTACAGGTTTTTAGCGAGGCACGTGTAGTTCCCACCTAGGGATTGGTCGATGTCTGAAAGCGAATTCCGAAACCTAAGCTTCTAATGAATATATAGATTAGTAGCGGGCCCAACACACGTTGTCCTTGTCCTGTACACGCGACTTAAATTCGCACATTATGGAATCGACCTGAAGACACAAAAAAAAATTTCATTAACATCAGTCTAGCCATTTAGGAGGAGTAGTGAGATACACACCAACAGAGTTTTTGAAGTGGAGTTCGACAGTTTCTAACCTAATTATTACGCACGATTACATCACGAAGGGTATGGATGATGGTCACCAAGTAGATTGTATCTATACAGATTACAGCAAGTGCTTTGATAAGATAGACCATAAAATTCTGTTGAATATGTTAGCGATAGCAGGAATACACGGGGACCTCTTAAGGTGGTTTGCCTCATATATTGAAAACAGGTCTCAAGCAATTGTCCTCAACGGTTTTATGTCCGCCTGGCTACCCATCCCCTACCCATCCCTTCAGGTGTACCTCAAGGCTCCCTTTTGGGACCGCTGCTCTTTGTAATATTTGTGAACGACATAGAAAAATGTTTCAAACACTCCAAAATACTACTCTATGCGGATGACATGAAAGTGCTAAATGTTATAAGAAATTTGCAAGATCAAAAGTTACTGCAATCTGACCTAATTAGATTCGAATCATATTGTAACGGAACAAGTTGGAGTTAAATGTACAGAAGTGTTTTCTTATGTCGTTTACGAGGAAAAATACCACTATCGAAGGCAGATATCTGCTGAAAGATACAGAAATCCACAGGGTGTATACGGCACTAGATCTTGGAGTTACCCAAGATCATAAACTTATTTATGATAAACATATAGATTATGTAGTATCGAAGGCGTATAAAGCCTTGGGTTTCATCATCCGTAGCACGTCTCTTTTTCACGACCTAAAACCTTTCAAAATTCTGTACTGCTCCTATGTTAGACCTACGCTAGAATATGCCTCACAGGTTTGGAGTCCTCAATATAAGACCTATAAATCACGTATTGAGGGTATTCAAAAAAGATTTTTAAGATATCTTGATCATAAAGCACATATAAAGTCTAGAGACTACAATGATAGATGTAGCCGGTACCATTTTGTTCCATTACATGTTCGACGAAATATCAACGAAGTTTGCTTGTATTTAAAAATTGTTAACGAATCAATAGACTCACCTGAGTTATTTATTATCTGAAATCTTGTTAAATGTTCCATTGCCGAATAAAAGAAAACGTAAATCCTTCCACACTCCAAAAACTCGTACAAATTATAGAAGTAACCATTTTATGATAAGGACAGCAAAATTTATAAACAACCAAACGAATATTGATCCATTTCATACCTCACCAGCGGTGGCCAACGCACTTCTTACTAAAGACCACTTTGTCACATAAAATATATATATATTAGCTTTACTGTTATTTTTACCATAATTATGTTCATGTCATTGTAGTCACGTGTCTTTTTTTTATTCCTTGTATTTATTTATTTTCTATAGTAACTGTAATTTAAGATTTCTAAATGTGAAAACTTATAAATGGCTTCTTTAGTATTTAATATCACTCAATTATCTTTGTTAATAGCTGTAAGTTTTCCGAATAAATTAAAATAAAATAAAATAACAGATGAATTATTAATTAATGACTAAATATTACGAGCAATGACAATCAAAAAGGACTTTAACATACTCTTTTTTATAATAATTTAACCGTCTTTTGTAGTATGCCAAGCTTCGAGTCTACCACTACGGAAAATTAAAGCCTACTTGTAAAGCAACTAACTGTTAATTAGAAGACTGTCGTCGTGGTTCCTCGTGAACCGCGGGTGGTGCGTGATGATGTTGTGGTTGTGGTACCAGACGGTGCGAGGCGGTGGTGATCCCACGCATGAGCACGCCAGCAACAGCGAGCTGCCCACGCCCACGGACACCACACCACCCAAAGAAGCTACTCCTGCTACCACTGGAATGACGGGAGCGGACAAAAATTGTTATTTCGTAAACTGGTCGAATTTGCTGTGGAGAGTTTGGTACAGTAAATATTTTTATATGTTTTTTGCTTTATAGCAGAAAAGATACAAAATGTTTTAATATGAGATATTGAGAGCCTTATTTAATGTTCTCTTTGCCCTTTACGATGATATTATCCCGTGTTGTAAGGATGTTTTACATAAATTTCACGTGGACAAACATCCAGACGCGAAACAATTATCAGTGGGTCACACAAATAGTTGTCCCGTGCCAAAAACTTGGCAACTGCGCCACGCAGTCCTTCAATTTGCTGAAGTAACTGTTATAACATATAGACAATAAAAACTAGCTAATATTCCATAGTAGCTAGTTTCGTAACTAGACAGTCCACTAACTGTTAGTAAAAAAGTAAAGTAAGGCCTCCTCTATACAGAGGGTATCAGGGCATAGTCCACCACGCGGCCCCACTGCGGATTGGCGGACTTCACATATTTTCGAAATATATATATATATATATATATATATATTTTGTTATTATTTCGAAAATATGCAGGTTTCCTCACGATGTTTTCCTTCAAAGCGAAGCACGTGATAAGTCAGCACTTAAAGTTAAAACTTCATTGGTGCCGGCACTGGGGATCGAACTCAGGTTGCTCGAGTATATTGAATTAAAGGCGAGCGCCCGGACACTGAGCTATAACTAGTTGGTACATAAAATCATTCAGCGCGATATCATCAGCAAAATATATTTTAATACGCAAAGTTATGTCCAGCAGTGGAGATGATTATGATGGTGGCGATTATGAAGGATATACGGGCGCTCGCATTTAATTCAATATACTCGAGCAACCTAAGTTCAAATCCGGGCTAAGTCTTTAAATCACCAAATTTGATGAAGAATTATGTTAGTTATGGCGTACCGACAAAGAATTACCTATGAGAAGTGTTTAAGTAAAAATTAGCAGAAGCCAGGGGACCTGCAAGTGCAGAGCAAGAGTCATTTCCACACATCCTTGTCCTCAATGTATACTCGATATAATAGGCCCTTTCCATTAAGGTGGCTTCTTCAAAATGTTTACAGTGAATATGCATAGGGGTAGTTACCTCTCTGCGATGGAGTGTGCGATACGCGTCTGCTGGATGCTCCTTCTCCCACTTGGGTGCTGGCGGTGACCCACGTCTCGTACGTCCTGCCTGTTGTGAGCTCCTTCAACTCGGCCACCGTTCGCCCTTCGGCCTCGATGCGGTGCGTTTGGGGCGGGCCATTGCTTCGAGAAATAGGGAAAGCTTTGTTACTAGTATTAGTAATCCAGTAATAGTACTATTAATAGTAATCCAGTAATCTATATTTCATTGTAATTTGTAGAAAAAAAGGAACGAAGAGTTTCTCGCCGCTTTGGGAATCGAAACCACGTCTCCGGGATTCGCGCCCTGACGCTCTAGCTATTGAGTAAAACGGCTGTTTGTATTATTGTATTTCACGTCATTTGAGGGAGACGTGGTAAACACAGGTGACAAAAATCGTTCAAAAATTTTTATTGTATTTAATAGTACTTTCGACAAGTCTAGACTATTCAAATTTATAAGGAGAAAGGACAATGTAAGTTTAAATAAAAGACAATATAGTACAATGGACTTAAATGGACTAACAGTCAGTGTACCTATATTGTTGCAGTATTGTCAAGTATTCTCTTAATATTAGAACTATAAGCCAAATTGTGTTTTATATTTCTGCGTTTCGTCTGCTGAGTGAGGTAGCCGGGGCCCACTTTATTATAAGGCGGCAAAGCTTCTGCAAGCCTACGGGTGTTACAAATGTCAATGGTCACATAAAAAAATGCAAGTCGTTCTGTTTGTCACCTTGACGTTGGCTTCACGTACACAGTGTAGTAGAGAAGGTCGCCGTTCGGATGGTCGGGTTGCTTCCAGCTGACGAGGAGCGAGACGGGCGACAGCACCAGAACTTTTATATCAGCCGGCGCATCCGGAACTGGAAGAGGTATTGCATCGATAATTTTATAATTTCTTCTATTTACGCGATTACACATTATAAATGAAACCAATTTTACGGATTTATCGCGTTTATTTTTGAATTTAGTAAAACTAGTTTCATTTATGACGTATTGCATTTTCAGCATTTTTGTTTTTTATTTATACTGTTGCTATGTAATGAAGTACTTAAAATATTTATTTATTTATTTATACTTTATGCACACAAAATATGTACAGAGGCGGACTTAATGCCATCAGCATTATCTACCAGTCAACCTTTGGGTGGTCCAGAGAAGTTTAAGTAGGTGCATTGATTGTAAGAAAAAAACAGATTATTGAAAAAAAAGCAAGACAAATTTATAAGCGATATTACATAAAATACTATACTGGGTATATTGGTATATGGTATATATTGAAATGATTATGTACATATAGAAAAATAAAGGTATTTAAATACAAAATACTTATATAAATAAATATATACATACTCATATGATTAACTATCCTGTGAATCTGTCGACAATTTTTTGAGCAGGTATTCGGTAAGAAAGAAAGAAAGAAAGAAAGAAATATTTATTTGGTACATAACAAACAAAACATAAAATAAAAACAAAATAAAAGTAACAATTAAAATTTAGAAATCACAACTTGAAGTCAATGTACCAAAAAGGTCACCACTCAGCATTACATCGCAAAAAAGAGAAGATATTTTTGCGATTACTGATTTTCAGTGGAGCCTAGAGAGATTGATAGATCGGTATTGTATATTATATGTAATATAATTTGTGTGTTATGTTAATTTAAAGACAGATGCGGAATATTAAATGTAGGTTATGTAAATAATATTGTCCGATACAGAGCCGTGATAGCACATTGTCCAGGCGTTCGCTTTTAATTCAATGTACTCGAGCAACCTAAGTTCGATCCCCGGTGACGGCAGCAATGAAATTGTTAATTGTAACGCCCAGTTCCTTTATTCAACGAACGGCCGTTAGTTACATAACTTCGTTATTTTCATAATGACTTGTAGATTAAAGGAACGCTAGTAACTCACTTTACGTTGGTAATGCAACGGTTAGTAAGGAATACGCTTCGTATTGTTAATATGGGAACCGGCCGTACACGCCTTTCATCTATGATGAAACCTGCATATTTTCGAAGTAATAAAAAAAAAATTTCGAAAATATGTGAAGTCCGCCAATCCACAGTGGTGTCTCCACGTAGGCTATACCCTGATACCCTCATTACAGAGGAGGCCTTTGGCCAGCAGTGGACATTTATAGGCTGTCACTTTCTTGTATCTTGTATCTTATATTATCTGATGTTTGTGCTTTCAGTCCCGAGACTATTAAAGCTTCATCTGACGAAGAACCGGTGGACTAGCCAGAACCCACGGGTTTGGGCCCTCCGCTGTGGGTAGGGCCGCACATGCTCATGCGTGCGTTTAACTACGACATGTCATCTAAGGGCCATCGAGGTTGCGGTGCGGACCGAGACCCCGATGGCCGTCGACTGTGTTTTAGCTAATCGGTGCCTGGGGCGGTGAGAACCGCCCTGGAACGCGGTGTACCTTTTGTGCTGTCATTTTACTTTTATGTTGTGTAACGACTTACCGTCCTGTAGGGTCGCGCATACGATGGGATATGAGAAGGGCCCAGGGCCGTAGTTGGAGTAGCCAGCGACCTTGACCGTGTAGTTTGTGTACTTCACAAGGGATTGAAGATACAGCTCTGTATGCAGCGACGATTGATTCTGCCATGCGCTGTCTGAAATCAATATGAACCGATGAGATTATTAAACAATTTCACGATCCGATTGACGTATTGGTGTCTGTCTCCTATGCCAGATGGTGGGGGTCCGGTCCCCACTACTGGAAAAATATTGTGTAATGAACATAGTGTTTTTCCAGTGACTGGTTTTTTAAATTTCTATAATATGTATTTATTTACAAAAAATATGTATGTTTATCCGTTATCTAGTATTCGTGATACAAGCATCACTTGGTTTAAGACTAGATTTTTTTTTATAAATACATTGCCCTTACTGTAGGATAACTTGTACTGTGTTGTAAGTTCGTTTGACATACATAAATTTCACATGGACGAACACCCAGATCCGAAACAATTATCTGTGGGTCACTGAAATAGTTGTCTCGTGTGGGCATCGAACCCACGACCCCCAGCCCGAAGCCAATACCGTGGCAACTGCGCCACGGAGTCATCGAATTATCATTTAACGATATATCTATATCTAGTAAAGGTATCGTTAGTAAAAAGGAATTTGTTCGGCAGTAAGAGATAAGTTAGTATGTGTTTGTGTTAACAATCTGACTTGTAAACAAAGTGAGATATTACCAACGAAAAACAAAACAGACTTCAAACATCTCGTTCTGTATTCATTTTATAATTCATTTTCCGGAGTTCCCCAAGTATATCCGGGGCCCAAGATCCGATACCAATGAAATTAATATGGGACCAAATGGGAAGGACCTGCTTTAAAATAAAAAAAGAATCATCAAAATCGGTTTGCTCAGTCGAAAGTTCTGAGGTAACAAACATAAAAAAGGCAATCTAATTGAGATTCCCTGCTTTTTGAAATCGGTTGAAAACTGACCTTCAGTGGCATAAAGCACGGTGTATCCAATAAGGGAACTGCCCCGTCCGTTTGCCGCCACGGGCTGCCAACTGACCCTCAGTGACGTGGATGAGATGGCGGTGCATTCAACCGAACTCGGCGCGTGCTCGGGTGCTGAAATTTTCACCGAAACCATCATCATCACATCGCTCTTTAGGCGTCCTTGGCGATTTTTTGCATCATGCGCTCTTGCATCATTTCTCTGTGGTGGGACGACGCAACAGTGTTCGCTCTTTCACGAATGGGCAGGTCCGTCCCGGTAAGTACCACGACCTCACAGAAGACCGGCGTCAAGTAGAAGTATTACACTTCTGCGTTTCGTCTGGTGAGTGGGGTAGCCCCACTATAGGGCCCACTATATTAAAAGGTGGCACTATATTAAAAGGTGGTACTATATTAAAAGGTGGCAACGCATCTGCAACCCTACGGGTGTTCAAAATGTCACTGTGCGGCCTTCATAACCAACTAAGCTAAACCCAACGGTACGTAGAGATATTTTTTTTAAATCTTCCCTTACTCCCTTACCACGGTTTTCACTTCACGAGGAAGACGACTTAGGAGAACATTGGACATCTGTTTTATACTAGCTGTCCGGGTAGACTTCTTTTTTTTTTTACTTTTTTTATAGTAACCTTCCATGGACCTTAAGGGACATACAAAAAATAGCCGAATTGATCCAGCCATCCTGAGTTATGGGCTTACCAACAATTTATTTTTATTCATTAAAAAAATTACTAATAAAGTAAATTATATTGTATTATGTAAAACATTATCAAAATGTCACTTACCGCCCTCCATAGTGTCTTGAAACACAGGCAGTGAGAATGGGCCGGAACCAGCTCTGTTGAAAGCTGATATGGACACAGCGTATCTGTGGATGACAATTGAAATTTGCTTACGTAACAAAAAAGATACAGAAGCAGTTAACAATATTTGCAGTTGTAGTCAATATACAGTTAGATTAATGAAGATTCATGAAGGGGGAAGGTATACGTGAAACACATTATTATTTAGAAACTGGCTGTGTCCCACAATGTTTTCCTTCACCGGGATGTGATAAATCAGCACTTTATTATTTTATTGTTTATTACAAACAACAAGTTCATTAGAGTCAGTATCGAGATTCGAACAGATTGCTCAAGTATACTAAATGGAAAGCGAGCACCAGGTTACTGAGCTATCACGTCTTCTCTATATTGGCCAAATTGAATGCAAAGACGAAACTCACCTCGTATTTTTGAGCAGACCACTGATTTTAGTTTCTTGTTTTCCAGTTTTCTGTGACACCTTTAAAATTCTTGTATCCGTGTCTTCTGATACTGGTGGCAAAAATTATGTAATAGTTTATTAACGTATTATTGTGGAAGTAATTTTCGCACAATTTACACTATTAAATATCTAAAAACTTTAAGTTCCACTTAAAAGTTAACAAAAAATAGCATTGCTGCTGTATTATAGTTCCATTTGAGATCCAAATGATTAGAAAAAGACCAGAGAATAGGGACGTAAATTGACTGATTTTTAACAGACATGTATCTGGAGGACTAGCTTCTTAAGGGTTGGTAAAGCATCTTTAACCTCATTGGTTAGATAAATGTCCGTGATTGACGATAATCAGAGTAAGCATCTCTTCTTGCAACGCACATAAATGGATTCACGCACGCATAGATTCTTTGATAAGGAAAAATCTGGATAGAAAACCAGTGTTACACTTACTAAGAAATCTGATAATTAAAGTTATAATGAATGATATAGTGTCAATGTGCTAGTAAAACTTACGATTCGGTACGTTTTGTGGTGCAGCTTTTACGTGATAGCCGGTGATTACGCCGTTGTGTGTTTCCTTCGGTGGTTGGAGCCAAGACACGAAAAGCTCACCAGGTGTATTAGTCTGTTCCACCACAATGTTGATGGGAGGAGATGAGGGTGCTGGAAGTGTCAGTAAAATGAGAACAGTACAGAACGCAGTAAGAGATATATTTTAGCGTTGTAAATTTTGTTGAGAAAACTGCTTCTCGATTGCGAGGGTTGAGAGTTGAAGTACCTTGCAGAAGACTGTCGTGAAGAAGAGCTGTCTATACTATTTTGTTAGTTCTGGGAATAGCACGGCTCGTTGTTTCAAACTTAGGGAACACAGATACTACTTATCTTCTGTTGTTATAATTGGTTCTTTGCGGTCTCCTCTAATAGAAAATGGCCAATTTTCAATTTAATGACTTATTTTGCACAATTTATTCCGCTATTAACATCGCTTGTTAGACTACTAAGACATATATTTAATACTTTCGCATGCAAAGTAATGTTTGCTGTTGATAGTGGTGGGGGACTGAAGGGTAAGGTCTTAAGGCAGTCAACCACTATTAATCGTTTGCTTCCACGCCTTGATAACATATGTCGAGTTCTCTGTATATTCTTGTTAATTGTTATTATTCACATGTATTTCTTCCTATCTGCCTTACATCTAACCGCTTCGTATACTTCCATTACTTTAGATACTATTCTTTATTAGAGCGTGCTTGTATAAAAATAAATAAATAATAGATACAACACACACGGTAATCCATACATATTATATTCTTTTATTCATTTGTTTCATTATTATGATATGACTTAATTAATTGTATTGTGGTTGGGCCACATAGCAGGATTTGCTGTTGCAAAAAGTGGGCAGGCTTGTCCGGGAAGGTGTGACATGGAAGTATTTTACTTCTGTGTTTCTTCTAGTGAGAGGTAACCTGGTCCCACTTATTTAAAAGGTGGAAATATGGGTGTTCCAGATGGGCCATTGTTATTACTTAACATCACGTAAACTAAAGAGCCGTGATAGCTAAGAGCTGTGATAGCTCAGTGTCCGGGCGCTCGCCTTAATTCAATATACTCGAGCAACCTGAGTTCGATCCCCGGTGCCGGCGACAATGAAGTTTTAACTTTAAGTGCTGACTTATCACGTGCTTCGCGGTGAAGGAAAACTGCAAGCACGCTTTCCACCTTATCAAATAAAAATAAATTGGGGGAGGCCTATGTTCAGCGGTGGACGTAATACATAAAAATATACATACGTTAGTTTTAACCCGGCAAATCATCAAATTTAATGTCATGTTTACTATGTTTATACCTTCTTCGTGTGTGGTGAAGTGTACGGGGGCGGTAAAGGGACTGACCCCAACCTGGTTTCCAGTCGCTACCCGCACAATGTAAGCAGTAGCTGGCCGCAGGTTTTGAAGCTCGGCGGATTGTCTGAGGTCGTTGTCTTTCCTGAAAATGGCAAAATAGTTAAAACTTTTCGATTCCTCGTATTATTACCTTATCACCATATTTTTATATATATAAAAATTTCGTGTCACGATGTATGTTCGCGATAAACTCCGAAAGTTTATGAACCAATTTTTATCAAATTTTGAAAGCATTTGTAATTTGGTCCAACTTGGGAGACAGGGTAGATTTTATGTCAATTGTTGATCTGAATATTTGTTATTGCAAATTATTTGTTTATTAGATGACAAAGAGCTATCTGTGAGTCCCATAAGATTCTAACAGATGGCGGTGTAAGATAAATTTATCGGCTGGATTGAGTAAGTATCCGATAGATGGCGCTATGCTAAAAGTAGAAACGTATGGACCCGGTAGAATTGGCGCAGACGAAGTTGCGCGGGCCAGCTAGTATTATGTAAGTAAAGTCGTGCTCATTGTACAAATCAGTTTGTGGCAAAAATCTCCCGAATGCGAGTCCCAGTCTTGAGTATAATGTTTCAGCTAATTACATGACATTTAATTAGTTTTAAAGATACTAAATTACTATTTTGCAATATTTAAATCTAGATCTACAACTTAGCAGGCGTGGAACTAATGGCATTTGATAACGCTTAAATAAAGTAATTAAAATTAATTATTAAAACATTAAAACATGTAGAAAAAGTACGAAAAGATTGTCGCCGCTGGGGGAATCGAACCCTCGTCTTCGGCATTCGCGGCCTGACGCTCTAGCCACTGAGCTAAACGCATCCGGCGACGAAAATAACGCTCTTTCTACATGTTATTTAGCATTTGAAGCAATCACAAGTACTTTTTTTTCGAATATCGTTTTATATAATTCGAACGATCATCGAACTTATGTCTAGGACAAAACTGAGTAGAACAATCGATTTGTCTAGGACAAAACTGAGTAAAATGGATAATAAACATCAATCAGATTTTTATTCAGATTAGTGTAGCGAAAATTAATCAAAGGCTATTAGATTTTTTTTATTCATATTAATAAAGTACATTGTAATAAAAAATGTTGTCTAAAGTACCGTGAAATATTTAGAGTAACTGCATGCTCCCAGCTGATGTCGACCACGTGCGCCGGCGCGTACTGCAACGCGTATCTAGGCGCGTGCGCACGAGTTGAGCGCCAGGAAGCAACTGCTGATCGCGAACGCACCGATTCTATCCTTAGCTCAGAAGGCGGAGTGGGGGGCTCTGAAAACAATTAACAATACCTATATTTTGTTTCTACTTTCATTTATTTTTAAATAACATTAATTTCAGAATTTATAGCGTATAATAATAAAATACAAAATCCAATAAAATTGGATACAGATAAAGAAATTTCGCACGAGTCAACTAGTTATTTAAAATATAAACTGGCTGTCCGGCAAACGTTGTTTTGCCAAATTATTTCTCGAGAATTTGTAGTCTAGAAAAAAATGTTATGGTGGACCACCTTTATCTTATAGAATTTCATAAAAATCGATCAAGCCGTTTCGGAGGGGTACGGCAACTAAATGAACACACGTCTAACTACTTGCCAATAATCATAAAAAAATATTAACGTTAAAAAATCCATAAAGAAAAAAATATTTTTCAAACAAACTAATTAAGTAAGAAAAAAAAGAAACAAAATTTGTAACATACAACTACAACTGACTGATTCATACATTCAGAGACTTTTTCATTCGTTGCACAGCGTTGCATTACAAGCCTATCCTTCTAACAGTATGTTTTGTCTCTTTTAAATTCATTCATCTCATTCGTATGTTTTTTGACCTTTACAAATGAACGTTACGTAACGGTGTTCTAGAATTCTTGGTTTTGGAAGATTTAATAACTCAGAAAATATTGATGTTTAAAGAATGTGAATGATGTTTGTTGCCAGTGATGACCTACGGAACCGAGACGTGGTCCTTCACTGCTGGCCGTAAGAGGAAGCTCAAAGTCGCTCAGCGAGCTATGCTCGGTATTTCTCTGCGTGATAGAGTTCGTAACGAAGACATCCGCAGTAGAACCAAGATAACCGACATAGCTCAGAAGATTAGCAATGGCCATATAGCTCGTAGTACAACAACCGTTGGGGAAGAAAGGTTCTCGAGTGGCAGCCTCGTACTGGCCATCGCAGTGTGGGACGACCCCCCACTAGATGGAGTGACGACCTGTGCAAATGTGCGGGAAGTCGATGAATGCAGGTGGCTCAGGATCGTACTTCATGGCAGTCTATGGGGGAGGCCTATGATGATGATGATGATGAAAGAATGTGAATGTTTAATAAAATTTTAAAAAGTTATCCTCTATATGGTGTTCCTTTATTGTCGCGATTGTAAAGACACGCTGTATAGTAAATTTATATAAGAATAACATACCTAAAATGTTTAGGAATATGTTGAATGTCGCCGCGCCATATGGATTATTAGCTCTGCACTGGTACAATCCGGCGTCGCCGGTCTCCGAGTATTGTAGTTTGATTGTGCTAGTTACGCCCAAGGGCGTTTTTGTTTCCGATAGCTTCGCTCTAGATCGACGACATGGAACTTATTAGTAAAGTAAAAGCCTTCATACGATAAGAGGCATGCGTAGTCAAAGATTTCAATTTTATTATTAAGTTAAACAATGAGTCAAATAGAAATCTGTAGTCATAACATTCACAGGTCTAATAGAGCACTCAATTTTTATGTTATAGGTAGACTAATGCTTAGTTTATCTCGGTGGTATATTATTTGATAAATGAGAATTTCAAAATGTATCCTAGGGGCCTTCATTCCCAGTGAAATGCAGAACAAGTTTTACGTTTCACAGAGTTCTAATGTTAAAAATCACTCTAACATTTAACATCTAACATTTCATGACTTTCTTTAATTGATGTTTGATTAGACCTATTACATCATATTACCTGTGGACCTGAAAATCAAGCGTGTTCCCATTGTGTGTCCATAGTATTCTTATGGGGTCGTCGCCAAGTGCTTTGCATTCTAATGTTACGGGATGACCCAGTCTGGACGTCACATTAGTAGCTGTTGTGTCAAAGTGAACCGGCTCTGGAATTATAACGATAAACACGATACATAAAAAAGTTGCTTCTTAACGTGCGTATTACGATCGTCAACTTCAAGCTTAAGAAGAATAAAATTTGTGAATTGTATAATGTTGCCTCGCGAGGAAAAGTTAAGAGAAGTTTCGCTATTTTAAATATTTTTATGGGAGAAGGTGGCAAACGAGCTGGCGGTTACGTTAAGTGATAACCGCCGCCCATGGACATTTGCAACCCCCCGTAGTAGGTTGCAGATGCGTTGCCACCTATTAATAAAGTGGGCCCCAGCTACCTCACTGAAGAGAGTGCAGAGGTGTAACGCTTCCACTTCATGCTGATCTTCTCTTAGGTCGTGGTACTAACCGGAACGGACCTGCCCATTGAAATAGAGAAAACCGCGTGGACCTAACGCAGTTAAACGTAATATACATAAGAGTATTCGCACATGTCTAAAGATTTTGAAAATGTTAAAAATGGCACTTAGAATTAATTTTAAATTGACAAATATGAACGGTAAAACTGAAACAAATAAAAATTACTCGTTTAATCGTTTTGTGAAACTATCAGAGTCACTATCGTAGAAGTGACGATTATTGCTATTGCTTAACACAATGAAGTATTCGTCAAAAGAACTTAACTGTTAACACTCATCCAAATAGTCTTGCTCAGTGGGCTTCCAACGCCGTTCTCAACGTTGCAAGAGTACAATCCCTCGTCAGTGAGAGACACTTCCTCGATAATCAGCGTTCCGTTTGGTAGGCTCAGAATACCACCACCGGCAAGCTCAAGAACTGGCTGCCAAGTCCCGAGAAGAGCTGAGGAAGTAAACATTAATTTCATGTTAAGGTTGGCAGATCGAATAATTTATCGCTGTGTCTTTAAAATTTCTACCGAAAAAAATGGCATTTAACAAGAGCATATTATGTGCAATATAGCATAATATCTTCAGGCTTATATAGAAATATTTAAGAAAATTTTACGATTTATTAAAAATACAGTGGTATTCACCACCCTTGGTAAGTTGACATGGTGTAAATACGTTATGAGAAGGGATGAAAGTAATTTGACAAGAGAAGTAATGAGTTGGGAGGATGTAAAGCTAGAGGAAGACCGAGAAAGATTTGGATGGACTGTTGAACTAAGAGAAGTGTTCATAGAAAGTAGTACTCGTCTCTGTAGTCTAGATAGAATTGTTTAGCGACGGTGATGTAGAATTGTTTAGTGACGGTGACATAGAATTGTTTAGTGACGGTGATGTAGAATTGTTTAGTGACGGTGATGTAGAATTGTTTAGTGACGGTGACATAGAATTGTTTAGTGACGGTGACATAGAATTGTTTAGTGACGGTGACATAGAATTGTTTAGTGACGGTGACATAGAATTGTTTAGTGACGGTGATGTAGAATTGTTTAGTGACGGTGACATAGAATTGTTTAGTGACGGTGACATAGAATTGTTTAGTGACGGTGATGTAGAATTGTTTAGTGACGGTGACATAGAATTGTTTAGTGACGGTGACATAGAATTGTTTAGTGACGGTGATGTAGAATTGTTTAGTGTGACATAGAATTGTTTAGTGACGGTGACATGAGAAATTGTTGTTTAGTGACGGTGACATAGAATTGTTTAGTGACGGTGATGTAGAATTGTTTAGTGACGGTGACATAGAATTGTTTTTAGTGACGGTGACATAGAATTGTTTAGTGACGGTGATGTAGAATTGTTTAGTGACGGTGACATAGTGACATAGAATTGTTTAGTGACGGTGACATAGAATTGTTTAGTGACGGTGATGTAGAATTGTTTAGTGACGGTGACATAGAATTGTTTAGTGACGGTGACATAGAATTGTTTAGTGACGGTGATGTAGAATTGTTTAGTGACGGTGACATAGAATTGTTTAGTGACGGTGACATAGAATTGTTTAGTGACGGTGATGTAGAATTGTTTATAGACAGTGGTCCATTGATTGCTGAATAATAAAACATGAGAATCATTCATAGTCCAGTAATTTTGTAGAACTTAGCTCAATAAGTCGAGTTACCATCTTTTTTCATCCAATGCACCTGCGGTTGAGGGTACCCGTTTGCACTGCAGGACACTACACCTCTTCTACCCAGAAGGAGGGAAGAGTTTGACGGTTCCTCCGCCCATTTCGGCGCAACTGAAAATAGATTTACTTTAGCACAGGTATTTTAAAATTAAGAAAAAACAACAAAAATATTTTACCAACGTAAACGTAAACGATGTCCTGCCGTACAGTATGTATTGGATTCAAAATTGCCGAGGTTTGAATATTATAAAATATCATGTTTATAAAAAATATTTAAATGTACGACACCTCTCTCTAGTTTGAAAACTGATGAAAGTGGTTTTATATTAAATTTAAAAAATAGAGAGATTCAAAGAAAGTTTTTTTTTATTTCTGCAAACGTTGACGTAAAATTCATTTTAAACATTTATTAAAACTTTAAAATCCTTTTTTGTACACCTTAATATAATGATAATTACCCTTAATATATAATTCAGTGGATCGGTTGACTTTTGCCACGTGGTTCGAAGCTACACAGGTGTACGTGCCGCAATGTTCGAGAGACACTTTCTTTATTACTAATGCACTGAATAGCTCTGAGCTTCTCTCTACTACCTGCAAATACAGTAAATAATCAATAGTTACTTATGATTTAATAATAATAATAATAATAATAATGATAAATATTCTTTCTTTCACACCAAAATGAAATATACAAACAAAACCTTAAAGTTTAAATGAAATGGGCGGCCTTATTACTAAAAGTAATTTCTTCCAGGCAACCTTTGGATGGATTGGAATAAATTAAGGAATAAAAGGTGTGGGTTAATTTAATGAAGGAATTAAACAATATCGAAACTACAATAAAAGAGAGCAAAATAAAAACAATAATAATAAGACAAACATGTTTGAAAGACAACACGACAAACACGTGATTTACGGTATATTAATTTTCCAGTTATTCGTAATTATGAATTAAATGTATAAAACTAACTTTAAGAATAAGAAGGACTTAATGGCATATTAGACACTAAATAATTTGAAGATAGTACTTTTGTTCTTATTTTTAAGAACAAAATATAATATAAACTTGTATTTTGAGTAAGCTGGTGAACATTTGATAATTGCTTTACAAATATTATTAAAGTTTCACAGTTAACAAACTAAATTTGAATTTCTTTGTTAATATTATCTATAGCTTAATATTACCTTTAGGCTGCTCGGTATCCTTTTACCGTCTTTCAGCCATTCGAAGTGGATTGGTAAATCGCCGCTTCTTACGTTGCAGTAAATGTTAACAATCTGCCCTTCCTGCAGATTGTTTCCCAGCAGCAAGTCCTCCAGTATAGGGGCTTCGATGACTTGTATCTCGAACGCTCGCCTTGCCATCTCACCCGAGGGACTGGTCACCACACAAGTGTATACCGCTCCGTTCTGTTCCTTGGTCACTTCGGGTATTGTAAGCACACCGTATATGTTCACGACACTCCTCCTAGTTTTGCGTTTCTTCGCGTCGCGTTTGTATCTCGATTGGAAGAGGTTGTTGGAGTTGATAATTTTGCCCTTGTGGTCCCAGTCTATTTTACTGAAATTAACGTTTGATAGTTAGTAATGACGAACTATTAATATGTGAATTATAAATTTATATTTAATAAAGTCTTAAAATTAATTTTTTAATTATATTAATTTTTATAGAGCTATTCTTTGATATTTATTAAAAATTTATTATTAAAATTATTATTAAATTTCTTTGATATTTATACGATATTTGACAAAAATGCTGCGATACTAAACAGCACATCTTCACAACGATGAAAATGTCAACGGCTCTAATCTACTTTGTTTTTATTGCACTTTTGAAATGCTTATTATGCTATTTAGTGTGTTTCCTTTACAACAAATCATTTTTTCACATGTTTACAATGAATATAGAATTCGATCATAATTAATTATAAATGGCATGGGGATCATTTTAAAAAATAATAGCATTCTGTACTCCTTCCTATACAGTGTGTCTTTACAATGGCGACAATAAATCAACACACATATAGAGGATAACTTTTTAAAATTGTATTAAACATTCACATTCTTTAAACATCAATATTTACAGAGTTATTAAATTTTCCAAAACAAAGAATTTTAGAACACTCTTACGTATAAAACTGTTACGTAAAGTTCATTTGTAAAGGTCACAAAGCATACGATTGGGTTGAATGAATTTAAAAGAGACAAAACATACTGTTAGAAGGAGAGGCTTGTAATGCGACGCTGTGGCAACGAATGAAAAAGTCTCTGAATGTATGAATCAGTCAGTTGTAGTTGTATAGGATGTTACAAGTTTTGTTTCTTTTTTACTTAAATAGTTTATTTGAAAAATATATTTTTTTAATTATGGATTTTTTTAACGTTAATATTTTTTTATTATTATTGGCAAGTAGCGTTAGACGTGTGTTCATCTATTGTCGTATGTAACGACACTGTATAAGTGTGGGAAATTTAAAAATTTTAAGGGATACAAAGTTTTTGCTTCACGTATTAATATATAGATAAAATTTAAATAAACTTACGAGGTCTCGTTACAACAATAGTATTAGCCTTGAAAAAATAGTATGGTCAAACCGTTATCAGGAGAAGCGTACTAATAAACTAGGATTAAATTCAAGTGTCTACTTCACTGAAATTGAAAATTTATTACCTTATAGGGTAACCGTAAAAGGGACATCTTAGATTAACAGCTTCACCGCTTTGGACCTTTATTGGTGGCAGCGATCTGATATATGGTGGGCCTGAAAAGAGGTCGTATTTTATCAGCTTTTGTCAGCGTAGGAATAAAATCTACAGTTTCCTTTTTATCCATTTCAGAACTTTTTCCTTTACATATTTCTAAAGAATAAGGAAAATGGCACTGCTAAATGTTGTACACCGTTTAAAACGTTATGGAAATATCTCTGAATATTTCTTTTATTCTTTTTAGGTTTCCGTACCTTAAAAGGTAAAAAAGGAACACTGATTACATCACTCTTGTCCGTTTGTATGTCCGTGTGTCACGACCGATTTTCTTAGGAACGGGCGAATCTAGCAAGTTGAAATTAATACCAGATACTGAGGTTTATAGTCCCTATTAGGTGTATAAAAATCAAGGTCCTTCGTGAATACGATAAAAAATCTGGGCATTCCTTACCACTTAAAACTAACCCTAACTTTCAATTTTTTTTATTTTTGAATTTTCCCTTTCCTTGTGCTGTAAGACCTTGCTTTTAACGAAAATTGACAATTGTAGGTCAACCGGAAGTACCCTGTAGGTTTTAGGTCGAAAACCTACATATTAGATACTTCGCGTTGACGTAGAATCACGAAATTTGGCAAAAATGATAACTATTCTTCGTCGTTTTTCATTTACCATAAACGTCCAAGCGATTCTCGTGGGTGACGACATTCTCGCCTTCCTTAGCGGTGCACGAGTAAAGACCACCGTCTTCCACTCGCACCCTTGTTATATTCAGCTGGGTGACGACAGAGTTATCCGACGTCATCACCTGGCCTAATGCGTATCTGAAATGAATGAGTTACTTAATAGATTTTATTAGTGATTCTGAAATTGCTTCCTTCCTTTCATTTTTAAACTTTTTTAATTCACAACAGGCTACTTTTCACAAAAGTTATTTAGCTTTATCTGATCGCCTTATTCCTATCTGATAGGCACACATATCAGACAGAGGCAACAATAAATAACATTAACAGAGATAATAAAACAGAATAAATAGGTATAATCTATATAATATAAATTGATACGGTTTATAATAAAGTATTCAAATCCAAATTTAAATTCAAAATACCTTTATTCCGATAGACGCTTGCGCGTTCTTTATGAAACGTCGAATTTTACATATAAAATTAATACATAAGTTCGTAAGTAATTTACCAAAAGCAGTTTCTGTTGAAAAAAGAAGTTGAAGAAACTCAATAGTTGCTCTTTTTAATAATATCAGCTTAAAATGTAACATGGTACAGGTGTAATAGTCTTATTTTACGTGAGTATCAACAGTATTAACTCCACACATTGGCGTCACGTCGTCGTGATATTCCGCAATGGTAGTAGTTTGATTTTAGACGAAATTAATTGAACCTTCTTTGTGTAAACGTTAAAAGTGTATAAATATCATTACGTTTTACATTCAATCAATCAATTTATACAATTTTTTGTGTTCTACCTTGAGTCCGTGTTACTGGAAATTGTCACTCCGTCTCTTTCCCACGTGAACTGCGGTGGTCGATCGCCGGAGGCCGCACATTGCATGCTAATCTAGAATCGTTATTATATATTACTCTACAATACAATACAATATGTTGTACAACTCGTATGTTTATAATTAATTATTATTTTCTAATAATCTATAATAACTATCGAATGATTCTGTTTAAATGTATACCAAAATATTGAAAAAGTTTTAACCTACAGAGGCTTTTTTTCTTTCTTGTTTTATCTATTTTTTTATTTTTTAAAAAACGTTGCCCTTACTTTAGGATAACATTATCCTATGTTGTAAGGACGTTTTATAAACATAAATTTCACGTTGACAAACACTCAGATGCGAAACAACTATCTGTGGGTCGCACAAACTGTTGTCCCGTGTGGGAATCGAACCCACGACCCCCGACGCCAGAGCTAATACCTTGGCAACTGCGCCACAGATTCATAAGGTTAACTTATTATGTTACTATATACATTGTATAGATTTGTTACTGCTGTATAATTTGATCAATAGGGCGAGTTTTAAGTGTGATAATTCCTCTACATGCTTTTGAGTAAATGGTTTCATAAATTCAATCAATGATTTGTTCTTTGTTTCGTTTTAAATCCCAACTTTACTTATTTCTAACCAAACAATAGATTTAAATATTTTTATTTATGCTTATTTTTATTTAAATAAAAATATTTAAACCGTTCTGTTGCACTTACGGCCGAATATTGAAACGTTACTTAAATATTTAACTGCTTCTTAAACGTTTGAACAGCTCTTGAACACTAAATTCGCACACTCAAATGTCATATTTAAGCATACGTTAAATTTAAATACTTAATGGTCTAAGATCCGGATTCATAATTACTATCTACACTCATCGAGTATATTTTTCCCAAAAGTTAATTAACAATAATATAATTAAAAGTAATTGCGGCCACATTTTGATAGGCAACCCGTTAAATATTATATTCTACTGTTCATAAATATGCGTAAAAAGTTCAAAAGTTTGGCATATACTCGATGAGCGTAGTAATTCTGCAGTCGGATCTCGTACTAATATCGATAACTTCTAATTTAGGTCTATGATATTTATACATTTCTTCTGTTTGTTCTTCCCCTTTCTATAGAAATCTGACTACACATCTGGAATACATTCTTAAGTATTTTTGTTTGTACGTTTTTAAGACTTACATCACCTCCTGGCGTCACCGTACGCTCAGTAAAGTGCTGGGTGATGATAAGACGGTTCTCCAAAAGGCTCCTTCTCACTCTTTTTCGCCGATCTAAGCCTGAAAGGAAAGAGACGGCTGTTATTAGAAATGAAACCTTTCCCAAAACATTGTGCCCGCCGAATTGGGCATTCCATAAATTTGTTTTTTTGTCTATTGTTAATTTTGTGTATCATATCATTATTTGTGGTGGAAAGTATGTAAAAGTATGTATGGAATATTAATTAGTATTTATGATCTTTTTTAGCTTATTGCACCTACCAAGATCTCTCTCCACGCCCCCGGTTGACTGGGAGAGAATGCCCAAATGGCATTAAGTCCGCCCTTTGTAATCCTTTTTTAAAGGTTTTGCAATAAAGCATAAATAAATAAATAAAGTAAAGTGTTCATTAATTCATTAAATGTGATGACAAAGAGGTATTTTCAATGTAAGTTTTTCATTATTAGATGACTGTGATGTACCTGCAAATGTTGAGATTATGTTTCATTGCTTCCTTTAAATTATTGAAAGACAACGTTGTTTAACAAATGTAAAACGTTTGTTATGGCGTTTGTAAATATCTTTTAAATTTAAATATATATATTTCCTTTAAACGTTATGCGTTAAACTAAGCGTTTACCGTCAATCATCTTCGCTGAGAACTCATTAAACATCTCAAAAATAAATTGTCAATTTCAGTTTCGAAATGTTTTCCGACGAAGTAGAATTTGATATTTACAACTCGGCGTTATTTTGTTTAGTGATGTGCCAATTTATGTCCGGAAAGTATTATAAAATATTTCAATGTTAGATAATTAACAGGACATGTAAATATTTACTCTAATGTCTATTACTCTTAAACAAGCGAATTTAAGGGCAAATAAGTTTTTTTAATTTTAAGTATATTTATTACATTATTCAGATATACAGCGTGTCGTTACCATCGCGACAATAAACGAACACACGTCTAACGCTACTTGCCAATAATCATAAAAAATATTAACGTTAAACAAAATCCATAATTAAAAAAAAATATTTTTCAAACAAACTAATTAAGTAAAAAAGAAACAAATTTTGTAACCACCTATACAACTTGCGCCACAGCGTCGTATTACAAGCCTCTCTTTCTAACAGTACGTTTTTTCTCTTTTTAATTCATACAACACATTCATATGCTTTGTGACCTTGACAAATGAACTTTACGTTACGCTTTTATAGGTAAGGGTGTTCTAAAATTGTTTGTTTTGGAAAATTTAATAACTCTGTAAATATTGATGTTTAAAGAATTTAAATGTTTAATACAACTTTAAAAAGTTATCCCCTATATGTGTGTTCATTTATTGTCGCGATGGTAACGAAACGCTCTATAGATATATAAATAATAAGAGGAAAAGAGAAAAACCTGTATTTAAATAATAATTTTTTGAAAAGTAGATTATAAAATGATTTATTTCAGTAAGGTTTAAAGTACAGGTTTATTTTTACACATTCTTTTATCCTAATCCATATAATTATTCTTCAAATCGTACAATTACATATTTCACCATTTACCTAAAGAATGAGAGACCTTTAGACTTTTCTAATACAAGTCTCACCGAATCACTAAACGAAAAACACACGAAAAACTCTTTAGTCCTAACATATTACTAAACACCTATCGCAAATCTGGCAGCTCTGGCTCCCAAGATACAAACACTGATTAGTTTAGGATCCATTGTTAATGTTTCGTAGTATGAGGTTAGTTACAAAATTTCGTATTAGTCTTCATTACTATTTTCTTATTTTTAAGACACGTGTTGTAACTTACTTTTGCATCTACTTAGATAAATAAATAAATAAAAAAATAAAAATTACATTTTGGTAAAGTTTAAATTGAAAGATAAAGTTTTCAGGTGACAGCGCAACGTTATGACAGCATCGCCATTCCTATTACGCCTTCGTGGCAGCACGCAATCTGGCCGGGGAATATAATTACGGAGGGCGAGTTGCAATTTGCCCATCGAATGACCACCCCACTTTGGCGGGTGGTTACGTTCGGTCTGCTTAATGGGGGTTAGATTTGAATTAAGGGTGTCCGCGCAGAGATTCCGACTTGATGGCCGTCTATTGCGGGCGACTGCAATGATATACAAATACGAGGAAGATATAGACACTATTTCGCCGAAACTGTGGCACTCAAATTACAGCAATATTACTAGACTAGTCTGCTATCTTTTTCTGTAACATACGTTCTATATCATCTGTCACATACACTTATATTATGATGAAAAGCGTCATATTTAAAACACTATTTTAAATATGACGACTGTTATTTTAATTTCAGTATTAGAAAAGTATAGTTTTGTACAATTGAGATGCAATAAAATAATAATAATTTTATCACGATACTTGTGCCGCTTGTATATAGAATGCCTAATTGTAGAAGGAATGCCTAATTTACTAATAAATAGTATATTTTAATTAGCATAAGAATGACAATAACGAAACTCCGGCATCGCTAGATGATAATGACAATAAAATAAAGAATAATTATATTCGTGGGATAGTCATAGGATTATCTATTTTTATAATAGATTAGGGTTTCCTTTTTAAAATAGATTATGGATAAGAGAAGTTAATGGAGTAGTGTATTTATTAAAGGCCAAGAGAAAAAGTTCTATGCTAGGAGACATATTAAAGTAGATCCATCTAAAGTTTACCATAGACTTAATGCAGGTAACAAGAGGTATGTCTAGATTGCTGTGAATACGGCATTTTCATATGTATAATGGCAATCAACAACATTGTATCTTTGTTGAATGTGCATCTACTCCAAGGTTTGTGCAAACATGCACCTAGTTCATTAGTGGAGTGTTTAGAGATAGAGCATAGGTTGTTGCTTCAGCCTGGGAATGGATGTGTAGATGTGGATTATGTAGATAGTATTTGGAGGAACGAGCTTTGCTCGGTTTTTTTTTTTGGTAAATCGTGTATTTTGGAAATTAAAAAAAAATAAAAATAAAGAAAGCAATGATCTGGTAAAGAAAAAAAGTAAAATATGTAAGTGTATAAATGATCATGACACGAACCACGGCCTTCTGTTTAGGGGTCGCTCAATTACCGACCGAGCTATTATAACATTTTTTTTTCGGCGAAATTTACCGTCATATTCCAATGATATTTTTCATTCCCTGAAAACAGGGATAATAGGACATTTTGTAAAAATGAAACCTAGCTAGATCGTTTTTCGCCCCCGAATCTACGCACATACAAAATTTCATGAAAATCGCTGGAGCCGTTTCCGAGATTTCGATTATATATATACACGAATTGCTCGTTTATAGGTATTAGATACATAGATGAACATTCGTTAAATACTGGGCGGTAAAGGATAATATCGTAAGGAAAAAAACCCGGCCAAGTGCGAGTCAGACTCCCGCACGAACGGTTCCATACTATATCCATAATTATCTATAAACAACGACAAATAAATCGTGTCTATTTTACGGTGGTAGGGCCACGCAGCAGCCTGCAGTCGGCTGTTGCACGAATGGGCAGGCCCGTCCGGGTAAATACCACGACCACACAGAAGACCAACGTAAAGTGGAAGTATGACAAATACTTTCGCGTTTCGTCTGGTGAGTGAGGTAGCCGGAGCCTTTCAAAAGGTTTTCAACGCATCTGTAACCCTCTCTCACTTAACATCAGGTGAACCGTCTGCTCGTTTGACAACTTTTCACATAAAGAAATGGGATACGGGCCGCTCTTAAATGTTTGGTAAATGCCGCTCTTAAATGGCCCTACTTAAATGTTTTTTATTCTGTTTTTTTTTTCAACTAACTATCAAGGTTCATGAGATACAAACAGCCTGGTGATAGACGGACAGACAGACAGACAGATAGGCTTACTCTTTGGGTACGGAACCCTAAAAAGAGATGCGTATGTAATGAATACATTAAAATGTATAATAAGTTAAAGCATCTTGTATTTTATTCATCATTTAAGGCCATTGATGTTGTCAACTTAAACTGAAAAGGGCTCTTTCATCCCACATCTAAGAGCTCTGAAAAGATCAAAAACCAATATACTAAACCATATATACTATTTTCATAAACATATATAATAAAGATCTTTTACCTTTACTTTTTCGTTTTGATCGGTGAATTAACATTAATGCATTCACTTTCGAAATAAGAGACATAAATTTCATCTATCGTTGCCATCTATGGTTCCGTAGCCAATTATTTAGACTTTATTATTAAGACTCAGTTCTATGTCTGTCTGTCTGTCCGTCTGTCTGTTAACAGGCTGTGTCATGAGACCTTGATAGTTTCACATGATGTATTTCTGTTGCCGCTATAACAACAAATACTAAAAAATATAATAAAAGATATAGAGCGTGTCTTTACAATCGCGACAATAAATGAACACACATATGGAGGATAGCTTTTTAAAATTGTATTAAAGATTTACATTCTTTAAACAACAATATTTACCGAGTTATCAAATTTTCCAAAACAAAGAATTTTAGAACACTCTTACGTATAAAACTGTAACATACAGTTCATTTGTAAAGGTCACAAAGCATATGAATGGGTTGAATGAATTTAAAAGGGACAAAACATACCGTTAGAAAGAGAGGCTTGTAATGCGGCGCTGTGGCAACGAATGAAAAAGTCTCTGAATGTATGAATCAGTCAGTTGTAATTGTATAGGATGTTACAAATTTTGTTTCTTTTTTACTTAATTACTTTGTTTGAATAATATTTATTTTTAATTATGGATTTTTTTAATGTTAATATTTTTTTATGATTATTGGCAAGTAGCGTTAGACGTGTATTCATTTATTGTCGCAGTGGTAAAGACACGCTGTATAAAGGAAAAAGAAACTCCATAGGAATCCTTTATTTTTGTATTTTTTTTTCCTAAAAAAATTAACGTTACATGTAAAATATCAGATATATTTTTCTTTAGAAATATCTTGAGAGTAATCTCATTCCCAGATTAATTTTATGTTTAATTAATTACTTGGTTTTGTTTATTTTATCGGCCCTTAGTAAGAGTTGTTTAAACTCGTAATGTAAGCACAAATTCAATTCGA